ATGAGGAGACCGTTCTCAGATGGCTTGACTACGTACAAGGTAAACTGCGGCCGGCGTCGTGCACAATGCAGCTGCATAGGAGTCAAGTGACCCGGTGCAGCGCCATCAGACAACACATAGGCAACTCGCTGCGAGAGACATGTCTTGGTAGCCTCATCCGTAAGTTTATCATCGGAATCAAGCCAGTTGGGATCCTTCTGTCCTGCAGACCGCTCCCCAAGCTTTGGTCGGCATCCCTGGACAACTCTTCACCGAGTAGTAGGTAAAGCCTGAACCTAGTCTTCCCCGCTTGACTGCATTGATTTTATCATAGACGAGGTCTGAAACGGAGGTGGTCGTTGGCACCGTCTTCTTGATCAGTGCAACCCAGTACCTTGACTCCAGACAAGGACAAAGATTCTCCGTCTCTTGCGTTCCAACTCCTGACACGGCACAGCAGACACATTCTGAATGGGAGAGGATGAGGCTAAGGCGGCCAATCCCGCACAGACCGGCGAAGCCAGGGACGAGGAACATGGATTGTTCGGCAATGTCGACTGCGGCGGAACCGAGAAACTTTTTAGCGAGGCCAAGGGCTATGCACTTTACAGTCCTATAGGCCGCAACAAAAGACGGAGGAGAGGTGTTCGGGTAGGACTTGTACGTACTGCATCAAGCTTGAAGTATCTTCGACTGGCAAACTGTCGGTACCGGCGAGAGTCAGCAGAGATTTGTCATGGCGAACACCGGCCGATGGGTTTGCAGCAGAAACAAAGGCTGAGAGAGATGCTATTCAGCAGCCTACTCCCTGCAAACAGAGTATCTAGGGTACTAGTACTATGCGCGACAGACTCGACCACGAAACTTCACCGTCATTCAAGTGTTTGACCGGACCTTGACGGGCGAGCCTTCAGGTAGCCCTTTGATCCTTTTGATCTCTGGAAGTAGGTACCTACGTATAGGTGCAGCGAGCCGTTACATAACGTATGCTATGATACTAGCTGATACAGGCAAATATTGTTCTGACGAGGGGATCTTTTGTGTCACGTCGAGCTACTACTACTACTGTACTAGGCATCCAGGGGAGTCTGGGTGCAGTGCTGACCTTGAGGTGCAGTGGGGTGAGTGTCCGTCGCTTAGTTAGTTTTCCGCAGGCGGCGGGTGATGCAGTGCACTACTAGTACAGTGGTAAGGGCGATGGCGAGGGGCAATTGTAATTCAGCTTCCGGGGCTGCTTCGCAACGGTACGGTGCCTACGTACAACCTAGTAGGTACCTAGAATTACTAGTATCTGATTAGCAGCTTACCGCCGCGTGCCTCAGTGCTCCTCTCCGGCGCCCAAAGCACTACGGACTCCTGCTTAGGTGCATAAGCACACACCTAAAAAGACCTAGAGTTCGGTCAGCGCATGCCAACACGCTTCATGCCTTCTACAAGGGCCGCTCCTTGCGCTGCACTAAAAATGTTGCCTGCCTGCAGCGGTCGAGGCACGGCCACAATGAGACACGAGAAGCCGTGCGTGTTCACCTAGTACTCCATACACGGCGTACAGGGTTGAGTGGACAGTTTGATGCTAGGATCAGGGGTCCATGGTTCGTAAAGAAATGCAATCGCATCGTATGTCTTCTTACAGGTCGAAGGAAGTCGAAGAAATCCAGTGGCCCTGCACAATCGCACAACAAGCCCCAATTCAAGGTCTCGGTGTAGTACTCCAGGAGAAGAAATGCACCCATAGGTACCTTAGGTAGTAGGTAGGGTGGCTGCCTGTAGGTAGGTACCGGGAACCTAAGGTACTTTCGTTCCGCACTGCAGTTCGGTCACTCAAGCCAGACGTTGCGATCGCCTCTGCGGCTAATTCACTGGCTGCAACCGTTGTCTTCGCACCCTCGCCATACATGATTCCCAGCTCAATCACCCTCGTCACTGAGCCGGCCACTGTCACGACTCGAAGGTCGCTCTGCAGAGTTTTAAGAGCCTCTATTTGATTTCTGAAGTATTATTGAACTCAAGCCATCGCCGCATGCAGTGCGTTGCTGACACTTTTACCGTGAAGGACTATTTGAGGATCTGCGGAAACTATTCCTTTCTGTGCCCGTTCATCGCGATCCTGTCACCCGAAACTCCACAAAAACGTCGACCCGAAACCATCGCCGACGACGTCTCGGTACGCTCCCCTCGCTCGCCACCTGGCTCATGCCAATAATTGTTGAAAAGGGCCCATGCCATCCAATAGAGCGATGAGGCCGACCTCGAACGCACCGTCAGATACGCTCCCCAACAGTAAAGAGTAGGAAATAGTGAGGACTGGAAACTAGGTGCTAGCGAGCACAGGCGATGCCGAGAGAGACGAGACGCCAATCAACACCTGCGGCTGACGGCGGCAAAATCCAAGTGTGCGCCCTAGCTGGAGAGGACCTCGTCGACTCCCGCAGCCAACCTGCGGCCTCCAAAGCACTTTTCCGACTTTTGACACGGCACGAGACTTGCAGCTGACGTGACCGAAGCAGGGATCCATCGAGGCACGAACCTAGCGGCGTCACCATCCATACGGTCACGGTGGATGAGCCCTGCCGCGCCTAGGACGGGAAGTTTGTACTGTGTGCGATTCCTTACCTACCTACATGGAGGTACCTAGGTACGAAAGGAAGATTTCTCTCACCTTCGACTAAGAAATAAGATCATGACGAACGACGTGAAACAGGACTGACATGGGAGGCATCTCAACCCTGGAGGTTTTATCCTTTTGTCTTTCTGCGACGGCTGGAAGCTTGACCGACAATTTTCCCTACCTGCTGCCAAAAGACGGCCCGGGGTGTGCCTGGAAAGCCCGCTTTCATCGCCTGCATGCACCTGCACCTGCACCTGCGCCTCCGCCCTTGCGCCCGCCATCTCCCGGAGTGGACCCTGCACGTCTTTGCCGGTGACGACTTCTCGTGAACGAGGCTTTTGAAGCCTCTGATTCGATTCGTTTTGACTTGCAGTGAACCAGATTCAGAACCTCCCTGGGCCCAATAAATTCAGACGCAGTCCGTGCTTATACTGGATGCAAGACTGCCAATAACAACCAAGCGAGAACTTGACCCTCGTTGTGGAACTCACCCATCTTGTTAGTGGAGGGTTTAGCCAAAATTGTTTGGCGAGCACTCTGCGGGGATTGCCGGTTCGGTAGCGACCTGTCAGCAGAGACAAAACAAAAGACGCGGCTTCAATTGTCGATTTCTCGACGCAATAACAATAATATTATTATTATTATTAATGATACAGGGTAAAGGGCAAAGGACGTGTCAGGACCTCCCTTTTTAGGCTCTCAGACATCCGATTTCGACAGTCACCGCACACCCCGCCATCAAGTGTGCAGCGGCATTTTGAACGAAAGGAGAAAGAAGAGGGGCATCGCGGCTGATCCGAAACCCAACCAACCCACGTTTGTACGCCGCCCGCGGGTTGACAATTTGACAGCCAAAGAACAGCCAGGGAGGGGCAGGGATACAAGGTACGTTCATAATTATTTACCCTAGTCCCTACTAACTTTGCACTTACTTCACAGAGAAGAAAGTAACTGGTCTGACTCTCTCTATTCGTGACTTCACATACTAGTAGGTAAGGTACGTACTTTGGTCGTACGAGTGTATGTACGTACAGTGGGTACCGAGTTAGTAGCACCACACCAGCGCAAGGGAGCTATTTCCACCCTTCAACACTAACATCTTGCTAGATCAACTTGACCACGCCGCACGGCACTGGCAGTTAGGTGGAGCTTTATGGTCATCGGCACACGCAGACGCCCTCATCCCCCCTCCTTCATCGTTCCGTCTAGTTGCAGAGGACAGAATTATAGGCTCAGCCAGCCGAAAGAGAGCGTTGGAAAGAGAGAGGATACTAAAAAGCACGCCCCAGATCCGTCCGCTGTGCCCACTGTCCACAGCCATTCCCATTCCCATTAGGTCGACGAGGCTAAGAGGACAAGCAGCACGGACACACAGACATCGGCAGCGTAACCACACCCTTACAGGACACAGACCTCTTTCTAGCAGCGGATCGGTGAGCTAGGGATCTATCGAATCCGCCTGGCAGCTGGCACCTGATAAACCCTGCGTGCAGAGACACTAGCTGGCGTCGGGCCCGACTTGCTGGGACGTTTTAGGGCAGAACAGGCTTTCCAGAAGAGAGGACACCACGCCCGACGGAGCTACATTTCTGGCTGCGACTCCCGCCCCCCGCCAGCAGCCTAGCTCCCTAAACTCCCTGACTCCCTAGAAAGCCTTTCCTCGCCGTTCGCCTGTGTGCCTGCAGCGCCCTGCCAGCCTATAACCCGGTCGCCACGCCTCAGTCCAAGGCCTCGCTCTCCACCACCGTCGACTTGTCACCTTCCAATCATCCCTCATCAACCACCGCTCTCCCCCCTTCAGCGTCATCCATCTCAGCTTGTCACTTCTTCACCGACCGATTCTCTGTCCACTCTCACCTCGACCCTCACCTTTTCCACGCCTTCTCGCCGCACCGCACACCCTTCTCTCCCCTCCATCCGCGCCTCGGACGGCTCTCTCCTTCGCTCTCTCTCTCACGCATCCTCTCTCGCGCAATCAAACCCTCACCATCCGCCCTCCCGCTGCGAACACCTGATCCTCTTCCTACCGGGGCCCCCAACGCGTCCTCTTCTCACAAACTTTTTCGTCCCGCCGAACCAAAGTCATATACCTTGGGCCCCGTCCTTCTCAGCCACACCCTTGCAGGACTTGTCCTCTCTCTTCTTCTTTTTGGTCTGCAGTGCTTGCGGCTGCGACTTTGCTTCTCCTGACAGTCGACCTCGAGCTGGTTCTGGGGTCGATCCTCCTACCGATTCGACTCTGTCGCACGCTCTGAGAGCAGACACCTTCGACTACGTCTGTTTGCTTCGACCACCACGCCTCGACGGTCTTTACCTTGCCCATTTCCGTTAGCCTCGGTTCTTTCCTGGCCGCGTGTTACCCAACTTTCCGGTTCTGTATCACTCACCACTACAACCCTTGGACATGGCGCAAATGGCGGACCCTAGGGAGCCTCAACGTGCTCAATATCCCCCTCCGGACAACCACCCCCCGGGTGACTATTACGCTCAGCAATCACCATCAAGGCCTCCTGTGAGAGATGACCGGAGTCAGCATCCATATCCACCACCACCCGACCCAGCCCGTCAAGGACAGTATCCGGATCCTCGCGCAGCGCATCCATATCCTCCGCCGCCTCCTCAAGGCTGGCCCGGCCAGCATCCTGCTTATCCTCCGCCTCATCACTATCCGGTAAGTTGTTGGGTTCGGCGGCGCAAGGTGGATCATGGACTCGAAAGCTAACGTGCCAACAAGGACCATCAGCATCCTGCGTATGCCTATCCGCCGCGGCCTGATCTGGCGCAACCTCCTCCTCAACCCATGCAACCGGATGCGTATCGTCTGCCACCACCATATCCTCCTCCGGGTTACTATCCTCCCCAACACTATCCTCCTCCGCCTGCCGCCGCGCCGCGACAGCGTACCGCCATCGCATGCAAATATTGCCGAAAGAGAAAGGTAGGCACACTTGTCGTGAGCGCTCGGAGACATCGAAATGCTAACCCGGTTTTCCTAGATACGTTGTTCCGGATACGACAGCTCGCCCGACGGACGGTGCCAGAACTGTGTTCGATTCAATCAGCAGTGCCTATTCCATCCTGTGTCTTCTCAAGCTGCCTTTGTTCCAGCAAACGCTGTCTACGGACCTGGCGCCCGCGCCCCCGTTGCCGGCCAACCCGACCGGCCCGGTCAAAATGGACATTATCCCAGAGAAGGAGAACCACCCATGCTGTATGGCGCCCACGGTCAGCCTTTGGGACCCCCAAGCCAGTACAATTATCCTCCGGCGCCGCCCCCTCCGCCCGCCGCCCATGGCTATCCACCCGCTCCTTATCCTCCTTATCCAGGGATGGCCCCGTACCCTCCTCCTCCAGCTGGATCGCCGTATGACGCACACGGGCAGGCTCAACCCGCCCAGCATGATGAACGTGTCAGTCTCAAGCGTCCCCCTCCCGATGATGACCCTCACAATGAGAATTCTCATGCCTCCCAGAGTCCTCATCCAAACACTCGGCCTCGACATAGTACGTACGATTCTCGCGCCAACAGTAGCGGTAGCTATGAGTATCATGAACCTAACAGCGGGGCTCCGACATCGCCTGCTGCTTCGACCATGAGCTACCAAGCATACCCTCCCCAGCAGCCTCGATATGCCAACGGCACTCAATCTCAGAAGGGCAATGCCTCACCACCAGCAGGCTTGACCCCGCAATCGGCTCAAGGCTACAATTCACCGCACCATGGGCCGAGCCATGACGATGGAAGAACTCCGCCTCCCAACCAGCCCAATTCTGCAGGTTCCTCGGCCAACGGCAGAAGTGGCATGAAAGTTCACGAAATGTTGGGCAATCCTTCTGTCGCTCCGCCCGATCAACGGGGCAGAAGTGACAACGAAATGCTGAGCAAACTCGACGGCAAGAAATAATGGACCCAGATCGAGTCCACCGGCCCAGGTCTCCAATCATGCGCGCCCTGGACGGTTGTCTTAGCCTGAGGAGCTGGCTCTTTGGGCACGTACTGGTCGTCGGCGATAATCCAAGGTCGACCTTAATCCCTTGTTTCCTTCTGTTTTTCCAAAAAAGATACACACTCCGGGGCAACCCAATATTTCCTTATTATTATCGGATCGGTCCTTACTGGATTGTCAGCAGCGGAATGGGATGAGACGCTAAAATGCAAGTGAAAGCACTCTGGGTGGCTGTTTGATCGAATCTCTCTGCAACCCACAGGTCACAATGTGTGCTTGTGGTTGGTCTAGGCTATCAGGGCCCCGTTTTTGTACGCCTGCGAGTACTGAATGCAATGTAACATGGGTGGCTGTTTGTTTTTCTGTCATGTCTTTATGGCTTATGTACGTTGGGAGGCTTTTGTGCTCTTTTGTTTTGGTCTCTTGCGCGACTCACAGACAACCGCGCGCTCTTCATGTATTGATAGTACTCTTTTTTTTACCGCTTTGGCTGTGCGCCGGAAGGTGGTGACGTCCGAAGTTTGATCTCAACTCGTTCTGGCCTGGTCGAGGAGGCCGCCGGAATTCAAGAAGTTCACGAGTGACCAGGTGGCAGACTGCATACAACGTGTCGGACTCGAGGACGGGGGAGGCAATCTGGTGATCACACCACCTGAAGGCGTCGGACAGACAAATTTTAGAGAGTTTCATTCTCAACGGGACCTAAGAGTCCTATTAATGGCAACAAGGGACGAAATTTCCAAAAATAATCTCCCTCCCATCAAGTTTCATCGTGTACAAATCGACCAGACTCGATCTTGATGCAGGAAAAAGTCTGGTCCAGCCGAGTTCAACACACATATACGCGCACAACACAGACCATCCCCATGCAATTTGGAACCAAAGAACCCCATGAGGATTGAATGATTGACTGATTGACGGATGGATGGATGAAGGGTTGGATGGGTGTGTGTGAGTTGGTAGTACGCCAACGGATATTAAGAGCTGTTCGGAACCGGTTCTTGCGATCAAGACAGAGAGAGAGAGAGAGAGAGAGAGAGAGAGAGACGTTGGTTTGGTGTCTCCCAGCACTGCCAGATATGCAAAGATGAAGATGGGAAAAGATGGGCGATTCGAGTATTCGTACTCCTGGTCCTGGGCTGGGCTGTGCTAGACTGGATCTTTCAAGTGTCTTTTGAGTCCTGGTTTGCTCTTTTCTTCTTTTGTTTTTCTTCTCTTGGATAATAGGTATTAATCATTGCTATCAAACGGAAGAACAGTTGTCTTCTCTCTCGATTTTGGGTTTGTTTTCGTGTTCGCTTCGATCATTATCTCCCAAGTGTGTACGTCGTGAGAGACTGGAGAGTGGACAGACGCCTGAGCCATCTTGAGGGTGTGTAGGTAGGAAAAGAATCCGATTTTTGTGATTCTGGCGTCAAGGGGTCAAGGATTGTTGTCGAGACGCACGTACCTTCGATGAGACCGACCTGCTTTTACTCTCAACGGTCTTGGAAATTGAACAGGTGCTCCGTGGACAGAGTGGATTAGAGAATAAATCAAGGCGTAACTTTGGTTGGGTATTTATAGCTATGCATATGTGTAAACGAGGCTGAGCGACCCCTATTTACCCCTTATCTTCCTCTTCTTCTTCTTTCGGAGCTTCCTTCTCGTTCTGGCAGAAAAATCGAGCATAGCAGCTTCCGACAACACGGCTAGTAAAAAGGGTTACCCAGGCAGTACGAGTATCTCTCGGGGTCCATCCCTCCAGAAGCATTGGTCGTGATAGCACACAGTCAGCACTGCAGAGACAACGGCTTCGATGGGATTCGAGGTCTTAATGCCTGTCTGTCAAAAGGTAGGGTCATGGATTTATCTCCTCCAGAGTCCGGATTCAGGATATCATGTCTGTAATGGATGAACAGGTACAGCTGTGCAGGAACCTAAATGAGTGAAGAATATAACAGCCATGATGTCGCAACGACAGTTCGAGGACAGTCATGACAGTATTTAGGACGGCGTCACCTTCCTGGTTGCCATCACTCGAAAAGAACAGTCGGGCCTTGGGTCATCAGACAGCCCGGGAACGATTTCAGACATCTCCTGTCTGTGCCCTTTTTATTGCTGGTCACCAGCTGTGCATCAGGATATCATTGCAATGTAGACATTCAGTGTCCTGGACCTCGCTTCAGTGAGTAAAGCCCAATGTGCTTCGTCCGCCCCAAGAGATGTCTTTTGCTGGAAGAGCAAGATATTCGGAGAGGACAGACAAGTCGAGCAAGTACTACGTAGGCCATCTGTTGTCGCGGTTGCAGCAAGGTTATCGGGGATCAGCAAATCGTGGTGGAATTAAAGTGTTATGAAGTGGAGAGAAGACGGGCACTAAACGGAATGTTCGACGTAGAATAGCCTCCCCAGCCAATTAGAATAGAGGAAAGTTTGTAGCCTCCCCCGAAAGATCCTTTCTATACTGCGTTGTGCTTGTGGGAGCACGACGTTCAAGTTGGGAAGCTTGACATAAACGAGGAACCAGGATTCCTATACCAAGAGACTTACCATGACAACAGAAACTATAAATCAGGATCATACGATGAAACGAACCAGCATGTATCAGCGATGAGCGGCGATACGTATCGACACGATGCAAGGCACGTCAAAGTAATCACGGTGCAAAAAAGCTTGTGTTCGAAGAAATCGATTTTCCGATCGCAAGTCATGACTATCGAGTACTCTGTGAAGAAGAAAGGAGGCAAGGAGCAAGAATTCCGGCTGGCTGCAGCACACATGACCCGTGTCTGTCTGTCCTTCTGTCGAGCGACTATCCTAGGACACCAATCATGGTGGTCCTGGATTTGAGTTGATAGCCATCGTCAACGTACCATTCAAGCTCTCATGCCGATGCATTGTCAAGTCTCTCTTCCTTGTCAGCTCTCAATGATTGCACTCATTCCTCTTTCACCATTTTTTCGTTGACGCCGTTCTCCTAGCAAACAGCCATCCGCTGGAATCAAATGCATTGCTAGGTCAGGGGCAGCAACAATATGGCAGAACCTGGCTGAGCATTTCCGCCAGGGAACGCCTTGCCTAGCTCCGTCATGCTCTGCTGCGACCTAGCGTAGGACCTTTTCGTCTGTCTGTTTTTGACAGCTCGGCAATGTTACTCAAGCTCCGTTTGTTCGTCGTAGGTACGGACCCGACTCCACCAACTCCACCACTTTCTCGGCATGCACGGGCGCTGATGCTCATTTTCGACGATGCAAAGGGTGAGTTGAGGTGAGGCCTTCTACTGGCGACGGCCAGACATGACGTCGGTTCCGTCGAATTCCTCTTCATCGATTGGCTCGCTGAAGCTGAAAGTCGAACGGGCTCGGGATCGCTGTCCAGATCCTGGTCCAGGTCCATATCCAGAGCGGAAAGAGTCAGTGGTGGAGCCGACCATTCCTGCTGCCGGAGGACCACCTCCTCTGCCGCGTGCCAGTGGAGAACCTGATTCTGCAACCATTCGTGTACCATGAGCGGAGCGGGCAACAGCCGGCGACGAAGATGCGGACTGAGCAACGAAGCTGAAGGTCGAACTCATGCCAAAGTTGCGAGTGTGGCCGGGACTGGGTCTACCGACGTTCGGCATGACGACGGGCTTGGCATGGGTGCTGGGACTGGCATCGACGTTGGCCTGGTCGGAGCTATGGTTGTTGACGTCGTTGAGATACGCAAAACCTGCTCGACGGGGGCTGGCATGGTTGCTGGTCGGAGTATTGGCTGTTGCTGGAGTGGTCACGGTTGAGGCCTGCGGGGTCTTGATGTGCATTCCACTAACACCTTCAGCAGTATTGTCAGGCTCAGCTTGCTGGGTGAACGTGACCGGAGTACCATCTGGAGCGCGGATACGGACGACTTGACGTTCGCGACGCGGAACTTTGAACACTGGAGGCAGATTTGGTCCATCGGTTGCAGATTCCTTGGTCACGCTTTCTTGACGAGACGGACTGGCCTTGCGAGCGGTGCTGATGCGAGGTGGACTGATGATGCGGTCAGCCATGTCCAAAGCCGAATCGCTGGCATGACGCTGTTGCGGTTTCCATGCACGCTTGCTTGGTTCGATCTCGAAAGGCGGGCTCAGGATAGGACCCATGCTCGTCCCAGCCAACTCTGGGAAAACGGACAAGCTCTGAGTTTTCGCGTGATGACCGAGACGTTTGACTGGCGACTTGACCCTACCTCGATCAGGTGACATGGGATGCTCAAAACCTGCTCCGAGTGCGAAAGAACCTTGTGCGTTGTTGTCGCCATGGTTGCCGTTCCATTCCTTGACATACTCTTCGTCACGGGTGATACGGAGCAACTCGAGGAATGCGGCGAGTTGTTTGTTGGTATCATCTGCCTTTGCGCATGCAAATACACTATGCTTCTCCAGAAGATCGTCACCATTTGCCTCATCGTAATCGTGGATAGCGTCAGGGTAGTTGTCCTCGAAATCCGGCGGAGGAGCAAGGCCAGAGTTATGCATATAGGTAGCCCAGCCCTTGTGCAGCATCTGTCGCATGAAGTTGTACTCCAGCATAGCATAGTCCTTGCGGGTTATGTTCGAGCCTCTGTCAGTGTACTTGAACAGCACATAGCCCTTGTCATCGCGTACAACTTCGAGGTACGGTCGAATGCCAATGGATTGACGGTTCTCGCGCTCCATGGCCACCATTCCCAAGTCCAAGATCTCAATCCACATCCCAATGTCTTGATCAGACAGGGTGCTTGGATTGGCTGCCAGCGCCTGGAAGGGCCAGTTACGAGCATGGACACTGGTACGGAACCCGGGGCCGATCTGGCGCGACGCATCGGCTATCGCAGCTTTCTGGCGCTCAGAAAAGCCAAGACAGTTCATGCCGGCGAAGCAAAAGTCCATCAAAAGTTTGATGTCCAGGCCGACTTCTCGATCTCTGCCGTGAGCCGGCTCACGCTCGACCTTGAAGATTAGAATCTCCAGCTGGCGCCCGTAGGTCTTGAACAGAATATCGCGCTGTCTCATGGTGTGCATCTCAGTGCTTGACCAGGGAAACTTGAAATCTGTCAGCACATTTTCCGTGATGATTGAGTCTTCGACACTTCTTACCTTGTACAGAGTACTGATGGTGCTCTCGAACGTACGCTGCAAACTGCGTGAAGCGAATGGAGACTGCAAGTACACATGTCAGTACCTCTGCTACTTCTGCCACTCGGTATGAACTTACACGCTGCGGAGTTTCGGCATGTCTCACAACCCCTGCCATTTCTTCTGCAGTGACGAAACCAGCAAAACCTGACGAGAATTTATCGACATTGGCGGCCTTTCTTGGAACACCGAATGCTTCCTTGTCCCAAACGATGCTGCGAGCTCTTGGAAACAGATCTTTCATCAACTCTGCCTGGTCACTCAGCTCCACAATCACGTGTCTCTGTCCAAGCTTAGGAAAACGGCATGGTCCATAGCTGAACCCACGCTCCCAGGCATCAGCGGCGATTTCTGGGGAGATCAGCTCAACGTAGCAGTCCATCGTCTTGCCAGTGGAGCGTTCCATGATGATGTGAACCGGGAATCCATCTTGATGTGGTTTGATCAGGTCGTTCGGATGCACGTACTTGCAGATGAACTGCTGAACCTCTGTCACGGTGAGGCCGTAGGGGATCTAGCAAGAAAAATGTGGTTAGCCCGACGTGAACGTATTAGAGTTATTGAGTTAGGTCTGTGTCTGATACAGCATTGAGCATGGGCCTGTAGTGAACGCCTCGGCCCAGCACGTGCTCTTGCAACGGATCTAGAAATAGTTCTTTTGTAGATCGGTTGGTAGAAGCGCAGTCGACGTTATGTATAACTAACTCGCACAGAGAAGAAGGGTATCCATGTACTTACATTCTTGATCTTGATGACACCGTTGCGTCTGGGACGATGTAGTTCGGCTGAATCAATGAACGGAGGCTCGGAATTTGGATCGAATGGGACAGCATGCTCGGGGCCAAGTCCAGGGCTGACAGGACCAAAGATCGCATTGTGATTGAACATATTGTCGGGCGTCATCAAGAAGCTTCCTGGCGCAGGGGGATTCCAGACTTGGCTCGGTGGTGCCATGACACGACCATTCATCATGTCCATCGAAGGAGCGAAGGGGGGCATCAAGGGGCCAGGATATCCCATGGGAGGCGGCGCTTGAGGATGGTTGATACCGTAGGAGGGCATGAATGGCAGATCGGCTGGGTTGTAAGAGTAGTAGCCGGCGTCTGGCCGCATGGGCAGACCCTCTGGGCCAGCCATTCGACGGTCAGAGGCCATTGCTCTTCCACCGCCCTCGAGATGACCAGGAGGAATGAAGCGGCCTTGGATCCCTTCCATATCGAAGTTACTCTCTTGGACAGCAAGGATGAAGATGACGTAGGAGAAGGATGATGAAGTGACGGAAAAGAAGAAGGTGTGAAGAGAATACGTGAAGTAGAAAGGAGGAGAGGCAACAATGAGGAGGGGAACTTCACGTGTCTGGGTCAGTCAAGTCGAAAGAGTTGTTGATTGAAAAGTGAAGAGCCCATTCAGGGACAGGATGGAATCACAATAGCAAGACTTGCCCAACAACGCCAAATCCGGTGGAGACTTTCAGAAGGTCAGTGAATGCACCATCGTAGACCCAAGAACAGGGCCAAATCTCACCTCACTTCTGCGTTGCACCCAGTGACAAAGGCTAGAGCATGTGCTAATGTCACTGAGCAGCCTCAGACTGACCGTCTTCGACTGAATCCGGTAAACCTAACCGAGCTTCTTAGTTTTAGGGCACACACTGGGAGGGCCTCCCGGAGTAATGGATGGACTATTGTTCAGTGTGAATATAAGGAGACAGGGAGGAACCCACATCTTACAACCATGTACCCTAAGGCCTCGTGCAGATCCTGTACTAGCATTGGAAGAGACTGTCGGAATCCAAGGACATCGTTGACTCTTTGAGAGGACAATTGACAACCGGGGAGCATGGCATAGGCCGATATGGCACAGCAAAGATAAAGCATCAGAGGACAAGACCGGGGCGAGCATGACAGTTCGATAATGATATTGTTCTTTTGTGTATTGCTCCGTCATCCACAATGCCTGTGCAACAGTAGTGCTGCCGCCTCCCATTTCTCTATCATCCTCCATCGTTGGTCGTCGTCACATGGTGTTCAGAGGACCAACCCCTGAGGTGATCTGTAGATCCGCAGCCTTGCGCTGGACCCGCCAAAAAGATCAGACTCTGTCGCCGCATCATTTTGCGCCAAAAAGAGTCATTACCTGTTAGGGAGTGGTCGGTTTCTTTGCGCCAGCAGTGTCTCCGCCTTAGTCAAACTGCAAGCGATCAGTCGTGGGCGTAGAAAATTGGACCAGGTACTTACCGGGACCAGGAAGCTCTCAGCCACAAATCGAGCCCTGGCGTTCAACTGATATGAGAGTTAGTGTATGACCAATATTCTCCGTCTTTCAGTACATACAAATAGCTTCATTTCTGAAATCTCTTTGTCAACCTCCTCCATGAATTGAATGATAAAATCCACCAGTTTATGCTTCAGCATTTCCTCCGTATGAGTGTTGGTAATCAGGAATGATATGTCGTAGCCCTAGTCCAATCAGTTCAATTCAAGGGAGTAACATCCAACATGTCATACCTTGACCGGCTTCCGTCTCAGGATGAAGAAGGACTCGGCACGTTGTGTGAGAAACCGGGTAAACTTGTGTACTAATATATGTTCAATCTCGTCCGCCTGTTTAATGCGTATGCTGACTCGCACACTGTTGATGCTGGGCTCTATGAGAACCTTCTCGTTCTCATTGCGAGCTACCGTCAGAGGATTGAGCAGGACTTCCGGAGCGCTTGCCGCTTCAATTTCAGGCACGTTGTGTCGTTCGGCGACTTGCGAGGCGAAGTTGGAAAGCGAGAGGGCTGCGGTGAGAGAAGAACGGACGCATTGGAGGTATGGACGTAAGGATTGTGACTGATTTGAGTGTCAGTAACAATAGCTGCCTCGCAATTGTCTTCGGACCCAAGGCAATCAATGGACAGGCATACCATTTTCAATGCGCTCAAAGGTCCAAGGGTCGGTAACAGGCTCTACCACGACATGGAAGCAGAATGTTTGCGAAGAAGTCTTTGCGGGACCGGCACAGCTTCTAGCTCTTGGATTGATACGTTCCCGTTGTGTGATACCGGGCTGTCGGCGTGAGACGGGGGCAGAGTGTATAGAAGGGACGTTGCAGCGACCTGGCCCGCCGTCTTGCGCGTATATGCGCTGCTCCGCCGCAGCTCAGGCTGGCGGTGGTAATCCTTGGCGCGCTCCATCCACTGCAGTGCAGTGCAGCAGGCTGCCCGCAACTCGAACTCGGAGAGAGCAGCCAGCCTCGTGAGACGTCGCCGCTTTTAGGTCCAGGAGTCCTACAAGCAATCGGTATTGATGCGCCGACGAAGCCTTTGCTTGTGAAGAGAAGTGAGTTGGTATGAGTTTGACAAGCCTGATTCCACTACATTCCCACACTGCAGTACGTACATGTAGTGGTGGTTGTTCAGGGGATGTACAGCCTTGTATTGTCATAGTACGAGGCTGAAGTGCTGCCAGGCAGCGTGACGATTCTTCTAGAACGGGCAAGTCTCTTGGCATGTATTCGTCTTCTGACGTGCCTGGCGATCTTCGTTGCCTCTATTTATAAGGCGATTTCGAAGCATTGCCTCCGCGTTGCTTTACCCATCTTTCTCACAACACAACCGCCTCGCAGAGTTCAGACACAATGTCTACCATTCCAAGTAAGTCCTCCAGTGCTTTTGGGAATGCCAGAACTAAGAAGTTCCAGTTATTGTCAAACACCAAGGCAAGAAGTACAATGTCGACCTCGACCCTACCGCGACGGGCGAAATGCTCAAATACCAGCTCTACTCTCTGACGGGCGTCGAACCCGAGCGACAGTCCGTTTTGATCAAGGGTGGAAAATTAAAAGATGACACCGATCTCTTCAAATTGGGGGCGAAACCGGGCCAGATCTTCACCATGATCGGCACCGCCTCTTCTGGAGGGAGTGCACTGGTCGAGCCGGTAGAGAAACCAAAGTTTGTGGAGGACATGACCGAAGCAGAGGCTGCGGCGCAAGAAGGTGCCACGCCCGCTGGCCTGCAGAACCTGGGCAATACATGTTACCTCAATTCCACCCTACAAGTGCTACGCAGTATCCCGGAAATGCAGGACGGCCTGAAGACCTACAAACCCGAGAACTCTTCGGCTACAACCTTACAGGACCTCAGTCAGTTTGGGCTTGGTGGTATTGGCTCCTCAAATGATCTTGTTGCGCAGCTGCGAGATCTCTATAAACAGATGTCCGAAACTCAAGAAGGCTTCCCGCCACTCATGTTTTTGAACACACTACGGACAGCCTATCCCCAGTTTGCCCAAAAGGCCAAAAGCGGTCATGGCTATGCGCAGCAAGACGCGGAAGAAGCTTGGTCACAGATCGTACAGCAATTGAGACAGAAGCTGAAGGTCACTGACAAGGTGTCTGATGAGGAGAAGCAGATCGCTTTTATCGACCGATACATGGCCGGTTCCTTTCACACATCGCTCGCTCCGCCAGAGGAGGTGGCTGACAATGAACCTGTTGTCGAGTCCGACGAGACGTTTTTAAAGCTCGACTGCCACATTGATTCGTCCATCAATCATCTTCGGGACGGACTTTCGGCTGGTTTGACTGAAAAAATTGAGAAGCGTTCTCCTACTCTTGACCATGATGCCGTGTATACCAAGACCTCTCGCATCTCTCGACTCCCCAAATATCTGACTGTGCATTTCGTCCGGTTTTTCTGGAAGAAAGATGTCCAAAAGAAAGCAAAGGTCTTACGGAAAGTCACCTTCCCGGAGGAACTCGATATTGTCGAATTCTGCACGGAAGACCTGAGAAAGAAGCTGGTCCCGGTTCGCGACAAGGTCCGCAACATCCGCAAGGATGAGCAAGACGTGGAAAGGGCCAGAAAACGACAGAAGTTGGCACATAAACAGGAAGAAGATCGGAAAAATGATGAACTAGCGGGGAAGGAAGCAGCACCCATCTCTAAGCTGCAGCGAGAGAAGGAAAAGAAAGGCAGTAAAGAAAAGGAACCCGAGGGAGGTGAAATGGATGTCTACAAGACCGACGCCGAATATGAGGCTGAACGCACGGAGTCAATAAAGAAAGCCAAGAAGGAACTCTTCGCCCTCATCGACCCCGAACTCCAAGCGGATGAAGGAGCCAACAAGTCTGGGCTCTATGAGCTGAGAGGGGTCATTGCCCACCAGGGGGCCAGTGCGGACAGTGGACATTATACAAGTTTTGTCAAGAAGCAAGGTAAGCTTGTGGATGATCCCAGAGCGCCGGGTGGCAAACGGAGAGAAGAAGATGGCAAGTGGTGGTGGTTCAACGACGATAAAGTCAGCGAGGTTGATTCCGAACGCATTATGGCTCTCGCAGGTGGCGGCGAGAGTGCATCGGCTCTCATTCTGCTTTACCGAGCCATTGACTTGCCAAGCAAGGATGAGGTTGAAGATTAGTCTTGCCCGCTACTAAAACACCTTTCTCGACCTGAGGCGTGGATTGAACCTTGGGACGAGGTTGCGTCGCTCCTGGAAAAGCATAGATACCACCCTAGGTAGACATAGACGGTCGGCCGCGAGGCCACCGCCAGGATGACGGACTTAACTCTTTTCGAGCGGCTCTGATCCAAGCCCTCCGAGCATAGTGCTCGGAAATATGATTGAACATGAGCGATCCGTCACAGTATTCCACGAGGATCAACAATTGCAGAAGTACAAGTCACAATACAGTGTACCTGCTGCGATCAGCCACATACTAGAGGCTGAGCTGACGTTGAAAGTCACTGAGAGTCACGTGACATGGCTGCCTTGGCCCGATGGCTTGGCGTCGCCCACACGGCAACTGCATTATTCAAACTCGACTTGGAAGGTTCGACCAGCGACCAACTCTCTCGCCATCTTCAACGAACAACAACTATCCTGCATCGCCAACCCATCAGCTTCATCGAGTATCAACCCGAGTCGCCATCATGGGAAAAGTCCACGGTTCCCTCGCCCGTGCCGGCAAAGTCAAGTCGCAGACCCCCAAGGTGAGCTAGCATGCCCTGACGCCGCAGCCCTCAAACGACCAGCGGTTTCATCGATAATTTGGCCACGCGAGTCCGAGACTGACGTTCTCCTTCTGCAGGTCGAGAAACAAGAAAAGAAGAAGACCCCCAAGGGACGCGCAAAGAAGAGACTTCAATACACCAGACGTTTTGTCAACGTGACGTTGACCGGTGGCAAGAGAAAGGTACACTTCGTCGAACCGATGGAAAACTTCGTACGTATGCTGACGGATTTCACGCAGATGAACCCCAACCCGACAACCTAAAATATTCTCTCGAGTGATTTGGCGGTTGATCGACGATGTACATTCCATGGTTTCGAGGTGGACGATGGAATGCAAATCCTCCTATGGAACGCGGAGGTTGCAGGTGGCATGTTAAGATCATGACCATTGCCTCGCAGGATACATTGTCATATGATGCTTTCAATTCGGGTCTAGATTCCCCAGAGCAAAGCCGGGATGGCACAACGCTTGAAGACGGGATCTGCTATGATGATCGGAAAAGGGCGTTCTGGATGTTACATCGAGAAAATGTCAAATCCATACACCAAAGCTGTGTTTCTTGTGTCCTCATGTTGAGTTCTATCAGTCGGTTTTGGGCTTGATGCTTCTCACCGATGAGCTTCTCACACCCCCTTCTCTGACCTACAATGTTGTGGACCGAGGAATGCTGGTTGTCGTCTGCGTAGCGTGTGCATAAAACTGCCTCGCTATGAAAAGCTTGTCCCCTGTGTAGTCTTTGGTTCTTGTCGTACCTAGGAATTAACGCTTCAAGTTGTGTCTGCAAGTTATGTCGCCCGCCAAGGCTGAAACGACTGTGACTTGCGCCTCCAATCCCGCAGCCTTGTCTACTAGTAGCTCTGTTACTACTACTACCTGATTCTGCAAAACGGCAACCAACTTCCCCAGGCTGCCAGTGTGCCAGCAGTTCTCCCACCAGATAAGCCGCGGTCGCTCTTCTGATGCAGGCGCTCCGGCCTGTATTGTGGCATCATGCCCGGCGCACACCAAGAGTCCTGCCGCTCTGGGCTCACCGCGCACAACAACACAACTTCAATGGTCCTCACAAGGAATACTTCCAAACGCCAGGACAGATGCCGACGCCCGACCTCACCACTCCCACGACGCCGCTGCCATATAAACCATACACAGGAGGTTCTCATCCTCAATACATACCTCCTCAGTTTCCACCACAGCCTCCACCTCCATCGACGGCGATCCCATCTCCCGGCCCATCACTTTTACGGCGAGCAACGCGATCTGTGATGTGGGCGACGCTGTTCAGCGTGGTCGGCGTAGCAGCAGGCACGGCCTTGATCACCTGGGAATACCTACAGCCGCCGTTTGAGCCTGGATCGCCCGAAGACGAAGAGCTGTCGGCCGAGATCGTGGACACGTTGGAAAGCCATCCGCTAGTCGAGGCGCTGCGGGACGAGGGCTGGGTCGAGGAAAATTACTATACGGGCAAGCTCCACGGGCCTGGTAAAGGGCAGCATCTGGTGGCGCAGAAGCTCACGGGAACACGGGGGGTCACGATGAAACTGTTTAAGCACCCGACACTGGATTTCAGCATGATGGTGTTCTTTCTGGGGTTTGGCATTGAAGGCTGGCCCGACGTGGTGAGTACGCTGCAGACCTCGGGTTTGGGCAGCTGGGCCTGGCTCTATCACCGTTATTGCAATGGAGAGTGTATTCTTTGGTTCTGAGGAGGCTGACTTTTCGTTCTTGTCGCAGATTCATGGCGGTGTGATCACAACTCTCTTGCAAGAAGGCATCAATCACCAGGTCGAGAGTCTCTACAAACATTACGGAAGTCAGCACTCTCAGTTCATTTCCGTTGATTTCAAGAGGCCGATGCGGCCGGGAGATATCTATGCTGTTCTCGTTCCTCCGGCACAATTGGAACTGCAGCTCATGCCTGAAGTCTTCCATTTGCAGATGACTGCCATGCTCGTCCATCTGGAATCTCCGCCCCGTATAAGGCCAGAGCCAAGTGAATCCGGAATAGTCGACCGGACTTCTATTGAGCTCGTAGGCAGGAGGCCTCAGGAACTCATCCATGCCCTGGCAACGGCTCAAGTCAGAATGATCCAAGATGTGAGCGACGATCGAATGGCAGAAATCGAGGCTAGATTCGAAGAGGAACGTCGACTTCTGGAAGAGAGTGAACAATCCGTGGATGAGTGACCTCGCCTGTTGTTCCACGATAAACCCTCCACATCAAAAGACCATCTGGCAGCACCTACGAAGACGCGCATCGGAAATGCAGGCATGCTCTGCAACACTCAAAATGCACAAAACGAGGTGAGTACTACTGTCAGTACATTTGTGAGTGAAGTTGAGCTCACGCTGCATCTAGTATGCGATTTTGTGTGCTTCCGCCAAAGTGGCTTTCATTGGCAGACGAAACAACTCCGCAAACCGACTATTTGGGGATGTGCGAGTCAGTGAGAACTCAACTATGAATTGAACAGAGCGGTGGCCAGCATAAGCTAGGGAAGGAAGCAGGCCATTTGCTAGCCTCTCTATGTCCTGGCGCCACTCCTATGGCACGGTGGAAGGTAACTTCTTTGAGGTCGAGTCGACTGGTCTCAGGTGCAAACTATGTCTCTCATGAAGAGCTCGACACGCGGGGAGGCACATGTGGACTGGGCCCTTCGAACATCGGTGGCATCAAAGGCCCCTGGCAATCATATCAACAAATTGAATACCTCGGAGACAAATGCAATGAATGATTAGTCGGCAGAGGAAAATGCTCAAGGGTGGTCGGTAGAGCTGCGGGATCAAGAAGATGGATGTCGACCTTGCATGAAATGTGCCGAGGATAGCGTACGCCCAAGCACGTTTGGCTGCCAGCCATTGCGAGACGCTTTCGGAACCGATGACAATACGATTGTGGGAGTTTGAAGTCGGGACTGTTTCCACCTGCGGTAACGAGCCATGTCCTCACATCCGTCCGGCAATCACTTTTTTGAATCTGAACGCAGTGATCTGGACCTTTGGTGGGGCGATCTCGCAAGACAAGACCTGGCACCTCAGGGGTGTTTGTAATGTGAACGGAAGCAAGTCCACCGCGTGTTCAGAGTGGTGGCTCAACTCTCCAAGCTCGTCTAACCATAGCGGAGGCTATTCCGGCGGTTGTGCACAGATGGGCAGCAGACAGCATGGGATAAGGCGAGTCAACCATGTGCTCTGTGTCCTGCTGGCTCCTTGCCCATTCCCTTCTGTACATAACCCTCCGACTGCATCTCGCCTCGCAGGCGGCGTTGTAGGAAAAGAGAAGAGGAACGTAGGAGGTTATCAGATGCCTCGGTACCTGGCTGTCTCGGTTATAGACAGTGGGTGTCAGTGACGGGATCGCGAAGCATTTGCCAGACCAGATACGAGACGTGCGAGGGGTGTGAACAAGCCTCCAGCATATCAGTGACTCGAGACCGGGGGGCATGGCTGATAGAATGCGGAGAAGTGAGGTGAATGGGCGGGCATCCCGCGCACATACATGAAGTCCCCAGTTAACCCCAGTCGCATGGCCTCGTATCTCGAACTCCACAAGAGAGCAACAGACCCTAAGGTCTCGAATTTGCTCCCACTAGTAGGTGAGGCTCGTCGTACGCTGCTTGCTGTGGAATGACTCGCTGTTGGCTCCATGCTTCGACCCGGCTTGGATATCGATCGCCGTCTCTACTACTGCTTTCATGGACTGTTCCAGGTGTTGAGAACTGAAAGCCTGAAGCAACTAGCAATGGCGGAGGTGACAGTCGATTAGCGGACGTGTAACAGGTGCAGACAGACAATAGTAAGTGACCATGATTGATGAGACATTGCCGTTCTCAACTATACTACTAGGATGGGTGCGAAAGGCACAAAAATTGATGAAAGTGCCGAAGAGGGGTTGTTCGCGTGTATATCACTGCAGGTAGTACGTAGTAGTAGTAGACACCTACCTCTATACTACCGGTACCTTGACTTCTGCTCGCTGCGTGTATGTGCCAATGCATCAACTCGTTCTGCCTTTTGCTTCCTCTTCCTGCGCCGCATTTCTGATGCTGTACCATCAACATCTCGATGCTCCATTCACTCCCACACTGTTCTGACTCTTTGGCCAACGACTACACCCTGAAGTCCTGCCCTCTCTCGATCGAGAACCTTCTCTAGTCTTTGACCAGGTTGTTTGTTCCACCCTCCCTCGCCGGTAACTCTGCCCGTCACCTAGTCGGTTGCAAAACAACATGACCTCCACCCCCGGCTCCCTTCGACCCCTGTCCCTGCACGACAGTGTGGCCACCACAGGTTCTCCAACGATCGCTTCCTAACCATCTTGAGGCAAAAGTCAAGCATTTAGTCTCCCGGCAGCAGCAAGGTTGGCAGATCCCCAGATATGAGGAGTCGGGACGTTTTGGTCGGCTCAATCCACGCTCTCTGAACATGACCATCTCCACGCCCATCTCTATCCGCTGGGCTACATGAAGTACCTCCCTCTTCCTCTGTAGTCACTCTTTTCTCTTCTCTTTTTTTTTCTTTCTGCTTTTCTTTCCAAAGTGCGCGTTCGGTCCGAATTCTCTAGCCGTTGTAAGAGGTCGGCGGCTCTGTGACACTCACCCCGGGTCCAAAGTTTCCGTTCCCCTTACTGCCTCACCATAGCCCAGCATGACTGCCAACGACAATAGTTCCAGCGACATGCCGGCTTCACCTATCGTCGATAAGGAAGTTCCTGCTCACATCGAGCAAATCAACACCAATGAAAGGGTCCCAGGCCATCCTGGCTATTATGAGAAAGACGGTCTGCGGACATATGGCGATGATGAGGATCACGACCATGAGCCTCCTGTGGGTTTCCCCTTCCGCGACTGCAACGTGCTCGCTGGCGTAGAAAGCTGATCGATACTTCGGTAGATGACCGTTCCAAGAGCTCTGAGTCTGGTGGCCATGGCTTTTCTCTGGACTGGTTCCCAGATTCCAGTTTATATTCTCGGCGGAATACCACCATACATCTATGCCGATATAGGTGGTGTCGATCGCTGGATTTGGTTTGTCCTGGCTTACCTGCTGGCTTTGGCGGCCATGTGTCCCTTTGTTGGCTCGATATCCGATCTCATTGGGAGACGATGGGTCGCTTTGGGAGGTTCTGCGTTGCTTGTCGTAGCCATGATAATCTGCGGCACCGCAAAGTCCATGGAGGTCTTTATCGGTAAGGGTATCCTTGATCCCAATCTCAGGCAGTTACTGATTCCTGGTAGTCGGTATGACCTTTTCTGGAGTCGGCGCTGGTATCTGCGAGCTCACATCCCTGGCTGTCACTGCTGAGCTTGCCCCAACTCGCAAACGAGGAAAATATGTTGCGATCCTCGTCTTCACCATTATTCCTTTCTGTCCATCCGTTCTCTGGGCTCAACTGATTGCCAGCCATGCTGGATGGCGGTATTGCACTCTTCTTTGCGGACTCTGGGCTTGTGTAGGGTTTGTCGGCACCCTGGCTTTCTACTTCCCGCCTCCTCGACCAAACTCTCGAGGGCTCACTCGGAAGGAAATAATCGGTGAAATCGACTTTGTCGGCGGTGCCCTGTCCATCTCCGGCATGATCCTCTTCTTGGCCGGCTTGCAATGGGGAGGATATCAGTACCCATGGCATACCGCCCATGTGCTCGCGCCTCTCATCATCGGCGGCTTCTTGCTCTTCATCGCGTTTCCATTTTGGGAAATCAAGTTCGCCACATTTCCCATGTTTCCATCGCGAATGAGGCAGGAAGCAAGGATTCTCACGCTTACCTTAATCATTACGGCCATCTCTGGCGCCAATTTCTTCTCGGTCATCATGTTCTGGCCCACCCAGGCTTTCAACGTCTACGGGCATGACCCAGTTGGCGTGGGTCTTCGAGGCATACCCATCGGTTTCAGTATCCTTGCTGGAGCATGCATCGTCCTGTGGTTGTTGTCGGTCTTCCGCGGTCACAACCGTGAGTTGATGATCATTTCCTCAGTTCTCATGACAGCAGGCTGTGGCGCGCTCGCAGTCGGCCGTCGAGATAATCTGGATACACTCTGGGGCCTCCTGGTTCTCGGAGGCCTCGGTATTGGTGGCATTGTCGTCCCTGCCTCCATCATGACCACCATTATTTGCCCAGACGACATCATTGCAACGGTGGCCGCCCTCACCCTGTCCATTCGAGTCATTGGTGGCTGCATCGGTTATACCGTATACTATAATGTCTTCCTCAACAAGTTCGTTCCTAACGCCACAAAATACATCGGAGGAACCATGGCATTGGAGCTAGGCATCACCAATGTCACCTACATCACCGAGGCCATTGAGTACACGGCAGGGAGTTTGTTGCCGCTCCTCAAGACCATCCCTGGAATCGGCGGCAACGAGACTGCCTATGAAATGGTGGTCATTGCCGGTCAAACTGCTTATGCCGAGAGTTATAAGTATGTGTACCTGACCAGCATCGCTTTTGGTTCAGTCAGTATTTTGGCTAGCGTGTTTCTGGGAAACATCGACAAGTATATGGATGACCACGTCGCTGTGGTTATGCACTAGACAGGTGGACCGACCGCGAGATTTTGGTGTTTGAAAGGCGCACAGCTGGAGCCTGGCTTCAACTCAGGTCGTCCTATCAATTCACCGGGAGCTGGAGTGGTACAGTTGGAGTCTTGCGGACTATGACAGTACGACGTATTGGATACAGCCAACTGTCAATGAGCTTGACTCAAGCATTGTAAATACGAATTCCATTTGCTTCAAAACTTTTGCCACAGCCGCTGGAAGCTTGCGGCATTCTGGACTGGGGATGAAAGTAAGGCACCAAGGGGATGGAGCAGAACTAGTACTCGAAGCGCCGTATGACCCGTGTGATCATCGCAACGATGGCGAGACGGCTGTTTCTTGTAGCATGGAAGGTACTCTCGTTGTACTGGGAGCACAATCAGGGAAGACTCGCGTGCGGTCGGTTCGGTGGCTCAAATCCGGGAGAAAACATAAGTGCACAGCTTCACTCCTTGTAGTTGGAGAATCATCCACTTGTATTGTTGCATCACCGATTTCTCTGAACGGGAGGGACCCTGTCTTGTTCAATACTCGAATGTGGATACGGAAAGCTGTGCAAAGAAAGTGATCGGGGGTGGCTTGCGTGTATAGCTGATGTAGTCGTTTCGGCAGGTGGCTGGGTTCTTGCTGGTCAGCCAAATCCAGTCAGCCAGCTTAAGGGTCCTCCTCTTCACACCCCTCCATCCCTATAGATCCATCTTTCCCAAGCCACTCAGTTCCAGCTCTGCCAAAGTCTCTCCGCCCGTGTCGTTGTCATCATCTCCCCACTCAGTGTCGACTTGAGCATCAGCGTCGTGGAACCACAGTCTTGCACTGCCGTAAGAGATGCACAGTTCCTCGCCGGCTTTGATGTCCCGCAGCGCAGTGTACACGATGACATCGGTCTCGGTGTTGCGTTTCCAGCCCACATTCTGTCCGAGGAGGGAGTGATTGAACATGGACCCCAGACCCAGCGCGAGGGCTTGGGTCATACTGCGACCCGACTCAGAAGGCCAGTAGCTATGAAGCGAGAAAAACGTGTGTTGTAAGCATCAGAGAACTGACAAGCAATGAACTATGCCTGCCGGCCGTGGCGGAGTTATGACATGTCCAACGGGTCCAGGGTGCCTTACTAGGTGTAGTGTTGGAGACGGGTATGTTGAGTGTGTTTCTCGACCTCATCCTCACTAAAGATCAGCACGGGGCTAACTTCGACGACGGTCCCTCGGGGAATGTCCTGTGTCGCGAATACTCCTCGTCCTAAAATTCGAAGGGATCATGCTTGTCAGGGTATGCTTGAATCTCGTCTGACCCGGGTGGCTATGCAAGTCACATGCGAGCCGTAATCACAAACAGCAGAAATTCAATGGCGGCCTTGCAATGGGCGAAGTGCGGACGGTCGACCCACCTTTCGCCGTGTTCATGACAAGCACGAGGCCTGCCGTCCTCAAGAGAGGTTGGTCTCCTTCGGGAACACCTTCATTTTCTGGCATCTGAGGTGCACCAAGTAATAGATAAAAAGATTGATAGAAGGGAGTCGACGGTCTTCTGAATTGGTGTCGACCACGTTCGTGACGACCAAAAGGGTTGCGTTCTAGAAAAAGATCACATGAATAGAGTACAAGAGATATCCAAAACACCAACAAGCCGAGCCGAGAAGATGGCCGCCGACGTGTGCGTAGTTCCAGCTTGATTGAGCATTCATTCAAAGGCAGTTTTCGAGAATGAAGGAAAAAGACTTGGATTGTCCGAAATTGGAATAGTGTAAAGTATCACGGGATATGACGTCGACGGTATTTGGATTTCCAGATCCTTCAAAATCTCGCAATTCCCTTTCATCATCAGATAGATGTCTCCCCGTCGCAGCCTTACATAATGCAGTATTGTGTGTGCTACGCATCACTTCGCTTTGCGCTGGTCACGTTTGAGAGATTATTCAGATTCACTGCTCTCATCACACCACGCCCGAAGCATCAGCCACCTCGGCGCAGGCTGCAATGTAAAACGTCTCGCTGACGCTTGAGCCCCGACATGTACAAGGTTGGTGGTGAGACTCTCCCCGGGCAAGGTCATCTCAATTCAATCTTTGATTTTCAACAAGTTTCGTATTCGCAGGCAGAAATCAACAATGGCCGACGCAGAGGTGTCAGCATAAGCCCAATCATACCACAGTATGCGCGTTTACAGAGGACTCTGGAGGTTGCGGCATTTTCCTCTCTCACATAAGACGAAGAGGCTGAGCGCCGACATTGACTCACCCTACAGACATGCTTTCCGAACATTTCCGGTAAATCATGGACCAACTGGCAATTGCTTGTGTATGAGCGAATCATCCTGCCTCCTACAGCCGCAGCCTTGCCTCAGACCCCCTGGTCAGCCTTTCGAAACGTCCGCGGTAGGTAGTCTGGTGTGTTCTTGCACTTACCTGACCCCTGCTGCGGATTTCGGATTACAGGGTCTCCTGCTTTCTATTGATAATAGGTTGAGCCATATACCGTGTTTGTACACATTATACGCAGAGAGAGATCTATCAACGTCATCGAGGTGTTTTCCCACTGTGGCGGTCTCGTGCCTGCTGCGCATCTGGATGAGAACATAAGTATGGGCGCACCCTTCGCCTCAAGGTTCGCCGGCATACCAGAGTCCAAGCACAACAAACATCCACACACATCTACCATACACAAAGCTACCAAGCAGCACTAAATCACAAACCCAGTCAACAATCTTCACAAGAAAAACATTCACAATGGCAGAGGGATTCAACGGCATGGCCATGGACCAACCCGCTGGCGCCAGCAAAACCAATCCACATGCTGCCGAAGCCTGGCTCGAACCATGGCTCATCAAACACTCAGAGTTCTACCGCAAGCATCTGGCACGGGGGCGATCAGAAAGCAAAGCTACCCGCCGCCATAGCGAGGTCTCCGAGGCTCTCGAGTCAAGAAACAATTCCGTCACTGCCCCAGAGTCGGAGCACACCGTTGAAGCCGGAGCCGGAGCCGGAGCCGGAGTGGAAGCAACCAGCTCAATGCCAGTTCCGGTCGAACAGCCGAGACATGGCGACGAGGTCGATACTCCTCCACACGAAGCAGAGGCCGAGAACAGAACGGACGACAAGGGCCTTCACGGCTGGCGCAAGCACCTTAGCTGGTTCCCTCATCCTTGAAAGGACCGTCTGACTGATTCTGTTCAATGTTGGCAGGCGGGCGTTTGTGCGAATATGGAATGACGATAAGCAAGGAAGCCGACGCGTTAACAATATGCTAATGTCTACTTGCATGAGATACCCAGATTGTTGTTAGCTTTAAATGAGCATGCTCTTCATCTTCATCTTCATCTTCATTGTGCTTGTTGATTAAATTCAGTACTCTAGGCCAACAAAATTCGACCCAGGCACTTCTACGTGGTGTGTAGCCGCGTCGCTAGCGAGGGGTGCCCCAGGCTCCGATCCTCATAGAGAGATCTGATTTTTCAGGTGCTTGCCCTGGGGCCGTTCAACCTTGTCGCGAAAAGAGAGGCGGGGCCCAGGGGTGAAAACATTGTTTGATCTAGAACTCGGGCTCGGTCCCACAAGTCAATCTCTTACCAACGCATGAGGCACTCACTCATGATTGGCAATGCTTGTCGGCCGAGAAACGCAGACAGTCACATTCACGTCGCAGTCAGCGGAAATTCCGCTCCGCTGTTTAGTAAGCGCAACGACTGAGCAAAGATTTCTCGGCCGAGAAATCCTGATCCGGTGATCAGCTGACCAAGTGGCAGCCTCGGTCACGTGCGCCACAGCTATCATTGCATCCGCTTTGGGCTAGACGCGGACCAAGCGGCCAATGGAACTGCAGGAAAATCCAGCCGCCTCGGTCGCGCGTCCAAGCCGCGTATGATTTCTGCGAGATTGCAATCCTTGGCCCTTGGTAATATGGACATTTTCTCCTCTGATGGGCCTAAGCCTGAACCTGAGCCGCGGTCAGAGACGCTGTTCAGATGCGGACTGATACCTTAGGTACCTAGTAGTTTTTGGATTACTCTCGAAATTGTCAGCATAGGGCCCGTGGGTCTCGATATTTTATATTCAGCCCAGGCCTGAGCGCCGCCCTCGACACGAAACAGCCCCTAACCACCTGGTTCAAACCGTTCCACCATCTAGCATCCCCCTGTCTGCGCTACTCCGGCCGGAGGGTATTTATCACGGTGACCCCCGTCGCGTTGTCCTTTTCCAATACAGTCGTTCTCGTCTTTATTCCTCCCTTGTTGCCGTACACTTTCCATAAGCCTCTTGCACAATGTCTGTTCACCAGATCGTCATCATCGGCGCCTCCTTTGGCGGCCTCGGAGTCGCCCAGGGTCTCCTGAAGCAGGTCTTGCCTACCCTAGGAAACAAGCAGGCCTACAAAGTGGTCCAGATTGCTCCCAATGACGAGTTCTTCTGGAAGATCGGCGCCCCGAGAGTCATTGCCAACCCCGACTCCCTGCCCTTGGACAAGGCTCTCATCCCAATCGCACCTCACTTCAAGAACTACAGTCCTAAGCAGTACGAGTTCATCAAGGCCTATGTCACCTCGATCGACCCGTCAAGCAAGACTGTCCACACCAGCACTTCTGCTTCCATCCACTACGACTCTCTCGTCATCGCTTCGGGCACCAATTTCGCTTCTGCCATCTGGGCCGTCACAGACGGTTCCGAGCCCCTGAAAGCCGCCCTCAGTGACATCCACGCGCGACTGCCGAGCGCAAAGTCCATCCTGATTGCTGGCGGAGGGGCCGCCGGTGTCGAGACCGCGGGCGAGTTGGGCGAGGTCTACGGGAAGAAGAAGGACATCACCCTGTTGTCAGGCACCACCAGTCTCCTCTCCAGGCTCCAGAACAAGAAGGTCGGCAAGGATGCGCAGGCTCGACTTGAGAAGCTGGGCGTCAAGGTCGTCAACAACAACCTCCGGGTTGTGGAGCACAGCAGACAAGATGGCAAGGAAGTGTTGAAGCTGAGCAACGGAGAGACCAAGACCGTGGACGTCTACATCGAGGCCACGGGCGACAGACCAAATACCAAATTCGTCCCTCAGGAGTGGTTGGACGACAAGCAACGCGTCAAGACAGACCCCGCCACTCTTCGTCTGGATGTGCCCGGCGTTACCGGCGTGTACTGCATCGGCTCAGTCGCCAGCTACTCTGACGGCTCTGTGCTGGACATCAAGTTTGCCAAACCAGCGCTTCTGGAGTCCATGAAGCTGGATCTGCAAGGACAAGGTAAGTTGACTTCTGTCGTTTTCGAAGGGTGGACACCTCACTAACGAGTCATCAGCTCCTGGCCCTCGCACCAAGAACATCTACAAGAAGATCACCAAAGACATGCAGTTTGTCCCTATTGGTTCGCAGCAGGGTGTCGGCATTGCATTTGGCCACAAACTGCCCAGCTTCCTCGTGAAGATGGCCAAGGCCAAGGATTTCATGATCGGCCAGGCGGTCAAGACGGTCGACGGAACTGCTTGATACATTCATCTTCACACGTTGACATATACCCTACCAGTATGGTGTTTTGCTGCGATTTTATAGATACCCGGTCTTATGCAGGGCCTGCCGGATTGGCGGTCCACTTGCGGTGAAAGGGAGCGTGGAAGAATTTGGTATACATCTCGTATCTAATTGTAATATTCGGACAGTACACGTCCTCAAAAGCGATATTGTGTTGCTTGACAATGTCCAATGCCCTCATATCCTATCCTAGTATTGTTCTTTTGCTGTCTGGGGAAGAATGACGTCTAATGAATGTCGCGGGATTTTCCGATCCTTCTGGAATCTTTAGGAGCGCGCGTTCCGACTGTCGGCTGCGGCCCTGGGGACGTTTTGACCGATCGTTTCTTCCCGGTGTTGCTCCGTCTTTTATAGTCCTCCAAGCTCCCCGTCGCATATTCAGTTCAGTCTGACTACCTTGCTGTCCTACTAGTAGATCCGACTAACCGGTCGACACGACACCATGTTGGGGCGGGTTACTGTAGCAGTCAAGCCTTCATCCTCCGCAAAGCTCTCTTCGTCACATGCCTTCAAAGCAGTGCGGAGTAACAGCTCGGTCCAGCTTCTGAGAACTTCCTCGCAGCGATTCTACTCTTCTTCCCTTTCCCAAGTCGCCCGAAGCAACCTTAGCAGCAGCTACCGAGCGTCCGCGACCGTGTCACGAGCCTTCAGCAGCACCGCAAAGATGGCCGCATCTACCAGAACAGAGACGGACGCTTTCGGGCCTATCGAGGTCGAGTCGGACAAATACTGGGGTGCGCAGACACAACGGTCGTTGACCAACTTCAAGATCAATCAGCCTCAAGATCGGATGCCGCCTCAAGTGGTGCGGGCTTTTGGTATTCTCAAGGGAGCGGCCGCTGAAGTCAACATGCGATATGGCCTTGGTATGCTCATGTGTACAGCAGTCAGGAATAAAGGCATATACTAAACCACAAGCACAGATCCCAAGATCGGGGAAGCTATCAAGCAGGCTGCTGCCGAAGTGGCGGCCCTCAAGCTGATCGACCACTTTCCTCTTGTTGTCTGGCAGACCGGCTCCGGCACGCAGTCCAACATGAATGCAAACGAGGTCATTTCCAACCGAGCGATCGAAATTCTGGGAGGTCAAATGGGCAGCAAGAAACCCGTGCATCCCAACGACCATGTCAACATGTCGGCCAGTTCCAACGATTCCTTCCCCACCGTCATGCACATTGCTGCCGTCCTTGATTTCGAGGAGAGATTGATCCCAGCTCTGACCAAGTTGCGAGATGCCCTGCAGAAGAAGGTCGAAGAATTCGAGCACATCATCAAGATCGGCAGGACTCATTTGCAGGATGCCACGCCACTGACGCTCGGGCAAGAATTCAGCGGATATGTTGCACAGCTCGATCGGAATCTGGAGCGCATCAACGCGACTCTCCCTCACCTGCGACAGCTGGCTCAAGGTGGTACCGCCGTCGGCACCGGCCTGAACACATACAAGGGCTTTGCCGAAGGTGTCGCCGAAGAAGTCAGCAAGTTGACCGGCATCGAGTTCATCACTGCACCCAACAAGTTCGAGGTGTTGGCTGCTCACGACAGTATTGTCGAGGCCTCGGGAGCCCTGAACACTCTTGCCTGCAGCCTTTTCAAGATTGCGCAAGATATCAGATATTTGGGCTCGGGACCACGTTGCGGCTTGGGAGAGTTGATCCTGCCCGAGAACGAGCCGGGCAGTAGTATCATGCCTGGAAAGGTCAACCCGACCCAATGCGAGGCCCTGACCATGGTTTCCGCCCAGGTCATGGGTAACCACACTGCCGCCACTATCGGTGGGATGAACGGACAGTTTGAACTGAACGTCTTCAAGCCTCTTTTGATCCGGAACCTGCTACACAGCAGCAGAATCCTGTCAGATGCCATGGACAGTTTCGTGGAGCATTTGGTTCTGGGCCTGAAGGCTGATGAGAAGAGAATTGGTACACTGTTGCATGAAAGGTACGTCCTTCCCAGAATCAGGCGCTCTTGGTAGCAAAAGGAATGCTAACGTGATATTAGTTTGATGCTGGTCACCTGTCTGAACCCCGTCATCGGTTACGACATGGCTTCCAAGGTTGCGAAGAATGCCCACAAGAAGGGCCTGACCTTGAAGCAATCGGCCATGGAGCTCAAGGCTCTTTCGGAGGAGGACTTTGACAAGTATGTCCGACCGGAACTCATGTTGGCCCCGAAGGAGAAGAAATAGAGGTAGAATCTGCTACGGCGTACGCTCAATCGGCAACCTTGCTGGCTCAGATGTGAGAACCCTGAATGAGAAGATCTGTTGGAGTCCTAGATCATTCCTCCTTGTACAGCTATCAAAACGAGTCTGCGTTTGGAACCGAGCAGATTTGTATATGTTTTGCAGACATCTGCGAAATCAATATCAATACTGAAAGAATACCATATTGAAGAAGCAATCTCCAGTTGGCCTGCAACCAACTACGAACTCCGCCCATTGTCTTACAAAGATCTTGATTGTTCTCCCCTGACCCATCGCAATTGCTAACTTGAAGGTCCTACAATGTTACTCCCGGTTTCCTATCCCTTTCAATGGCACTCATGATTCTGGCCTACTAGTATGTACGTGCAGTGAGTGGCCGCACGGGATGGGATCTGTCCTCTGTTTCGGTGTAGGATGCCTTCCTTCCAAACAAAGCGTGAGGTTCGTTACAAGATGGCCAACTCACCCACAGACTGTCTATACGTACAAAACTACCCACCTATATGTTCGTGTAACGGATACACGTTCCAGATTCATATCATGCATTGACACGATCCATCAAGAGTATTTCTTCACCGGGCCTCGGGCTCCGGATTCTGCGTGCGGAACAATTGGAACATGAACAAGAGTTTCTCAACATGTTGCCCAAGCAGGAGAGACTCTCTCTGTATGTATGTCTCTCTCTCTACTACCTAAGGTACCTTACTACCCGGGTATACTCGTACCAGACCAGACCAGAACCCGACCGACTCTTGCCTTCTCGCATACCTTATGCATCATGTATTTACTATTACTATATAAATATACATACTACATACCTACTATCAATCATTCTTCCCCCAATTCCTGCTTCTACTCCAATTCACACTCCCGACGCCGACTCCCATCCACGATTTTTGAAGCATATCCAAAAATTTTTTTTTGACTTTTTCTTTTTTCTCCCTCCTCTTCCCTTTTCCGGGCCACGTTCCCGACGAGTCACCGTCTTGTTTATGTCAATGTGGTAGATTCGCTCCTCAACCATCCAATCCACCTCTACCTTGCAGTCTGGCATCCCAGCATCCCAGCATCCCAGCATCCCCACCAAAACCTTGTGGTCTTCAACATGAAGGCGTTGTCGTGCGAGGCGGAACCCAAGGCCGAACTGTGGCAGCAGCCCAGAAACACTGCGTAGAAGAGAAGTGAAGGGAAACCCGCATGAATTCCTACCGATAGTGGCCTTGAGTCGGTCTTGTTATCCATAATTTAATGTTTTTCGATCCAGAGTTCATGACCCGACGGACGCAGCCAGCGAGAGCCACTTTTTTTGTCTTTTCTCTTTTCTTTTCTCGCGAGTCTAAAAACTCGCTTTTTCGGAGTTGGTGTGTGTTTTGGGCGTTAGACGAGGAGAGGAGAGGAGAGGAGAAAAGAAGAGAAGAGAAGAGAAGAGAAGAGAAGAGAAGAGAAGAGAAGAGAGTGAGAATCAGAGACAAGAAGATACGGATAGGGTGGGCCACTGCAGGCAGACAAGGGTACTACGTAGGTAGGTACTAGTAGTACTGCATGGCATGGCAGGCCAGGCCAAGGCGGGTCTTTCCAACGAACTTGAAGTCTACCTACCTACCTTACCTTACTACATACGTACATGTACCAGGTATGTACGTACAGACTAACATTTCTTGTTCTGACGTTTGCAACCATTCTGACATGCAGTGCAGTGCAGTGCATTGCAGTGGGGGAAGAGAGCTGGATAGTGGGTAGTGGTGGATGGTGGATGGTGGATGGTGGATGGTGGACGCCCAAGTCCTGACTGGAGGTCAATCGACTGTTCTCCCTGCCTTACCTTGGGTATAACACACCAGGGATCTCTGATACGTACTCGTCTCAATTATTTGACTCTACTACTGGTTACCCGTCCGCACGGAACACTTACTCAACCCAGGTAGGTGAGGTAGGTGGTGACCAGGTTCCCGGCCCGATGCCAGACGCCAGACGCCAGACGCTAGATGCCAGACGTCAGATGCCCATCATTATTGTTGTTGTGTTTGGGTCGCGATCGTCTGGTGGTGGTGGTGGTGGTAGACCAGGTAAGAGGAGGTCCCCTCTTCAAGGTGATGCCCGGTCAAGTCTACCCACCTGCCCACCTGCCCACCTACCCATCCGTCCGTCCGTCCGTCCGTCCGTCAGTCAGTCGCCCATGCTGTCTCGTCCGGTCTGGTGGGGACGGGCTCGTTGGCAGATATGGCGAAGACCGAGAAAGGTATGCAGGTGAGTCCTGGGAATTCAGGTCTTGGAGATTGAACGCTCGAGGAACTCTGAAATTTGAACTCGGCGCAAGTCATGTCTATGTCTGTGTCTGAGCTGAGTATGACCAAGGCGGAAGTGGAGGTGGGCATGGCAGGACACGCGCAGGGGAGAGAGAACAACCCCCTGGCTTGACCAGACTGGCAGACCACGGCCGTACACGATGAGCAAGAGATGCGCGCTTTCTCTTTTATGTGACTTGGAACGTGTTGCGGAATGGTCATCGTCGCAATGTAAAGTCAAGGTCAACAAGGTGATGCTGCTCAAGGCCCAACCAAGGTCAACGGGAGTCATTAGTGTATCCCGGGGAACTGGATACTGAATATGAACCAGGACCGAACGAGGGCTCTCTTTTCTATTCTGATATATTTTACTCTACTTGGACACCCATAGGAACGATGATGTACTGGAAAGAAGAATGGGGAAGTGGAAAAGGAGAGCAAATGTGCCAAATACCAGATGCCAAACGCCAAACGCCAGATGCCAGATGCCAGATGCGCAGAGATCGTTGTTATTGTGAAAAAGGCTGGGGGAGCAGACACCTAAGGGTGGTGGGCCAGGGGAACGGACAGACAGACAGGTTGGATTGAACAGATGGATCTTGCGGCCAGCATCCGCCGGCTGAGCACCATCACTGAGCAGTCGTGAGGATGGGAGAACGACCTGTTTTGGACGCGTGATCAGAAGGTTACGGATCTTGCAGAGTCCCACTCATTCTGCCAGAGGGGGAATCAAATCAATCATAATGACAGTCAGCGTTTGTCAACGATTCGAAATTGGCCAGATAGATCTGGAACAGGGGCAAGAAAGGAAGCCAGAAAGAAAGAAAGACAGCAAGAGGTTACTCCAAGGTCACTTGAAATGCATCGGTTGAATCGCCTGTCAGGTGATTGTTTTGACCTCCTGTATCCTTCCTGATACACGAGGCGATTGAGACCATCGTCTCGGTGACTCCCTAGGCCTCTTCGTACTCGGAGCTGTGTTGTCTGCTGGCCCCATGTCTGGCCTACCACAGACTACCTCGAAATGGTTGAAAGGACGCCCAGCGTCCTATCCGAATCATAATACTAAAGTGGATGGGCGGTCCGAACCCACAAATCAACAGGCGTCAAAGGCATGCAGTTGAGTATTCTCCATATAGCCCACAAAGTACCCGACCCAAGGCTGTGGAGCGTGAACTGACTCGACACCAGCGGGTCTTGGTCGTGATTTATTCATAGCTTTCAACTCAGTCGACAGGCCGACAACCAAAGGAGCATGGCATCATCCCTTTGACGATCAGGGGGAACAAGCTGTTCGACGGCAAAGGTTAACAGTAATGACACACCATCCAGCGTCGGCGGAAAGGAACTTCCCTCTTGGCAGAATCATCCCACGATCAATGAGCCCGGGGATCGTGTAACAGGGGCTTGTCTGCTTTCCATCCAGAGAGAGGACAATAGAAAGCGCAAAACAAAGAATCCTCGATGATGTGTCGCAGAGAGGCCGAGATTCGGCGGAAATTGCTTCAAGACCAGTAGCAGCGAGCAGCAGCAGTGTCAACTGGAACGGATCAAGTGTCCTGACTTTTGCGTATGATGTGGGAGGAGAAATCGGCGAACTTTAATCGGAAACTCTCAACAAGGTAACATGGCAGTGAAGGCAGTGACCACATGTGGCTTTTCCGCACGTTCGGACGAATGCGCAACTGGGCATATAGGCTGTCACTGTTTGATGTCTGACACGGTTGAGGAGTCTCATTCTCAATTTTCCGTTGTCCGTTGTTATGCTCCGAACTGTTGGAATCATCATTGTATTAGACTCGACCAATGGTGTGGAAGCCTGCATACTCTGTATATGGCTCGTCACCACAGATGGTGGGTTTAGTGGACGGGTGAGCGATGCTAAGACGAAGTTTGTCCTCGAACGCCACAGCCTTGATGTTCCGAGGACCGGTTAGGAATGCAATAGCGACCGAAGACTGACAGGACCTGCTGCTCGACTTACCTCTTTGGGATGACTGGCTTCATCAGACAAGGGGCACCATTCACACCTAGCCATGCCACATATGCTGGTAGCTAAAGTTGCGCACCCTTTTGTGGCTGAACCGCCGGCTTGGTTGTCGGGCCTGGCCGCAGTATAGGAATTGCGCTTCGGCCACGAAGTTTCGCACGTCGATCCACTCTTTTCCGAGCTTTGTCATAACGGGATCAGCGGTGTTGGACACAATTCGTGGTCGTCATGAAGAAAACGACAAGCCGTTGTCCTTGCAGGTCGAAGAAACACCTGGGGTAGTGACTGGGCAGAGCGCGTCCATGACAGCCTGGGCCACCTCGGGAAAGCCGTGTTTGGCGTGCGGATATTGCGGATATCAGCCCAACCAGAGGGTGTCCGCGGAGAGTGCCTCCGTTCCACTTTAGCCCTCGTGTCACGGAAAAGCATGCCAATGAATCGCATCTTCTTCACGTCCCAGATCTACAGCGGTTCACTGGCATGTGATCTGGATCGCCTAGACTTGGTTCCAGACAACATATTGGCCATCCGGTCGTTGGTCGTAGATAAGTGAAGCCCCATAGTTTTGGTCGTCGGAGATAATGTCCAACGCCCCCAAAGCTGGGTTCGGGTCTCTGGCGGCACCGCACCGGACAAGGCTGTGCGAGTTATGGCAACTCGGAAAGTATCCTTTTCTTTGCGCGAGGCGGCCAAAGCTTACCCTTCGTTGTTAGATGAGCCGGGACTACAGTTGCGATCCTGTTGCGGTCAACCCAGTTCTCTGTATTTGCTCTGCAACTGACTTCGGTGGCGCTCGCAAGCTTCGCAAGAGCACTCAAGAGCAAACGAGGGGTCGATTTCGGTGGGCCGGACGAAGATCGAGTCTGTACTGCGAGTCATGGCCAAGTGATACTGTGTAGGGAGACAGTGCGCGTGTGCGCTGTCAATTGACCTGACACATCAGTCCGGCTTGTGGGCCAGTGCCACTTCAGATGTTGACGGTTGTCTGGTCCTGGTAGCCTTGGCTGTGGGCAAAGTCCCATCGTCCCCCTCTGTAGCAGATGCTACACCGAACCGCACCTTAAGGTGTAGGAACTCAAAAACAAGCACGTTCGTGCAATGCGCGACTTCCAAGATTGGGCCGGATAAAAATGCCCGCGGCGTGAGAGAGGCTGCGTTCGTGCTAACGGCACAAGTTTCGGCTGTCGAGCACGAAGGTTTGAGCAGGTCGAGAAGGTCGAGGAAGTGTCCAGTCGTGGCGGGTCAAAGTATATTAACTTTTCTCCGGCCTTCTTCAAAATGGCGCCGTCCTACGGGCGACCCGGGGGTGACCCTGTCGGGAGGGCCGTTGTATCCGCAAACAAAATATCCATCATGTCCATAATGCAGCTTTGCTCAAGAGTTCAAGCCCCTGCATGCTTTCTGCGGTCATAGTTGACCCTTTTAGGTACTTCGGAGCGACACGAGACGTCCTTCGAACCAGTTGACACCATGGGTAACCCGCCGCACCGAGAATACTGGAGCCTTTGTTTCCTTCCTGGCTGACTGGCACCACTCGACTCAGTTGTAGGTTAGAAAATGGCTAACAGGGAACGGTTAACAGGGAACGGCTAACATGGCCGGGTCGGGATCATCCCTCTTTCCGGCACTTCTGTCCGCCGGCGAGGACATACTTGATCACTACACCCGAAGATTTGGCGGTACTTTGTGAATCTGTGCAGGCCGATGTTTCAAGTGTCCTGGCCGTGCTCCATCACCACACGTCAGTAATGTCCATGACAAACTTCCCAGAATTGGACGGGTCAGGAGGTTGGAGAGAAGAGATATGGTGGCGACGGCTGATTTCGGACGTGCTACATGAGGCTGTTCGCAGCGTTGTCAGACAGTTTTTCAGGCCATGCAATTATCTTGCCGGCCCCAAAGTACTGGCAGCGGCTAGGGGATGGCCCTGCATATCGTTGTGCAAAGAAGCACACAGTGCAGTATGCCTGGGCCTGAGGACCCTGTTTTCCAGGTAGTGACAACAGCGACATGCCCACAACCGGTGTATGTGAACCCGATAGGTACATGATCGGGATTCGAGGTCTGTATACAGCAAGCAGGCTAGAGACCCCGGACTGATGGCAGCCTTGTCTCGAACGCTAATCAACACACGTGCGGGTTTGCAATACTAAGCCAGCCAGATATTGCAGTCCGATGCACAATGACTTCACTCGTTCCAGGGCACGACATTTGTCCAACCGGGACTGTGCAGGAAAGTTTGCAGGACATGGATCGCCTCGAGGCCGGAGAAGAGGGCACAGTAACTGTCGCTACGGCCTGATGCACCCCGAAACCGAGAGCATGGCCGGAGCAATACTGTTTCCGGGATCATCCATGTCTGAGATCGTGCAGGACAAGAGCAGGGACCAGGAGGAAGGTTGGAGGTCGGGTGACGGAGAGGAGGAAGGAGGACGCTGGATGCTGGGTTTGAGGCGGTTGGATGGTCGCAGTAGGACGGTGAAATGTGGGAGATTCCGATGCCATAGAGAAGAAGAAGAACGAGAACAACGAGCTGAAAATGAAACCGAAGCCGAAGCCGAAGTAGAAGGGGGGAAAGTGCAGGGTGTTGAGATGCGTGAGTGTGTGGGCGGACCTAGGTGAGATAATGTAGGTTAGGGTGTTGGTAGAGTACAGTGCCCGAAGTACTACTGTAGTCTTGGAGGGCTTTGAAGTTCTCCCTATCCTCCAGGCTCTACGGCCTGAGGTACCCAAAGTATATGCAATAATAGGTACCTGAAATCTACCCAAGCTAGGCTGTACATACCTGGGTATGGAGGCTGTGCGCGGTCAGCCGTGCCAACCGACCCACGCCCTGCCGACCAAAGTACTTCTGTAACGGCGTTGTGGTCCAGGTGGCTCTAGCCGCGGTCAGGTCGTGGTGATCGGGATGATGAGACACACCCCCTCAGTACTACAGAATAGCAGCTCGTCTAACTGACAGGTCTGATCATTATTCTGACCTCACAAAGTATATTTGAAAGTCGCGCAGTTAAAGGCCGGCGGTGCTCCTGGTGCCGTGGGCGGCATCCGAAGTGCATAGGATTACTTGGGCCCATGCCTTCCACGGCTTCAGGCCTAAAAGAAACTGCCTACTACTTAGAACACACCGAGTCAAGTGAGCCCTAGCCCGGAAGATTTAGAGTTGAAGCCACGTCGACGCCAATGGCATTGCGCACCCACACCCAACATCCACCGGTCCCAAGGGCTAGGGAGGCTAAGGGAAGCTAATAAGGCCCCGCGACGACAGCACACTGTCACCCTGCCCTGCGCACCTGCAGTGGCACACCTCGAGTTTAGGTACCACCTTAGGTAACGTACTGCACTGCACTGCAGTGGTGGCCGCCGGCTTACACTGGCAGTAGTAGCTGCCCAGAGGCTCTAGCGTAGAGATTAATCGAGCAGGTCTAGCCCCGAAGTCTGTTCTCAAACTGCACCCTCGTCCGTGGCCCATTCCATCCGTATCGGGTCAGTCTTCCACCAACCCAGGCCACTCCAGCACCGTTCACCATCATCCATGACTCGGCCACTCTGGAGAATCCAATCGGTCCAGCAGTCAACTCGATCAGATCACTCTATCCGACTCATCGCTCAGTATGTGGTCCGCGTCGTGTCATAAACTGCATGTGTCGGTGATGTGGCAACTTGTCGACCCCAGGATCCTTCGTTCTATATCAACCCGAGTCCCGTGAGCGGGCCAGATCGACTCCTCCTTCAAAAGCCTCGATGCTGCCCTACGCCCCCCGTTGACAAGTCGGTCCTGTTCATGCTTGTTCTCAAGTCTCCTGGCGCACCATCACCATCACCATGACTACCATGCCAACACCTCACGGCGGCGATGCGAGTAGGAAGCCTGCTCGGACCAGAGACCGCAAGCCACGAGGGCGCGGTCTGCGCACGCGAACCGGCTGTATGACCTGCCGCAAACGACATCTCAAGTGCAACGAAGAGAAGCCAGTGTGCGGACCATGTGCTCGGAGCAATCATGACTGCGTCTATGCCGATCCCTCGTCCATTCAAGCAGCCACCCCCTACAACCCAACATCCCATCCAGCTCCCTCGCTGGCGGAACAGCCTCAGTCTGAGCATCACCTTTCTCAACCCGCGTCGCCTGACTTTTATGACACCGCCACGCCGCTCGCATGCTATTCGAGCAATGCTGGCGCAGACAACCATTCACAGATGACTACTGTGCTGGCAGGTTGGGACGAAAACTCCAGTTCTCAACAAGACTCGCCTCGATCCAAGGCGCCGCCTGTCTCGGTGACCGGTGAGCTCTCGCCTGGTGCGCCTTATTTGCAGTCCCTAATGCAAACGAGTATCTCGTCTCAAAGCATCTATGCTGTGTCGAGTCCCGAAGATATCCCAACCGCTTGCCACATCTCGAAATCGGGTCCTTTGGCCGATGCAGCGATTGCGAAGTGGTTCGGATTACTAGCTGGGGACGCCGAGTTCGAGGGAGAGCCTGCCCCGGTCAGCTTCAACGGCCGTCCACATGTTCAACCTGATACACGTACCTCCTCTCTCTCAGAGTTGGCGAACGCCCAGAGTCATTTACGTGCCGAGTTCCCTTCCAGCATATCTGGCCCTGCATTGGGGGCTGCCCGGACCGCCTCTCATCGGATTCCCTACTCTCACCCAGTGCCTCCCGATTCGCACCTATGGCAGTCGACCGCAGCATTGACTCTCAGGCCTCATGAAACCAAGATATTCAACCATTTCGTGAACCGGATCAGCCGTTGGGTAAGTCCATTTACCTTCGAACCAGTCCTTCGCACAAACTTCTGGCGTTCTTGTATACTGACATGTGTTTGACTAGATTGATCTCTTCGACCCAATACGTCACTTCTCGACATATGTCCCTCACTTGGCGGTAAGTCATATCTTCTGACCAGAAGTGGCCCTTTGAGCGGGGGCACCTTTGTTGCTCTTGGAGACTTGTTATTCAATTCTCAGATTCTCCTTGGGCGTTTCTTCCCTCATGCGACGAGGCTCATTGAAATGATTGTGCTGATGTGATTGGTTCGGTAGATGCACAACGTCGGATTGTTGAACGCCATACTGGCATTGTCAGTGAGACATCTGTCTCTTAGTCCAACGAGCGAAAATGGAGCTGTCCACGACAGAAACGAGTCCCTTCCCTATTACCACGAAACTTTACATTATGTGCAAAAGGCGATGCAGTATGATTCGTACAACACCAGTGCTGAATTACTCGCCACGTGCCTAATCATTTCTGCGTATGAGATGCTGGACGGGTCCCGGAAAGACTGGGAGCGGCATCTGCAAGGGGTGTTCTGGATCCAACGTGCGCAGAGGATCGATGGTGATTCATTTGGCCTTCACCGAGCCGTCTGGTGGGCGTGGCTGTGCCAGGATGTGTGGGCTGCGTTCAAAGAGAAGCGGAAGCCCTTCAATTCCTGGACGCCGAGCAGGGATTATGGCGAGCTGAACTCTTACGAAATAGCCGCACGTTCAGTCTACGTGTTGGCCCAAGTTGTCGCGTACTGCTCCCAGGAAGAGATGGCACGAGGAGAAGTCGACATCAGGCCGCGAATCGATAGGGCAGAAACCCTTGGTCACATGCTTGATGACTGGCAGCGACATCTACCCATCGAGTTTAACCCCTTGCCATTGGAGAGCGGAGGATCTGCTGTCTTCAAGCCAATCTGGGTTCATCCTCCGGCTTTCGGTAAGTGAAGCAAACTTCTCCCCCTGACCAGGCTAACCCCTCCGCAGGCGTCGCGATTCAAGTGCACTGCGCCGCTCGCATTCTGCTTCTGATGCATCGACCTTTCCTCCGGGGCTTGGCCGACCTTGTGCACCAGCAAAGAGAGATTGGAACTTATATTGAGACTATTTGTGGGCTAGCTGTTTCTACAGCGTCCGATTACGCGTCGAGTAGCATGACATCTCAGTGTCTTTTCATAGGTATGAGAACTCCATCACCCGTCCGCCACGGAGTTGGCTGACTTGTAGGCACAGCTGGGCTATGTGTGAGAGACCTGCGCCAACGTACGGCACTCGTCGAACTTCTTGACCTATGTCACCGTTCTAGTGGGTGGCCCATTCAGTCTCTATCAAAAGAGCTATATATGGTTTGGAATGGGTTCCAAAAACATCCGTTTCCATGAAGTGAGAAGCCGGGGGACTCAGAAGTGTCCCAGCAGATCTCAACCACTTCACCACAGCTGCACGCTCATCAGCGGTTAAGCCATTGCTGGACAACCTGAGAGACGGTGCGGAGTTGCGCCGATGGGCTTGCTGCCACCAATGGCTGTTGCCCAATCAGCTGCGTATCCGGGATGGTGACAGCCGTACAACGTGTGTCATGACAGGGTGTTGTGGCAGGCGGATTCAAGGCTGGACGTGATGCAGTCCGGCGAGGACAACAACATGCTGCTGCCGTCGGGCACCGTTGCAACTTCTGCCTTGAAATAACGAGTATTGATGGTGCACACGATTTGACGTCGATCATGTCTGATGAACACGGTTTCCAAGGCGTCATTCTCGTTATCGCTGTGCCTTCTTGGCCTCATGCCACGTCGCACGACTTCTCACCTTTGGCAGTATGCACCTGGTCGTCGTGGGCAGAAATCTACCATCTCAACGGTCTCATTCCACCCCTTTTACCTGAAGCACCCAAGGTCTTGCAAGCATGTCTTCATGGTGAAGCGTTTCGACCCACACTGGTCATTTGGCGCGGACAGTGCGAGACGAACTCAACCTGGAATGAAGCCTTCAGGTCTTCGTGAACCCAGCTCGATCCTGTGGCCTCCCCATTCCCATGTCGACACGCTGGGTTATCATAACACCGGGATTGGCATGTTAGCATGCCGTCAGCACCATAGCGCAGGATGTCAACTGCAGATACTTGTGTCCGAATGGTCTAAGTCATTGTTACTGCCAGCATTGGCTTACACAAATCCTGGATCACGGATGGCACCAGACGTATCGACGCTGATGTTTCTTGTAACCGTGGTAAACTTTGTTTGCCACGGTCCCTTTTCAACGACGATGACAACAGTACTTGCGGCGGCCTTGGAAGAGCCATTCGACTTCAGCCGGCTGAACGGAACGAGCGCCTGGTAAGCTCGGTAAGCCGGGTTAGTCGTGCCGCTGAGTAGATTGTTGCAAAGGTTCGGTGTTGATGATTGGAATGGAAACCAGAGTAACCATGCAGATAGAATTGGCTGACGGCCTGCAAATGGCGTCAGTGAACTTCGGAGACTGCTGTATGTCTCTGTAATTAGCATTCCGATCGCTTCATCACTGCGTTGGCTCGAGATCCGTTACAGCGTTTTCTTCCACCTTCTCATCAAAGTCAACATCCGTGTTGACGCACGTGCTGAGAGCATACAAGATAGTATGATGGTAAGGAACATTCGGGAAGGGCAGACCCCTAGGACGAACAAAAGCTGCCTGTCTCCCGTGAGGGTGTCCACATTCCACAACATAAGTAACAAAATACCGAGATCTGTGGTCTCAATTGTGGTGAGAGGAAGAGGTAGCTACCGGACTATATACCTCCAACATGTACCCGGAAATCCGGCACGCGAGCCTCGAGACGGCGTCAGGAGGAGCCGAGTCCTGTTCATGCACGTGCGTAGATAGGACTACAACATTGGTGGATCGCCTCGATCAGACTTCATGATGTAGTGGCAGCTGCATACCGTTTCGCAGCCTGGGGGGGACGGAGTAGCTCCGTCAAGGAGAAAGAGTTCCAAGGCTTCCAAGTGGTGTGTAGGCATTTCACCAGGGGAGGCCCCCGATCATGAGGAGTTGACACCTCAATATAAAGATATCCGACGACGCTTTTCCTCGGCTCATCGACCGACCATGATATAAATTTGCATTCGAGAATGGATCCTCTCCGTGGCTCGCGGCGTCAAGGTCAAAGGCTTCTCTTCTCTGGGCTGAAAGCTAGATTCTCGCGAGAGTGGAGGGTAGTCGTCCCCCACATCGGCAGAGACAGACTGGGGTTCCGAATGTCAGAGAACAGCAAGCGAATGGCGTAGTCTCCTGACAACACAGGGGTCTTTTCCGCGTTTGGCGTGTTTGATTGTGTGAGATGATGCCCATCGCAGCTTTCGACCAAATGTTGTGATCGCTCAGCCTTGTGGTGTGCAGTGGGTGAAATGTGGAATCCCGATCATGTGACTCGCAGCCTTGTCTGGATCACGGATAAACGAGATGCCGGGGCAGCGAGAGACGCCAAACCCGTTGTAGCCTAGCCTCTCGAAAGGTGCGCTCGATCTCGCAGTGACTCGCAGTAAACAACGAGCGACCGCGAAAGAGCTTGATTCCGTCGCAGTCTCGCAGCTGCGGCGCCGGCTAGAAGCAGTAAGAGGTATCGCAGCGTGCTGTGACTTCGACCCTGTATCTCTCTTTTGCTCTATACTATCGCCATCAATCAATCAATCAATCAATCAATCGATCAATCGTATGACGGAGATTCCACCAGAATCCTTCCTTTCTCAACAAACCGCCTCCCTCTCTCCATCCATCCATCCATCCATTTCTCCTCCACCTCCACACTTTCTCCTCTTCTTTTCCAGCCTTCTACCTTCATTCCGCCTTCCCCTCAAACCCCTCATCTCCACACTGCGCGACTCGCAAGGCTTGCCAGACAGTATTGCCATCTCATAACCCTCCCTCTCCAAGCATGGACGAACTCCAGTCGCCGGATGCTGGTGGTAGGGTTAAGAGGAAGCAGTCAGGCAACAAGACCAAGACCTTGCCCTGTCCGCATTGCCAGCGACTCTTCGCCCGGCTGGTAAGTCAAGAAGCCGTCGCCCGTCTTTTGCATTCGCGTTGCCTCGGCGGAGACTGACTCGAGAGTGTATCGACAGGAACACCTCCAAAGACACATCCGCACCCACACGAAAGAGAAGCCATTCGTCTGCGAAATTTGTACAAAGTCATTTGCCCGCAGCGACCTGCTTGTGCGCCACGAAAGACTCGTTCATCCGGGGGAAGAAGAGCAGCATACCACGAGAAAATCCCATAAACACCACATACAAAACCACAATGCGACCAAGTCGCAGCAGCCGCATCACGCGTCATCCGTCACATCGGACCCGATGGACATTACATCGCAGCCCAATCCAGCCTTGCTGTCACCGGAAGCATCTCACGAGGGAAGAGGGATGATGGATATGTTGGATCCTCAGCTCATGCAGCCTACCAACGGCATGCACCAGGTTGAGGGGATGCCATCGCACCAACCCTCAGTTCTAGGCGCTCCGCCACTTGATCCATCATGGGGTTACGATTTGAATTTGCTGTCGCATGCCGCCAGCCACGTTGCTTCAAGCGGACAGGATCATTATATGTCCGGTCTTCCGCAGGTGACTCAGGAACTCGGTGAACAACCAATACCCTCGATGATGCCCACGGTGTCGGAAGGACAATACCAGCCCCGAATGCTTCCAGAGGGCTACGATCAACAGCCGTCTATGTTCGAGCCCCCGGACCTGGCCGATCCAATGCAGGATTTCACCGTCTTCCTCGACTCCGTGGGATTGTCTTCCGAATGGTACACCAGTATGTTTGGCAATGAGCCGGTGGACAACTATCATTCTCCAGAGTTGAGGGGGGACCACCTCAATATCTCAAGGCCTCATTTGAACGGTGAGCATTCCATCGATACCAAACTTGGCGTTCCACAAGAAGAGACGACCACCTTTTCCCGATTCGGTTCAAGGTTGCCATCCCTCCAGCCAGAGTCTAGAGAGCCTGACTTCCATCGGCCAGAACCCCGAAGCTCGATCGAAGACGCGGAAGCCATCAAGGTCAGGACCACATGGGACGTGTCCGACTCTGACCGGTCCATCTTTGTCTCCAAATTGGCCGCCTTCGACAGCGTCATGCCCAAAGGCTTTATTCCTCCATCTAGACATTCTCTCTCTCGTTACTTGGCAGGCTACGTCAACGGCTTCCATGAGCATCTCCCTTTTATCCATGTGCCCACACTCCAAGTCTCACAAAGTGCCCCTGAGTTGATCCTAGCGCTGGCAGCTGTAGGCGCACAATACCGATTCGAGAACAGCCGCGGCATAGAACTCTTCTACGCCGCCAAAGCCGTGGTAATGGAACAGATCCGATGTCGCGATGAATCGGCAGTACCCCAATCATGGAATAGACCCAGGACAGGATCGATGGCTCAATCCCCTAGTGGTGGATTCGCGACCCAAAGTCACTCGGGCAGTCCGTTCCAACAGGTTTCGCCAGAAAATGCAGTCACCCCCGATAGCAAAGAGCAGATGGATTCGATACAGGCGCTTCTACTTCTCACTGCGTTTGCGACTTGGGAGAGGCACACCGCATTGCTCCGTGAAGCACTAGCATTCCAAAGCATACTGGCACGCCTCGTGCGGGACGCTGGTCTCACAAGTCCCGAGATCATGCAGTCCCCGGACGACCTAACTTGGGAAGATTGGATCCGAATTGAAGGAGACAAGCGTACTAAGTTGATTGTCTACTGCTTCTTCAACCTTCACTCTATCACGTGGAATGTCCCTCCTCTGATCCTCAACTCGGAGATCCAGCTGAACCTACCCGACCCGGCCAATGAGTGGAAAGCTACGACGGCCGAGCAGTGGAAGAAGTTACACGAAGCAAATGCGTCGCCGCAAATGCCGTTTCAAACGGCCTTCATTCGGCTCTTCAACAAACAAAACCAAGCCGCCTCAACACCTATCTCCCCGCTTGGGAATTACATCCTCATACATGCAATCATTCAACAGATCTATTTCGCCCGACAACTCTCGCTGGCGTGGCCTGGCGTGGCGGGATCGAGTCTACGTTTAGAAGACATTGGGGTGCTGGATCGCGGGCTCAGCTCCTGGAAGGCCGGATGGAAACGAACGCCGGAATCCAGTCTCGACCCGCAGAATCCGAATGGTCCCGTCGCATTCACATCCACGGCACTGCTGGGGCTGGCTTACATTCGACTTCACGTCGACATGGGCCCACTTCGACACCTCGAGACACGCGACCCGTCACACATAGCCCGGTCGCTGTTCAACACGCCCGACATCCGACGCGACCCGCGCTTGACGCCGGCACTCCTCCATTCCGCCCATGCGCTCTCCATCCCCGTCCGGCTGGGCATCGACTTCGTGGCGCGCACGCAGACGTTTTTCTGGTCGATCCAACACTCGCTGTGCAGTCTGGAATGCGCATTCCTGCTGAGCAAGTGGCTGGCGGTGCTGTCTCGGCTGAAAACCGAAGGCGGCCCGCCCGTCACCGAACACGAGCGCAAACTCCTCCTCTGGGTGCGCAGCCTGCTGGAAGAGACGGAGATGACGGTGCCCCTGAACAGCGACGCCAATGACCACACCATGATCCACGAGAGTCGCGAGCTGTTGGACGACACGCGCAAGATGCGCGCCTTGAGCGTCGCCGTCGTCCGTGTGTGGAGTAAGACGTTCAAGGGGAACACCAGTTGGGCCATTGTCGATATGATCGGCACGGCGTTGGAAATGTATGCGGACATGCTTGAGCAGGATATGTTTGGTGGTCAGAGTTGAGATTATGTCCTCCTACCTGTTGGGCGAGTAGAACCAGAGAGAGTGTGTGTGAGTGAGTGAGTGAGTGAGTGAGAGAGAGAGAGAGAGAGAGAGAGAGAGAGAGAGAGAGAGATTATGATTATGAATGTTGGATTGTATTGCATTGCATTGGGTCGCACCGGAATCGATCGATTGGCACTGCACCACTGAGGGTCTTAAAAGAGTCTTAGCCTACATGAACATCACAACTTGAGAGCTTGAATTGTATGAAATTGGCGAATAGATCAAAAGCAGACAGGACTAAGCACGTCTTTGTGTTGGCGTCGTAAGGAAATCTGATCCGGAAATCCAGACAGAAATCCCGAAATAGTAATAATCCTTAAATGTGTTTGATGTCTGTCCGCCTCGATCCCCCAGGTTAAGTAGCCTTGCCTTGTTGTATGTGCCTAGGTAGGTACTGTAAGGTTATATAGGTGGCAACTTCCAAGGGTTACTTACTGGGTAGGGTAGGTGGGTAGTTAGGTATGTAGATACTAGGCAATCAATCTTGGCCTAGGAAAAGGCTTACAGGCTCAAGAAAGGAAAGATACTGTGCGATGCAAGAGCTTGGGTGTTCTTGACGGTGTCTTTGTTTTTGTGTGCATATGTGGGTGGTTGTATAAAGTCAAGTCACTTTCCCCTTTTATTATTCGTCTCAACGGTCTCCATCTTCTGCGCTGTCAATGCAGGATCAATTTCTCCAGCCTCTAAAGTCCACGACCTCTTTGGCTCTTCGGTCTTCGGTCTTTGCTCTTTGCCTCCCCATTCCTGCCTGGTCCTCCTGCGTCACTTGTTTGACAAGTCATCGGTCCAGGTATCGGATCAAGTGTCTGATCTCGGAATCCCAATTTTCCTTTTCCAGGGCAGAGGCATCTGTCTTCTTCATTGTCGATGACTAGTCTGTGGGCCGCTGGTTTGCTGTTGGCTAGACAGTTGACTCCTTGTCTGTCGATGCGGTGTTGGGTGGTCTGGCAATGGGTGGCCGGTCTCTAGCCTGTTGATTGTTGATAGTCGTTCAATATCCAAACTGCTCCATCCCTCCAGTCTTGGGTTGTCTGTCGAGTCAACTAGGCAATCATTCGGTCAGGATCTCCCATGCTTGTAAAAGGTGCCAGATTTGTGCTGGAGACTTACTCCGTCCTCCGCGTCGCATGGTTCCCTCCTCTTCACCTTGCCCTACCTCTGTCCACGTTGTCCATGTTCCAATGCCATACCGTCGCGCTGCGTCCTTTCCATCGCTGTCCTCTGCACTGTTCTGCTCTTATTTCACCTTCCATGCCAGCATCAGCGCTGTGGTTCAATCTGATTCCGCAAGCCATATCATCATCTCTTGATCAAGATCCCCGCCATTCCATTCCACACCGAAGAGGAAGACGCGGAGCGAGGCATGGAGCCAGGAAGCGTAGGAATCGTAAAATGAGTAGAGAGCAGACTGGAGGACAATCGTTGCCGAGGCCGTAGGTGAGGGATCTTCCGTCACAGAGGCAGTTGTCGAAGAAAGGGGGTCTTGTCTGGATTTTGGGGAGGTATCTGTCTCGAGTCAGAAGAGCTGAATCATCACCGGAAGCTGTAGTTGATACTCACTCGTGTTCATTCATCATTATCACATGGATTGCTCCAAAGATTCTTTTCCCTAGTCATCTCCCTCGCCACGGCGCAGTCTCGGTACCACGCTTCTTGCGTCGTTTGGGCACACCAGCGGTCTCCCGAAAACCCATCCAAGCCAGCTTGCAGCCATCATTCCAGGAATCCTCCAGGGCGAGATTTCACAAAAGTCCTGGTCATCTCCCTGCCACAGTACAAACGCTCCTCCTCGGTCTCTTTGGTTGGGCAGGGGTCCTCCGAGAGATCTCCTCAAGCAATATCCAAGCCGCTGTGTCAGAAGTCCTCCCGAGTGGCATTGACTCGGACAGAATATGTTCTGTTTTCAAAGTCAGTAAACGGCTTTCCAGTTCCAGACAGAATTGGACGAGCACCGTACCGGCATCTCTCGCTGTTGCCGTACTTCAAGTCATCGCAACGCATCGCCTTCCCCCCGCGCCATGTCATGATATGTCAGTCTTTGGTCACTCGTGTAATCAGAACGAGATTCTCACCTTCTTCAACCAGCCCATCCTCCACACCTGGACAGGTCTCAGTTCACCGGATTGATTCCAGCCCAACCCAGCCCAACACTTTGCACCACGAGAAGGTGCCCGTCCATAGCAAAGCAAATATTGTATCACTGGCACCCTGAGGTATTCAGAACCCTATTCCGCTCAACCGAAGGTGAACCCGATCTGAAACCTCAAAGCCGTGCGGCCAGGGTGCCATAGTGACTGTGAAGAGAGTGTCTTCTGTCAATGTATCCTCCAGGGTAACCGAGCCACTCTGCAACCATGGATGAGCAACCTGCGACACACCAGCTATCCTAAAACTATCCTAATCCTGTAGAGTATGATTTTGTGAATTTTATGCCCTTTTTTTGTTTGCCTCAGACACTCCGTCAAGCATCCTCCGCAGTTTTTTCCATGTTTCCTGTGTGTGGTTGTGTGTCAGCACGTTGCTCGGTTGCAGAGATGGCCAGCCCCTTTGTCCTGCTGCTGCGCATCAACCCAAGAAACAGGAAAAGCACTACCCCCTCAGTGAAAGCCCCAGCGTCCCAGAACTCCACGGCCAACAAGACGGCATCCATCATCAGTAATGCCCTACCAAAGACTTCAGACCACTCTGAGACCAATCCTCCATCCACTCCCCAACTCAGAAGGCTTGATGCCGACACAAAAACCAGAGCTCAAGTCTCCGTTTTTGAGCCAGCCTTGACACCACCCAGCAAGCCCCCTGACAGCTCCAGATAGTCATGACCAAGCTGAAGCTGAGCCTCCAACCACTGATCCGTGGTGGTTGAAAGCTCGTACCAGACCTCCTCTACCGCCTTCCGACAGCGGCACACCTCCCTGTCGCGACACACTCCACAGACCCTGGTCTTGATCAGATCCTTGGGCCAGTGGCGAGCGGGTGTCACGACAGGAGGCTTCTCCAGCACCACCACCTTCTTCGCCGACTTCTCCTTCTCCATCTTCACCGGTAAGCCCCCCATCCGTGGAGAAGTCGGCGCTGCCGGTGATGGTGCTGCCAACTTCAACTCCCCAGAGCGTTCCGACCGGTGCTTCAGGATCGAAGTGAGCTGACGCTCAACTCGATGGCTCCTGATTGGCTCCGGCCTGAAGCAACTCTGGGGAGCCTCAGCTGCCCTTTCCAAAAGCCGTCTGGAACATCCCCCATTCCCCCGCTTGCCAACCTTCTTGTCCCTCGACGTCGCGGCCCGCCCGGAGAAAGCCTTCCCCAAGCGAACCAGAAGTCGGGACGCAAAAGTTTTCCCTCCCGTGCCCTTGAGAGATTTGGCACTTGTCTTGCCCTTTCCTTGCTCACCATCTCTGTCAAGCGGTGAAGAGTCAGATCGACTCTTCCCAGACATCACATCTTTAAGACCTGCCCACTGCGGGATCTGTGACCCAGCTGCCTTTGCGAGGGCCTTGACCGAAGTCGCGGCCTTCGCAACGGTGCTGGAGAGACGAGACAGAGCTCTCTCTTTTTTGATGTTTTGTCTGGGCTCACCCGAGACAGTTGTGGACGGTGCCAGGTCCGAGACAATTGGCACAGTGATGCTCGTTGATTGTGCAGGGGCATCCACACGCTCAACGCAATCAGAAGAAGATGTTGCTGTAGACCTTCTTCGGAGGACGCTGTTGGTCAACCAAGGCCGAGGCCTGGTATCCCTCTGGCGCCTCCTCAGGTCGCCAATGCTGCAGTCCGAAGACCCAGCATCAGAATTGCTGTCCTGAGACATCGCAACAATTGACCTATTGAGTGGGAGATTAGCATTTGATGGCTCCCTGACGGAAAAACAATGCACAGCTTGATATGGCACAATGGAAAAACATTCTGTCGGAACCAGTTGAGGGAAGGCGCTGGTGCGGGAGGCCGCTGGCGGGAACGGAAGACGGGATCCCGCCCGAGAATAGAAATCAGGAGGTCGTCAAAGGCAATGGGATCAGGGTATGAGTTCGGAGGATTGGCTCAAAGCATGACCGCTGGCATTGGGTTGAGACTGTGGCTGATGGGAATGGATTGTAGGCAAAAGTCCGGGCAATAGCATCAGGGAATTGGAACAGTGAAGCCGAGATTTGTTGACGGCAATGTGTTCATGGACTGTGCTCAGGGTATGGGTTCATGGAGTGAGTGCAGGGAGCTGTGCTGATGTAATGATCCCAGGGCAGTGTCCATCGGATGAGTGCACGGGATGCTTTCTTTTGAAGTCTTGATGTTCCAGGCAGTGGCAATGGGAGGCATGTCTTCGTCCACGACACAGAGGACTTGAAGGAAGGGAAAACATGGAGAAAGGGAGCTGGCAGAGAGAAGTAGAGACTCACCAAGAATAAGCTTGAAGCTCACTACCACACAGTCCACTCTCACACACCCAAGTCCTCAACACCCAAGTCCAGTCCACACAGCCAAACACACAGATAACCGACTTCCAAGCACCCAAGCTCACACACACCCAGCAAGTTTCTCAAAGCGCGATCTGTATCACAGTCAGCAGTATGGTGTATCTTTCAAGCAATCTAGAGCAGAGCAGCAGAGAGCAGAGGCAATACTAACCTTGGTAGAAGAAAGAAGGAAAGGAAAGAAGGAGGAGAAGGAAGAGCGATGTATTTATCTCAATTCCAAGCTCTGCGTAGGAGTCATCCAGCGCTGGGAAACACAATAGAGCGACATGATACACCTTTCGGTGGATGCTTGATGCTCGCGCTGCCATCAATGGTTCATCAAATAGAAGAGTTTCTAACGCGGGGGGAGCGGAGCGGACGCACTCGATCGCCGTGAGCCACAAAGTTGTCCTTATGAAGCGGAGCGTTGACAAGGCGATGGAGAGTTTGCAAGAGTCACGTCTCCATCATGTGAGCCTCATGTTGCCAAGGATCTACACACTCTTGCCGGTCGAAGACCAATGCAGCCACCTCCGTTGTCCAGCTGAAGGTCGCTTTTATGGTTCTTGAACCATGTAGAGACTTGAGGAGGCGAATGGGACTGTTCCGGACAGAGAGGAGTCGGCGGCTGGCAAAGGCCTCGCAAATGTAGATAGCATTGCGGGGACGATGTAGCCTTGTGATGCAGATTGAATCGATATAGAAAAGGTGGTGGAGCAGGTACAGTTTGGGCCAGCAAAAGCATGTATTGGTGAGGCTGAAAGATCCGACTTTCTCGTAGCAAGGTTTCGTGGCGACCTGGACGGACCAAAGGGCGGCGATCGAGGTGAGCAGGCGCAGCAGGCATCGTGAGACTGGTCAGGGTGTCTGAGGAGCCGGAGGTTTCTTGGGCCAGGGGTTGAATTGCCAATAGGCTCTTTTTGTATTGCGTACGTGCAGCTTGCTCCAGACAGGATACATCGCGAGGGCTGCGACACGACAAGGCCAACATCACTGCTGGTGGAGATGGAAGGCTGTGGCCAGGGAAGACAACAGATGCATCGAATGAACTGGGCCATTCAGATGAGCCTGAGGTGGATGGCACACGGTAACCGGACGATCGAGGAATGGGATGGTTGGATGTCGAGTCAGGCGCGGGAATGATTGAGGAAGGCATAAGGAAGGTTTGCTGAAGGTTGAACCGTTGCCACAGCTCGCATGTTGATCGAGTTGCGAGTGGGGGGCTCAGACGGCGCAGCGCATGACAGAAAGCAACTTGAAGAAGATGGACGAACCGGTTTGGGCGGTGAAAAGTCTACACACAGTGTACACAACAACCAGACCGCAGGAGGCTGACGGAGCAGCTGAGAAGACTGCTGCTGCTGCTGCTGTTCCGGAATGATATCAGAGTCTGCACTTCATACCTAGGTAGTCAGCCTGCTGTCCCTTAGGGACTACTAATACTCCCAACTTGAGCCATGGTCAGTACATAGGAGCTGCACGACACATGCTTACTCGTGTCGGTGTCGTTGAAATCAGCAAGTCGGACAGGTAGGTATCAAGGCACGTCCAGTTCCAGCCTTCCGGCCTCGCTTAGTCAATGATTAGTCAATATAATTTACCTCAGCCTCGTCTAGTCTGTATGCCAGATTGACCCAAGGCTACCCGATGTTATGCAAACTGCCGCTGTTGGCTGGTGACCTTTGTTTCTGCCATACGGGCATGTATCCTGTCCTTGTCCCATATCATGTGTCCACCTTATGGATATGTCTCCCGGATGGCAGAGGCTTTCGCTGCCGTGCCCTCATGTGCAAAATACGACGTACCATATGCAACGTCCTGAAGGAAGGCAAATGCTGGTAACCAAACCTAACCCCATGCAGCTGCTATTCAAGGCCCTTCACTTCCAACTGCAGATGTTCAGAGAAATGCCGGACTTCCCCCTGCCGTACTCTGTCCACTTTCACTCCTGCTCCTTTCTGTTCTTCGACTCTTCAAAAAGTTGCTCACCATCCTTTTGCTGTTGAACAACCCTAACATTCTGGCCGCATTTCGACCTATGCTAGCGGGCTCGGAAGACAAGCCATTCGCGTCCGTGACACCTTGTCCCTTACGAGCTTGTGCATCAGACCCATCTAATGTCGTTGGAACATAAGGCGCAACACTTAACCGGCTGCTTCCTATCGTGTCGGGGTGGCCGGGGGTTCTCTTGCCCAGATACATGCTGTCGAACGGTCGGTTGTGAGGAGGCACATCCATGTTAAATGGGCGGCTGAGTCGTGCAACCAGATGGTCCTTGGCTTTCTCACTGGGACTTTCTTCGCAGCGGCTGGGAGTGGTCGATAGTGAACTAAATGCACTCTGCGGCGTAACCTGGAGCCCTCGGACAGAGATAATTGCCGCCTCACTGCCTTTCTTCCTTAGTCGTCCGGTCGTGTTCCCGTTTCGAGCTTGAAGGTGCAATTTGCCAGGTGTACTCATTGGAGGAGACTCGCTGTGTTCGGCTCGGACGTTTTCCTTCCCTGTGTCGTCGGGCTTCGACATAAGCTGGCTTTTCTTTCCCTTCAATTTCTTCGCCAGAATGCCTGGGCTAAGCTTTCGGAAACTGTCACCCGTCTTTGCCTTATCCTCAACCTGGTTTGAGATGGGTTTCAATGTATCTGCTCGTGCCGTGTAGAGCAACCCTGTGTGGCTTTTGCTGCCGTTAAGCCGGGGTTTTGGCCTTGTAACGTTGCCGTTTGGCGCAACCCCAATGGCGTACAGACACTTCGGGTCACCCGAATCCTTCGGCCGAGCAATAGCCTGGGAGAGACCTCTTTCGTCACTTCCGCGCGCTTGCTCAGACTTTATCTGCGCCAATTCACGTAAGTGTGCAGCAGCCTGATAGTCCTTATTCGTTCGGTCAGTGGTAAGAGTGTCTGACCAAGGATTCCATTCAGAGGGTTGCGTATGACCAATGCCGATGTCTTCCGTTCCAGAAAGAGGCTGCGAGCTCGACCGATGGTATACAGTAGGCAATATTGTCGCCATGCCAGCCAGCTCGGACCCTGCATGGTTAGGAACTGACAACTCTTCGGAGCTTCCAATGGGAGATCTGTATTGATCATTGATGCCACCATTCGTGGTGCGCGAGTAGACACTGTCACTGCTGAACCCAAAGCGTCGCCGATCGATCACATAATTGCTTGTATCGCGATGGCACATGACACTGCCCCCGTCGGGATCTGAGCTCTGGCCGCAGTTATCGCTTCGTTCATGATGCCGTCTATCTTGCAAGAACTGTTTGAAAGGACTCGGAGCACTTGGATTTTGTTCGCTAGAGAAAGGAAAGAAGCTTGATTGAGACTCCTGTACCGCGAGTCGTTCCTTTCTTCGTTCCAGGTTTTCCTTGTGCTCTTCCGGTGTCATGCCAGCCTCTGGCTGGTCCCAGGAACAGGACCGACTGCTAAAATGCCGGGGCTGGTCATCAAGGGGCATCGTGGCCAGGGAAGAGTCACTGCGCACAACCCGAATCGTCGGTCTGGCATCGGTGGGTGAGTCGGGAGCATCACAATGCTCTTGATTGAGGGCCTTAAATGCTAGCCGTGTCCTTTCAACCTCCGCTTCTTCTTGATTGATGCGTTTGATCAGTGCTGAGTAGACGCGTTGGCTGTCCACCATGGGCAAAGGCCGGCCATCGCTTGGAGGTGACTGTAGTGGCTCCTGAAACAGGGTCACTCCCCCAATATGGCGACCGGCTGAGGAGGAAGGCTGCTGTGGTCCGCCATCTTCCTTGATGATGGACAGCCGGTTGCGCTCGATCATTCCTGATCGTAAACCAAGAGAGCCGGTCATGCTAGAATTGGTCCAGCTCGTCACCCGCGATCTCGTATTGGAAGGCAAGCTCTCACGACTCGCAGCTAAATCTAAGCTGTATGGCATTTCGTCTCGATTTTCAAGAGCGACATGCTCGGGACTCGCTGGGAAGTAAAGGCTTTGCCGCCGGTCTTGATTTTCTTCCTCAGCGCAATATGCGTCAAACCCACTTACAGACTCGGTATCAGCTCCGAGCTCATCAAAATGACTTCTTTGAGCCTCGAGTTGCTGTGGTGGGATTGTATCCTCCTCCTTCACGGACTTGCCGAGGGCATTGCGAAGCCGATTGCGCAGTGACGCCGAAAACGATCTCTTTCCCACCTCCTTCTGTGTAGAACGATTCCTGTTTGGAATTGGGACTGGTGACTTGTCCGAGTCCAGGCTGTGACTTGTTTTGAAACTCTTGTTGAAGGGTTTGTTATGTACGTTCGACCTAAAACTGAAGGGCATTGGTTGTCTGCACTCCGCCTGCTGCTGTTCTGTTTCGAGAAAGCGGGCTCGGGCAATCTGAACCGCTTCATCATGGCCAGGTCCATCGTTGGCACCTGAAAACTGAGCAACTCTGCTCTTGGGCCGAAGAGTTGTCAACGACTGTTTCAAGCGAAGACGGAAGTTGCTTGTAGGAAGAGCAGCAAAACTGGTCGCTCGTCGCGGGATTCGACTGCGCCCAACCGGGCTCAGCAGGGGACTGTCCTGGCTTTCCTGTATGCGGCGTCGGGTTGTCAGCATGGATCTTGCCTTTCGCAGTCTCCTGTAGGAGGAGGGCAAAGCGCCATAGTTCTCCGAGTTTGCCCTGTATCCAGACGCGTTCGAAGATTGAGTGTGATGACCTGCGATACCAGTGAAGCTTTGTTCAGAAGGCTGCGGTATCCTTGTCTTCTTCTTGGTCCGTAATGTCTTGTTCAGCAGCCCAATCCCGATCGGGTTGTGTCTGCGTGGCGTAGTCCATGACGAGGAACCTTGGCCTTGGGTTTGCGGCATGGAGGGAGTGGCTTCGCCTGGTACACTGCCTTCGGACGATGCGGATTCGAAGAAATATCGCTTCCAGGACCATTTCATGGCCTTTCGTGCAGCTATCTCTGCGCAGATCCGATCCACTCGCTTCTGCTCAGCGGCATCTATGGAGGGACCGGATCCCCACGACTCGTTCGTCATCCTGTACCCCCGTAAGGCAGTACTGTCCCCGGGTCACTCCTACCGTGACTGAGCCAGGGAGTTATCCAAACATGGCTGCACCAAAAAGGAGGATACTGCAATGAAGATGCAACGGTGAAGGTCTTGAAGGTCAACGCGTGTTGCCGAAAGAAAGGCTGGAAAACGTCGGAGCAACAAGGTTAGATTGCGTAGCAGACGGCAGTTAAAGTTGGGAATTTTCTGAAAAGGCAGCTGCGATGGACTCAATGGATTTTTTTTGAAAGAGCAAGCTTTGGCTTCCTCCGCCATGCAAACCGTCCCCAGTACAGAGCCTTGAACAGCTTCATAGTCCTCCTGTGGCGTGTGTCTAATCTTTGGACAGCGTCTTCCAGCGCTCGCACCTCGACGATTCGGTAACTGAGAAATATTGCAAGCATGGACTTTCGTACAGGATCTTGAGCGCGCCAGCAACAACGAAAGCAAGACCCGAATATATGCCGGCTGGCAAAACACCAGTGAAATCCGTCCGGCACTCTCGCTGGTTGTTCTTAGCACGTCGACCTGACCTTTAACGGCAGTGTGTTCCTGCGGAGGCATTGCAGCAACGATGAAAGCCGGCCGGGGTGCCTGGTCCATAAACTCCGTGCTGGCGCGAAAGAGCTAGAGAGTCAGCGTCAGGGAAGGATCTGTGGGTATAGGAATCGTTGCGAGGGCGAGCGAGGCTAGCGCATGAGTGAATACCTTACCATCGTCTTGATCCGACCGGAGCGTCGGGCAGCTTCCATGAGGCGAGCATTCATGTACCAAGTCAGTACACTACTCCTGCCGTTGGCGGTATGAAGGCATAGGTGGTCGATGATTCGAATGCCTTGAAAGGGGTGTATCTCATTGTCACTCCAGACAGTCAGCACTTTGATTACAAAGGCGAGGATAAGCGTGGAGCTTTCATATGCGAAACATCGCAAGTATTGCTGAAGGCATACGAGCTTCGTATCGCCAGGGGAGGCCATCCATGCTTTCAACCATTGTTTCAGCTTAGAGTCGATCGACTCAGTATTCCTTCCGACAGGTTCATGGCGACAATCGGTGTTTCGTCCTCGACCAAGGGCGGAGGCTGTCCGGACTCCGGCCGATGGCCGATCGAAACACCAAACAAGTAAAGACGGTATTCTCGAACGTTTTCACGAAGATTACCTGAACACGAGCGACTAGCAAATATTTCCGAACGTCCTTGGCTGAAAATATCTGGGGACAAGGTGCGGGTTTTCTACATAGGCAGCAAAATTCGATCGAATAAAGGCTTGGGCTTGAGGCTCAGATGTAAGGGCACATCGTTACTAGGCTCTGCGCGTCCCGGGGGCGGGACTCGGATGTCTAGCGGGAGAGACTCGAGAGACGGCTGTGGCTGCGGTCCGTCAGTCGTTTGACAGATTTGACGGGCAGCCACAGCACACAGCAACTACTACGTAGTTTGCCTTGACATTCAATCGTCGATGGCATGCGTACAGGATTGATCTCTAGGGAAGAGAATATCGAAGACAGGAGAGCGCAGGCGGCGCAGGGAGCGGTCAAGTGTGATCCCGTGGACAAGAGCCCATGGAGTCAGGGGTAGAGATTATGATTCACCGCTCGCCTCCTGATTGCGCTTAGATATATTACCTGGTAGTATCATCGTCCCTTGGACTTTGAGGTCATAGCCTGTTTCAACGAGAGGGAGGATAAACTACCAAGCTCGGAGCATGTTTCATCGCGCCGCTAGCTCGTCTGATTATCATGCCATGTGGTGATTGTGACGCCTGATCGGTAGGGCTAGGAGGCCAAGTTGGTCAGACGATAGTTGAATGCCTTACGCAGGGAATACTACTAGTAATGGGCAATCATATGATCTGAGCCGTCAAATCCCGGTTGTGCCGGTGGAAGACCGATCAGCACTGCAAAAGGCAAAGCGAAGTGAACGTGTAGCATTGCCCGACCAGCAAGGAAGCTACTAGTAGGATATGGATGAAACAACTTGATGTTTATTCTAAGGTACGGTCTGCTGTTATCAAACGGTCCTTCATCACATACTGACTGTGCACAATCCATCCTAGCTGCGATGCAAAGGCGAGAATGTTTGATTTCAGAAGAGTAGAAAACCAATTGACAACTCAATCGTTGTGGTTCGTCATTTTGCTCGCTCGTTGCTTTTCACCATGTCAGGCTCTCCATCCTGCAAGGTAGCTTATACCTGACTTAACCTCGGCTGAAAGCTCGAAGTGCAAGTATGCAGATGTTCATCGGCTCGTCGCGCCATGATCTGGTCGTCATTGATCCAATAAGCGAACTGAACACCAACCCAAAACCATACATTCGCCTCGTGTAGATGAAACCTCGACCAGCGTAACAGTTCAGTTCACGCCAGTCATATCGTGTGCCTTCCAAAGTGAATAAAAAGCAGCAAAATCATGTGCCTCCCAACGCCAATACTGCAAACGCAAGTAAAATAGGCAGTGTTCGTCTAGTGCCGATGTCGCTCTGTTGCCATAATCGAAGAAGTGCCATTGCAGGGGAATCCAGGGGAATAAGGGTAGAAATCCGTCAAAAAGTCGTGGGGTCATAGCAACGCTCGTAAGGGAAGGCAGTCCTTAAGTCGTACAATGAATGAATCAGAGGTCGTAAGTGGCATCACTGCGTTGCCGGCATATCCTGATGCCTAGCGGTGGTAGGAGAGATCTGGCGCTCTGGCCTGCAGATCCAACCAGGGTCTCCCTGCGGAAGGAAATATAATGGGGGGCTGATAGTTGTTGACATGCACAAACTGTACAATGGGGAGCAGACGGCAGTCGTGGTGTTACAAAGTCATGGCGATGGTTGGAGATGGTCGTAGGCGCTGCTATCTGCCTTGGTCTGCAGGGCATAACAGCATGGTGACATCAGGCTCGAATGACGTCGAACTGGACCGCGACCCTGATTGAAGATTCAACGGCTGTGCCAGAACGGAGCGAAACGGTCTGCTGGATCTACTGCGGAAGTTGTACATCTGGGAAAGAGATATGTTAGAGGTTGTTATTCATTGGGAGCAGCTCTGTACGTATAAAGAAAGAGGACATACTCTGCACTCTAAACATTTCCCCCCAGCGGTGTCGCAGCGTCCGCGGCATCCCCGAGGCTGGTTAGAACATGAGAACATGTCTGATATGGTAGAAGTATCGCTGCACCGTAGTACTGTGTGGGAGAACGTCGATCGCGTGGTTCCTTTTAGTAGGAATGGGTTCGGACGGAAGATCGCCCAGGTAAATCGAGCTGGTCCCAGGAGTAGTGTCCTGTGTACCTATATACCACACTGGGTAGTGGATTGATGACTGCAGCGGTATTGGAAGTCCTGAACACTGGCTGCGTGCAGTGTTGGCTGGTGGAGGTGAGTGGTGACGTTTGGGCCTGGCGTGCAGTGGTACACTCCAGCCAGGAAAAGGGGGAGATGCGGGATGCGCGGGTTGGAGATATTATGGAGGTGTTTTTGAGAACTCAATTGACACGGGTGGTGCCAGTGGCAGTAGGAATGGTAGGTAGTGTAATCGTACACAGTAATAGTGGTATACAGTCGGAATCTATGGGATCAATAGGATGTTGGCAGAAGGAAGAAGGAAGATTGGAAAGGGGAGTGAAGATGGCGAGATATTTTATTTCCTCGTCGTACCGATAAACAGCAGGCTGGCCTGGTGACTGAAGCCGACGAGACAGGCTAAAGAGGCCAGGGCCAGGCCGCGACGCCCGGAGGGATGTTCATTCCAGTAGGCCTTTCGCCTAAGGAACCCCTACCCTAACCCCCTGTAGGTAGGCCTGTTTACCTACCTAGTAAGATGTCTGACCACCACACTGGATACACTGCATCTTTAGGTGGTGGACTACTGCTATTTATCAGCCAGAGTCCTCCCTATCCCACTGAGGAGCCCCTTAGCCTTCTTAGCCCCCGCAGATTCCGGGGACTGTTGACACTTGCAGCCCGGCAGGCCCAACTCCTCGGCTCTGGTGTATTCCATCGCATTTTCGATGCAATGCAATTAGTTTGACTACTATCTATGCTTTCTTGCTCTCACTCTGCTCGACAGATAGATGCTCTTCTTCTGCTTCGCTACGCCTGCTTGCAACACAGTGTCTTCAATTCCCGACCCATGGCTGACATGAAATCGCTCCTACGCGTCGAACTCGTACGCGCCCTCTTCCGTGGACCACACACACTACAGAACGTTGTTCCTGTCAAATTCCTGTCAAACACCACTTGCGCCTGAATCCCGACCCTAATCAGTCACGTCTAGCACTCCGCCGGATCGATCAGCTGAGGCCTCCTGTTATGCTTGCTTGCAGTTTCCAACAGCCTTGCGAGAATGCGTCTGAACCAACAAGATCATCTCCTGCTGGTATCCCGGCTTACTCGGAATTCGGCGTGCTTGTCTTGGTCTGCAATTCATGTTCACTCATCTAGTAACGGTAATCTATTGATGTTTGGCTGATGTGCTCAACAGATGTCTCCCATCTGGTCAGCAGTTGACCTCTCCTTCTCAAGCTTTCGTCCTTCCTATCCCTAGTCCCGCGTCCTGCAGCCTCTCACACCACGTCTAACTCAATCCCGCCACGGCCGGAAGTGTCTCTCCGGGCGGGTCCACGCCTTACCCGATGGCGCAGGAGGACACAGGGAAGAGAAACTCCGGCTCCAAGATAGTCGGAACGGTGGCGAAGAAGAACAATTCGATCCGGTGCCCATAATCTCACACGGCTCACCACAGGGCAACGGCAACGACTTCCGCTTCACCATCTGGCTCGGTGGATTGAGCTCAACACTCCAAAGACTATTCATCTAGACGGTCTAGGCCTTCTCTCCCCTGTTTTTTGCCGCCGTTGTACGCCCAAGGGGCACATCTTGTACGAGCAACAATGCCACCTGGCACACCTAGGCTCTAGGTCTTCCGCTGTCCCGTCTCTCAAGAACGTCGAAATCAGTGTCTGGAACCCCTTACTAGTCACCTAAACACATTGCTTGACCGCTCTGTTTCCACGAATGAAACCAAGCTTCGGTCCGGCCAACCAGTACGGATGGATATCTGCCTGCTGACAAGTGCATTTGGACGAGGTCACCCTGGGACATCGAGTCTGTCGTGTTGGCCCGCACTGCCACAGGATAGATCGAGATAGACGCATGGGATATGCCAAGAACATAGTTGTCATGTTCAGCACGTTCTTGGTCCGGCCAAGCAGGCACCGTTGCAGTCCTTTGAGAAGGCCTGCATTGGCTCTGGTTCTGCCGTCTCATGGAACCATCGCATGGCCACCTCATGCTCCTCTACACCTGGGTGAAGAATTCAAGTTCCCAGCATCTAGAAGCTGCGAACAGGCTCGCCGGTGTGGTGACTCGCGTCCTTCATTTGAACCCATGGTGCTCGCGAAGGCCATCTTCGAGATCATCGAGAGAAACTTCCAGATAGGGTGCTTAGTATCTGCTAGTACGAGCATCCAAGCATTTCCAGAGATCTCCGTACTGGTATGAGCTCTCTGTGATATATCCACTGCAGAGTCATCAGGGTTATTACTTTCAGTTGGCCGTGTTGTCCATCGAAGACTTTATTCATGCGGTGCTAAACGCTTCCTCCGGGCTCAGATAGACAGCGTCAGACCAGAAGCAGCGATCTGAGAATCAACCACCCTCCCACAGCACCGATCGTGGTCGCCGCTAGCAAGCCATTACCCTCTCTCGTCAGGGCAAGATAAGCCAATAGACCGACCACCAACTCCTTCCTTCGTGCCATAGCTCTCCGACCCTTCCATTCCGGATCAATAGTAAAAGGGGCATTTTGATCTTGTTTTGTGTCCGAAACCGCCTTCAACGGCACGGTAGCAGCCAAGGCTACCGGGCGATGATCCGAGCTTGCAAACAACGGGAGAGAGGTATATTTCAGCGGCCGTACCTGAACATCCCCGTTTGGTTGCCAGAAGAAGATGCGATCGCACCAACTAGGCCAGCGATGACGTGCCCACGGCCAGGGCTGTTCTCCATCCAGCGTGACCGCCTTGCTGCCATCCGGATCGTACTTGTACGTAGGAGGGAAATCGATCGGCGCCTCAGTCAATCCATGCAGAGCTTTGCCGGCCTTGACTTGCTGCGTAAGCTGATCCTCGGCCAGAAGATGTTTGAAATGCTTGGGATCCGTCTCATCACTGGTAGGTTGCGGGAACCGTTCTTGCACATCCAGTGGCGATGGCTGGAGGAGTGATGTGCGGTAATTCAGATCTCCGGCGAAAAACAGATGCGAGTGTGCTGAGTAGATGCCACTCTCTGCGGGCAGGTTCCGTTGTGCAGGACCAGAATCCACGTCAAATTCGCCTTGCAACAATGGCGCATCTTCCGCGTGTTCATCTCTTACTCCACCGCCCTTGTTTGCTGTTGTAGCCACTTTCGTCTCTGGCACAAACACCAACCTCTGCACAATGTTCTTGTAGTCCTCGTTGCGCTGTTCCAAGGCATCTTCCATCGCTGCCAAATGAGCGGCGACGAAAGTCAACTGGACCTCCCCGGGCCCTTCATCCTCTTCTTCGTTATTGAGGGAGCCGGACCTAGGATGGACCGTGGAGGAGTCCTTCCATTTATAGCCCAATCTGGCCCCGACGGCGCCTTTATTGCCCATGTCACTCACACCGAGTCCGACTCCCGCGGTCTGAATCCAGCCGATATGGTCCACGACATCGGTTCTCGCGAAGACCATGATCGCAGTGAGCCCCAGATTGCGCGAGACAATATTGACATAGTCTGTAGATCTTGTGGTCGGTACAGTAGCATCACTACTACCATCACCATCAGCGTCGCCAGTATTCGAACTCCGACTGGTGTCGAAATCTTTGCAAGCTAATTTGACAACATCATTCCAAGCATCCAAGTACGGCGTCAAAAAGGATCCGCCGAGAAACGCGTACGAGATTGGCGCGAGTTCCTGGAGACATAAGACCAATAGCTCCGGCGGTAGCTGGCCGGGGAGATTGCTGCGTAATGCAGAAAACAAGTATGGCGCAAACGCTTCAGGTTGGACGGGTGTACGTCCGCAGTTGAAAGTTAGGATGTACAGGCTGAGGTCAGGAGTGGTATGGTTGGATACGGACTTGGATTGGGCCATTGTTTGAGTGACCGGTCTGGTTGAGGCGACACCGACAGACTCCCAGCAAGCAAAGTCTTGGATTGCAGTCCTCGAGGGGGGAAACAAGGCTGGAGTAAGATGTATCCGGCGATTGACTGCGCGTGAGTTGGTAAGCGGGCTCACAATGTCAAATGCAGACGATGGCCGGTCGGTGGAGAATGATTGCTGCTGGACCCGAAAGATGGAAGTACCCCTGTGGTGGAAGATTGGCCGGTAGAATAGCAGCTCTAAACCGACAGATGTAATGACCTTTGGTCCGCCAAAGGTACAAGTAGGTGCCTAGGTCAGCACAGCGCGATTGAATCAACGCGGGTCAAGGTCCTTGAACACAATGTATCTGTATACAGATACTTACTCCTGTAGGGAAGATACTGAGGTGGCCCCCGATGTAGATACCTACCGCTACGAAGAAGTTGCCCAGACGTCATTTCCTGTAACATTCTGAAATAGGCTTAGCGAACAACGCACTAGTACGCGGAGACCAACTAATCCCGATTTGGACAAGGTCAGCCTCGTGCAGAGACCGTCTCCCTACCTTACTACTAGGGAGTACTAGTCACCAGGTACAAAATACTCGACGCACCACGCCACACGTTCACTTTACTCGTGGGTTCGTTCTTGTTCATGTTCGAGATAATGGATAGAATTACCTACGTTGGCACGATCGGGATTCGCATTTCCAGCACGTTATACCTCAGAGTTGGACAGTCATCCAAAGGCACCTTAGAAAGTCAGTACGCAAGAGTGTTGCCATTTGCGTCAATGGACCGACCATTCGGCCGAAAAAGACAGGCCTTGAAAACCAAATGCATTCCTGAGTGCCACTGAGATCTAGTCGTGGTGACATGCTTTGAGTTGACAAGCATTTAATGACCCCGGTCTGGTTTGTGGTCTTCAGCTATGGCACTGGACCAGCTCAGTAAATCCGTCACCATATTATCATCATGTCCATCACTATAGTATACCTTCCATCCATCGCGATCGCAATACTCAACCACGGCGGCCACTGGATGATCCGCACCCAAGTAATTGCCTCTTCGTCCCATGGCAGACATCGAACGGTAAGCTTCAGAGCGGTTCGCGATCCATCCACCTTGACGGATGAAGCGCTGCATAGTGACACCACGAGCACGGCCTGAATTGGTGCACGAACGTTAGTCGCTCTAGTGGTGACACAACGAGGCACCGGGCACAGCCATGCCGGCCGTTCGTTCGAAGTATGTGCCGCTACAGCAGGCTTCCGTGAGGGGGATTCTCAGCAGCAGCATAGCGAAAGCCGCTCAACTGCAATGGTTCTGTCGGGCATCTGGGCAATTCCACTAGCCGGCTGAGAAGCAAGTATGGAGTACGTCACGCATGCGATCAGCAGCTGGTATATGTCGTCGAGGTCGGCAAGACAAGGCAAGCCACGGCCGGTGTGAACGACATTTGCTGGTGTGTGCGGATATTCGTCGTGACAACGTTTGTCTCAATCATGACTGTCGACACATCAGGCCAGGAACTAAAGCCGATGCGTACATGACCGCCGTGATAGGCATCAACTCCGCCATCCGCCCTTGCAGCTGTTTTGTAGGTACCGGGACCAGGCCATCATCTTCCCATGTCTTGCAAATGAGGTCCGGCAGGGCTTGGAGTTCGGTGTTTGCTGTGTCCTCATCACCCAAGCGCGGCAATGCGGCGCGGACTCCAAGAGCTGTGCCGAATTCGCGAAATGCTAGCCTCCGGCTTATTGGCTCCTCGAAATAGCCATCACGCATCAGAAACCCAAGACAAGAGACGGCCCGACGGCAAATGGTGGCAGCCCAGGTTTCTTCCGCACTGAACCAATGGGCGGTCCACAAGGTCATTCCTAGATCCAGCGTGTCGCTCGATGAGTAATACCGCCATTTGGTGTCGACCATCTTCTTGAAGGCAGCAATCTCATCTTCGAGAGCTCCACGGTCGTCACTCATGTCTTGGAGAAGTCTGTAGGTCACATATCCGTCAACTGGATCGAGATTGCCCTCGGAGGTAACGAGTGGATGGGAGAGATCCATGCTGACTTTCCAATACATTCTAGGTCTGTTCGAAGACACGTTGAGCATGAAGTGAGGAAGAATAGCCTTGGCCATGGACACTGCTTGGTCGTTGTACCACTTGTTTCCCGTGACAAGGGTCATGCGATTCAGAGCAAACATCCACACCGTAAGGTAGTGGAAGTATTGTCCATCACCATCCGGACCTGACTCTTCCAATTTCCCAATGCGTAAACCGCCGTTGAGCGGGTGGTCGTCTGTAGCACCAGGAAGCCTGGAGTTGCCATCGCGTGTGTAGCCTAGAATGTCATGGACTGTGGCTACGAGGTTTGCGGCGAGTGTCAAGTACCGGACCTCGCCGGTCAGTTTGTGGAGAGTCAAGAAATTGACGACGGCAAATCCATCAGTCCACAAGTACCGGCCTCGATGTCCCTCTGCGGCTGGCGGGGGAGTCCATTTGGGAAGACTAGGGTCTGTTGCGTCTGGGAATATGCCATAGATTGACTCCATTGCCTCAAGGAATTTGGGAAGATTGGCCTTGTCGGTGGACGACATAAGGGTTGATTGTGAAGATCGAAGGCGTAGACGGGGCGATGTGTGAAAGTGAGGGCGGGAGAGCGTGGTGATGGCTCCGCGAATAGTGTACTTACTGTTCTTGGGAGATGTGAGACGACGGAAAGGGGCAGATGCCTCAACCTCTGAGATAATGATATAGCTCTAGACAATCAGGTTTGCATTGAAGCAATGGTGCGAGATGCTATCACTCTTCGTGATGACCATATCATTGATTGATGGAATCAGGGCTTATGGAGTTGTGACAACGCACGAGAATAAGTGAAGTTACCGGCACTGGAATAAGAAAGTCCGTGAATCAGTGGGTGACATGATCCTCCCTGTAAGATTGATGTAAGTAAGGAACAGCATGTTAATGATTAAATCATGGATCGAGGATGGATGAATGAATGGCCGAGTGGTTTCTGTCATGTCAGGATTCTATACCAAGCACTGCATGCAGTGGCATTCCACCTCAAGTTCCCGGTGCCCGCTGCTCGGAGCTGGAACAAGCCGGAACTCGGATCGAACCGAATAGGGAAAAGCCGAGCGAGGAGGGGAAGAAGCTACACGTGACTGTCTCCCGGCCCGCAGCACAATTTAACTCCGTCATTGCTAGTCACGTGGAAGAGCCATGAGTGGGTGAAACGATCAGCCCCTCAGAGTCATGAAGGTGCCCCTCATTTTCTGGCCGGGCAATTGCTTCACCGGCGCCTGTATCGGTCCTTTTCACTCTGTGCAGCTTCTACTGTAGGTAGGTACCGAAGTTACAGGTAGCTACTAGGTATGTCCATACAGTATCTCAGTTGCACAGTAACTGCGAGAATGGGTATCTACCTCACTAGGTAAGGTACTTAGGTAAGCTTGTAGTACTAGTAGCAGCTTGGAGCTTGTCATAGTGAATAAGGTACCTGCTGGAAGGTAGCTGGTACATCAGGTCCCGTAAAGTCCTTGTGTAGTTGCTATACCCTATAGCGCCGTTGGCGGTGGCAGGCAGGTCGGTAGATATTAAACTCCACCCATTGATTGATTACGCCTTTTCTCTTCTTCCTCTTTCCATCCACTTGTCTTAAATCTCGTCTCTACCGCACCTTCAGCGTCCAACTTGATCCTGTCCAGCTCACCGTCGTCCTCTGAACTCGTATAAACTCGAATCAATCCACGCAACAAACTTCAAAATGGTCAAAGCAGGTATGTCGGGATCTTCCACCACCATTTATGACAGAGATACAACTGCGGAGCGGCCGATGCTGGGCGGTTTGTCAGCGTCCATCAATCAACCAGCACGAGATGCCTTCAAGGCTCAAATAGACCATCTGTTAACACCTCTTCTTTACTTGCGCAGTTGCCGTCCTCCGCGGAGACTCCAAGGTCACCGGGACCGTGACCTTCGAGCAAGCCTCCGAGTCCGCTCCCACCACCGTCAGCTGGGACATCACCGGCCACGACGCCAACGCCGAGCGTGGCTTCCACATCCATCAGTTTGGCGACAACACCAACGGATGCACCAGCGCTGGTCCTCACTGTATGTTGACACTGCTCCTGAAAGAAAAGAGATAGATACCCCACACACCTGGGGGAGAGACGACTTTCAAAATATCAAGGCTAGCATAGTCTAATTGGAGCAAAATTGGCTGACTTCACTTGCTCCTTTCCAGATAACCCATTCGGCAAGACCCACGGTGCCCCGACGGACTCGGAGCGCCATGTCGGTGACTTGGGAAACATCAAGACTGACGCCCAGGGTAACGCCAAGGGCAGCGTCAGCGACAGCTTGATCAAGTTGATCGGCGAGCACAGCGTTCTCGGAGTAAGTCCCTTCCCCACCAGATGTACCAGCCCAGAGTTGGAAAAAGGTGTGAATGGACACTGATATGATTTCCCTCGATACAGCGAACTGTCGTCACCCACGCTGGCACCGATGATCTTGGCCGAGGCGGTTCCGAGGAAAGCAAGAAGACAGGCAACGCCGGTGCTCGACCTGCTTGCGGCGTCATTGGTATCGCCGCATAAATGGACAGCTTGGCTCATGCCGACAGCACCCCAAGCATCCCGCCGTATAAATGCCAATATGCATCTCGACTGCGGTCAATGTAGGCCATGCAGCAAGATACTTTGACCGTCTATGTTGGCAAGAGACTCTCGCGAGATAGTGTGGTGGACCAGGAAGAGACTGGTTGAATACATTCGACGCGGATGTTTGGGAAGGTCGAAGAGAGATGGGAGGTTACTCCCTCCCTGTCCCTGGACTTTTCAAGGCATGCATATATTTCGTGATAGTCTGAAATACACACAAAGTCCAAAACTTAAGCGGTCGGTCCACTATTGGTAGAACGCCTCCTTTCGATAATGTAAACACTCCAGGCATCACAGTTTTTAAGGATCACAGTAAACCGGGTCAGACGCTGACCAGGTAGATGGGATCTATCTACCGGCCAACCACAAGAGATTATCCGCCCTGAGAAAACATGAGCAACAGGAGCAACAGGAGCAACAGGAGCAATCTTCGTCAACCTGCGATGCCGATCACAAGCCATGCCACCAGATTTCAGATCCTAGATTCCATCCTTATATTCGTATAGTAGTACAATTCGAGAAAAAGATTCAAGCCAAGACACAAGTCCGCATCCACCTGCACATGCGAGTGCGAATCATGTTGTGTGGGGTGAGAGACAGGGGAAGAACAGACAAGATCTGCCTTGGACGGCTTCTCGCTCGCGGTGGCTTGGTTTGTGATCTCAGGGGCAAACACCGGCACTCAAAACCAAGTAACCACGACACCCTCAACAACAGCCTCTCATGTATTGTCCAGACAGCAGCCCCGAACGACCACGAGCCAGAATGCCTTGATTGAATGTCGAAGCGCGGGACAAAAGACTTCCGCTCCATGTACGTAGTATCGCCGAACGGAGCTGAAAAAACACACGCACATACGACTTTCGAGAAGGGGAATGCATGTTCATGTGAACCATTCGAGTTCGAGTTCGAGTTCCAATACCTGTTCCCCCATATTGGCCCCTCACGTCTTGTTTCCATGGCGCCCGGCACTCCTGTTCCTGCACTCATTGCAAGATCTACACTTCGGTGGCGGTCACGAAGCGTTCGATGGGCGGCCGCTCGATTTGGATATTGCCCTCCTTGTCGACTCTGCCATTGCCGTTCTCTTTCCCGTCCTCCGCAAGAGTCAATCTCTCCGCCTCGATCGCCAGGCCTTTGGACGGGTCACTAGCAACGAGCACTTCCAGCTGTGCTTCCTCCGCAGACCCGGTGTGCCCGTTGGCTGTGGCTGGGACGGTCGAGACGGATTCGTCGGCCAGTTTGGCGGCCACAGCCTGCGTCATGGCCACGGCATGAGCCGGGACAGGGCCCGGTTGAGGCTGAGACGGCGCGTGAGGGCGAGGGTGATGATTCTGATGGTGGGGATGATGGAGGTGGTGATGGTGATGGTGATGGTGAGATTCGTGTGTTGGTGAAGTAGGCTGGTGCTCTGAATTTGACTCCCTCGCGATGAGGTTGGCCGCCGTTGCGCCGTCGGTCCCTGCTTCCACTGCGGCTTCTTCCGCACGATGATGCGTAGCGTCTGTCCCGTTGGCCATGTTCTCATGCGGATGGGACGCTCTAGACATTTTCTTGTCCGGATGGACAGGTGTTTCTGTATAGTCCGCAGCGCAGACGATGGGTCTCCTCTTCTCCACCTCGTCATCTGGACATCTGGGTTTGCCCTTTACTGACCCGACCACCAATCTTTGACCCTGAAGCCACAGACACGGACCTTGCACCCAGCCTTTGTTCCCGTCCTTTTCCACGGCGGCACGCGTTTCGGCGTCTAGGTCGGGGAAATCGCCCCAGTCCCACTCGAGGTCGCCGCCATATCGTTTGGGGAAGTCCTTTGGTTCCATGAACTTGGACAGCGTGGATTTCACTTCATGCTTGCCGAGAATGAAGATTTTCGACACGGTGACCGGATCGAACCATCGTTTGATCCAGCCCCAGACAGTAGGGAAGAAAGAGGGTGCTCCGATGATCTGGGTAGTTGTCAGCTTTTTGCACGTCCATACTGTGCTGAAAGGGTTGGTGCTAGCCTTACAAATATTCTGTCCAGAGTTTCTGGATAATGCGCAGTGGCCAGAACACTGGCATCCTGCATATGTCCTTTAAGATTCCAAAACTGGGTGAGGCCAACACCGGAGATGTCGACAATATTTGTGGAGTTCGTCACTGGCACTTCCGGGTTGGGTCGTTCGAGAGTCGAGACCAAAGGCATCACGAAATTGAGCAAGTTCTGATAGAGAGCAAAGAGTGGGAGTAGTTTGGCCGGCGTTGCGAGGGTCTTGTGGTAAGGGAGGCTGTCTTTGTATGCCTGGGACTCTTTCTGATATTTCTGCACATTCTTGTTGTCGAGGCCTTTGATCGCATAGACGTAGATGGGGATACCTCGTTTGTCGCGATGGCCAGTCCACTGGGGATACTACCAAGCACCAACAATGTCAGATGATCTAGGTACCGTTTGAGAGTTGGGAGAGTGAACTTACCATCAAGCGAGCCTTTTCGTATGCCTCGACATCGAAGTGAGCATACAGCTCTTCCACCCGTTGTTCCTTCAGCCACTTCTCCGTGTCGGTGAACTGGCCAAATGCGCCATTGACATCGAACTTGCGAGCTCGTAGATATCGGCTAGGAAGACAGTCAGCGCGAGATCGTGAATGCCATGGTTGTACAGATCGAGATCAGCGTACAGTAGTGTTCCATCGTCGTGGCTCGCCCGGCCATTCACTCCGTCAGGTGTCCACCACCCTCCTTTTAGGAGGCGTTCCTTGAACTCCTTGAGTTTCTCTTCCTGGAAGGGAGTCAAGTGGTTGAGGGTGCCCGTCAATGGGTCGGCGGTTGTGGTCCTCGTCAAGGTCGCGGGAGGTTGTGTGGAGATGTCTGATTGATGCGACTGTTGCGACTTTTGCGACTGGCCGGTGAGGGTTCTGTAAAGCTGGCTCATTTCGACTCAAGTGTGTGGTCAACGACTGGTAGTGTTCACTTGCCCAAGTCGACCTGTGTCGCCGCGGCTGGATAACTGGCTGGTTATCAGGGTGAGGGAAATTGGTGTCTAGGAGGGGTATATGGTCGCAGTGCCTGAGCAAGAAGAAAGGGTAGAGCCGACAAATACTAGTACTGAACAGATCCCAGGACAAGGGGTGAGAGAACCAGATAGACAGATCTAAAAGTGATTCAAACTCAGGCGCGCCCAAAAAGATGCGAGTAAGATTATTCCTAGGAAATCAGCATGATTAGGTAGATAGATGCTACTAGCGAGGGAGGGCGGTGGTCGGACTTTCGTCCAAGATCTGATCGGGCGGGCCGGGATGAAGTAAGTACCTAAGGTTACCAAAGGGCGACCAGTGGCAGCAACGGAGCGGCGAAATGAACCAGCCACTATGTACAAGAGCCGAAGAAAGGGTGGAAGGCTCCAAGAAGGGTCGGTGTCAGAGGTCAGAGTTGCAGAATGGTCGGATGGACAGGGTTTCTCGTGTGCTGGTGTTTGGTTGTGAGCGGTGGCAGGGCACCACTGCATGGATGCCGAAGCCGGCAATAGCGAGCGACAACCGGGCTTGGGAGGCTTTCTTAGGGCGCGGCATCGCTGTTCTGACGCCCATCAGATTGCTTGTCCGGGGTGTCTTTCCAGACAGACTTATAGGGGCTTAGGGGGCTCTTTAGGCTAGGAGCATCGCTGATATCATTCCCCCACCTTACTGTTGTGCTGCACACTGTGGTCCCAAGGTTACTAGGTACCTAGGTAAGTAGGTACTTGCATTATTTTAATATTACAGAGTATTTCACACTGTGCTGACATTGCTCTACGGTTATGAATTATGTCAAGAACTTGAATCATGCACATCCGGACTCGGCTCCTCAGACGGCGAGATGGGACAAGCGGCTTCTGGACTGCCACTGCATCGACGAGATGAGCTTCAAAGTTCAGATTCCTTGCTAGTCACGGCAAAAGTACAGTCATCATTCATCTTCTTGATGACTTTCAGTGGTCTGCTCTCTGCAAAGTACCTTATCTATATAGGTATTGTTGTACTCTGTCGTGAGACCATCTCAGCGCCAATTTGTCACGTCTTGCGGTATATCAAGGGTCGTGTGCCCAGCGGAAACATTCCCTGTCAGCTGAAGTAATGCTGTTCATTTCAATCAATCAGCACCAGCCGCACCCGTCGATTCCATTTAATTGAGCATGTTCATGTCCAGCAAACGGCTTGGACTACCCACACCCATGGTTCCGGCCATACGACCAGGCTGTCTATTCTGGTCAGACTGTCGGATGCTCGGCCACCCAATACTACGGAGCACGTATCAGTCTGTCAGCCACAGGTCAGAACCTTCCTACGTAGAGTAGATCACCGCATTCGACCAAGTTGCCCTCTAATCCTCCGTCAAGTCTCCATACTCCCACATGCCGCGGCGCTCCTTTTTTGCCTCGTCTTGAAGCTCATTCAGGTGCGTCAACGTCTCAGTGGCCTGTCGCTCCCAGGGTTTGAGCTTGGTCGGCACCATGGCCAACCCTTCTCGCACGATTTCCGCGTTGATGCTCTCGTCGATGTTGCTCGAGATCTTGGGATCGAGTAAAGTGATGTGAAGCGTGCCTTCTGGGGCCACATAATCCACATTGGCAACCAAATCTCGTCCCTCGGTCTGCTCCGCAATGAAATCGACCGCGTCGCGAAGATACTGGAGTGAGGTGGGAAGTTGCAGGAAGGACAACACCGCGTCGGTCGCCTGTGGCTTCAGCTTTTGCGTCGAGAATTGTGGTTGAGCCAGCGGTCGTAACCGGCTCCATGGAATGGTCTCCGAGTTGCCATAGTCCAGATATGTCACATCCACTTGCTTTCCCTCCCTGTCCACCCGTCGTACCTTCGCTCGGTACCACTCGTTGTCCGCGGTGAACTTGGCAGCAACCACGTCGCCAACTTTGGGAGACCCGGAAAGAGGCTGCTCGTTCGCTTTATTCAGATGGAACGACTTGAACGACTTCATCAATTCAGTCAACGCCGCCGTGCCCGGTCCGACCTGTTGAACCTTGAGTTTACCGGCTTCGTCCACATTGGTCACCACCACATCACGGTAGTCCTTACGTCTGGACGCTGGTTCGGCTGATTCTCCGTTGGTGCCGTTCGCACCGTCGGTAGCATGCCCATTCACCTCTTCTTCCGGTTCTTTGCTGGGATCCCAATCATGCCACATTCCTTTGCGGGCTTCTTTGGCTTTCTGCTCCGCGGCGAACAGTTCATTGGCATGACCGCTTTGCTCGGCTGAGTAAGCGTGCACTTCCGCCAGACCCTCCTCGACCAAAGCCTTTGCAAAGTTTTCTCGGCCGACGTACAGGGTGCCGATGAAGCCACCAACCTTGTCAACGTTCTCCACGTCGATCTCCACATCTCGTTGCATACATCTTCGGTAGGCGAACTCATAGGCTTCTTGTCCGAAAGGCTCGGCCGTGTCACCCGGCTGTCGAGCAGGTTTGGGTGTCCGAATGCCGGAGAGCACAAATGTGAGCTTGGCATTGTCGCGAGGGACCAGGACGACGAATCTAGATCCCGACCGGACGAAGTCAACCACAGCAGGTACTTTCTTTTGTCGTTGGAGCACCGAAGCCTCCATCCTGGCCTTCTGCAAGCTTTCGGAATAGTCCTGATAATGTTTATTCGCCGGTGGTTTGGACGACCACATACCTTTCTCCTCCTTCTGGGCCGTCTCTTCGGCCAAAAGCAGAGCATCGTAGTCTGGTGATCGGTCGTCATCGTCGCGTCGGTGTCGGATGACAGAGGCATAGCCTGCTTCGACCAAGGCCAACGCGATATTCTTCCCATTCACCATCACCGTGGCCACTTCTCGCTCCTCGAACCCTTCCGACGCCGGCTTCTTTCCGTCGATCGACACCTTGACATGCTTGCCAATCAATCGCTTTCGCAGGAACTCCTTTGCGTCCGCGCCGAAGGGCGCCTGCTTGGGATCCGAGGGTTTCGGCTGACGGATACTGGAAAGGGTGACCTTCCGTTCATCGCCAGAACGAGGTCGGATGAAGATTGTCTCAGCATTCAGGACTCGGGACACAGTGAAGTCGGCGTCCTGTACACCCGAGGCCTTCGTGGCCGATATGCCTGTGAAGATACCTCTCTTCGCGGTCTTGGCCGCATTCTCCGCGTTTCGGAATTGTGCCATCTCATTGCCCAGCAAGGTGACATGTTGATCGTTGCACCTCGCCAACCCAGCTTCGAGAAGGAACTTGGCAATATTTCCCTTGGGGTGTAGGACATGGGCAATAAGCTGATGCTGGGGCGTCACGCCCAGTAACTCGACCACGCATTTCCGCTGGTGTAATCTCTCGTCCACGAAGGAATGCGCTTCGGGTCCGCAAGGCTCAGCTGGAACCTCTTTGCCCTCCGGCGAAGTGCGTTTCGTGGCAGGAGCTCGTACGCCAGCCAGAACAAGCATGGTCTGAACATGTTTTGTGGGAGTGAGCATGAGTCGAGCGATCAAGCGGTCACCGGTCAGGACACGTTCAACGATTGCCTCGACCTTCTTGCCTTTGTACTGCTCGACCAAGGCATTGGGATTAGATACCTCCGAGGAGCTTTCTATGTGACCTCCGGTGCCCCAGACACCCTTGTTGGCTGCCTTTGCCTCCGACTCGAGTGAGCGCAGAAGATCAAGGTATGCCAGAGCGCTTTCGTCGTCTTCCTTTCTACCTGCATCTTCGCGAACTTTAGCCCAGCCTTCTTGCACGATCAGCTCCGGAAACTCTGGCCCGTTGGGAAGTTTGACTCGGCCGTATTCTCGCTTCGTGGTAGGAATGGCATAGAGGACCTGGAACTGAACCACCTTGCCCAGGAGGTGTTCTCGAAGGAATTCGCGGGATTGGAACGCAAACGGCTGCGGAGCAGTGGTTAGCTTCAGGGCCTAGATTTGGTGTAACATAGTATGAGGAGCATTACCTCGTCACCCTCACGTCTCAGACGAGGGGCGCTGATGTAGGCCAGAGACAGAGTGCGTTCGGCACCTTTTTGGTTGGCGACCACCAAGGTGTCGCCAGACAGGATACTTTTCACTCGACCTTGAAGAAGGGCCATTTTTTGACAGCCAACAGAACGGCAATTGTGGACGCTATGCACGAAAAGAGCAGAGAGGAGAGAGGAGAGAGGAGCGTAGAGCGAGAGTCACGGGAACGGGAATGGTAGAGAAGTCGTGACGGTGGTTGTGGGTGTTGTGTGAGGTGTATACTGAGTAGCTAGGTAGAGGTACCTGGTAACAATCAATGTGCCTGTAAATAAATAATGATGAGGGATGGAATTGGCATTTGATGTGGCCACCTTCATTGCGTTCAAGTTTGTGGGGTAGAAATCGAGCCTCATCACTCTACTACGTACTACATAGTACATAGTAGTACTACTCACTGTATTTTGGACCCCAAGTGACACCATAGGAAGTGTCAAGCGTAGTTTAGGTATAGGGAGGGAGAGAGAGTGACTATTCTGTTGTCTGTATTACTAGTTGTTTATTGTATGACCTCCCGCGTTGCCTGTGGTTCGCACTGACCGGCTGTTGGATCCCTCTCCAGGTACAAACAGCCACGCCACAGACAAGAGCGTGGTGAAATTATTAGTACAGGTATGTGCCTAAGCCGTTGTCGCCTTCCTATTCGGACTCTTTCTTATCAGACCTGAATGAACCAGCGGGTGCGGTTTATTCATTTGCCGCCTCTAGCATTGTCGCTCGGTTCGATACACACATACAACATTTATCATTTATCAATCTATCTTTTGTCATAACTTCCGTTCATCCACATCTATATAAAGTAGCGCAGAGAAGACCTCGTTGTCACTCAGAGATCACCCTGCTGTTGCTACTCAGGAAGAGGACACTGCACACTGCACACTGCAACTACAGTATTACTAGTACCTAGTACAATCCAGTTCTTATCGCTGCCTTATCACACCTCCTGAGCATCGCCCAGCCTCGTCGCCTTCCTTCGCCTCCTCTCCATCCATCCATCACCATGAACAATATCGACCCATCGCATCGCAAAGCCATCATCGGCGATCCCAAGGGCAATTTCTGGCTGTACGACTCCGCCGCCGGAATCGACCTCACCCATCCGCCCACGCCGACATCCGCCACTCCAACCCCAAACTATACGCTGGCCACGACCACACTACCCGTGAAAATCGATCCAGCCAAGTCGGCCCTCGTGATCATCGACATGCAGAATTTCTTCCTGTCACCAAGTCTCGGCCGACCAGCAGACTCCAAGGGCCTGCTCGCGCAGCAGCAGCTCTTGAAGTACGCGATCCCCGCGGCACGCAAGGCAGGGGTCCGCGTCGTCTGGCTGAACTGGGGTCTGACCGACGAAGAAATCACCGCCATGCCGCCCGGGACACTGCGCGCTTTCGGCTACGAGACCGTGCCGGCCGACCAGTTCGAGTCGTATGCCACCATTGAGCAGAAACAAGCCGCGATCGACTCGTACGGCGTCAACGAGGGATGCGACAAGATCGCCCTCGAAGAGATTGATGCCAAGACCGAGGCTGTTCCCGGCAAGAATCCCCGGATCTATAGAGGTCTCGGAGCAGAGATCGGGCCCGTCACCCTCGACGATGGCACGACCACCGTCGAGGGAGGCAGGCTGCTGATGCGCGACAGCTGGAATGCCGATGTTACTCCCGAGCTTCGACGCGCGTATGAGGAAGGGCTAAAAGCCAGTCCGCCGGACGTATGGATCCATAAGAACCGTATGTCGGGTCTGTGGGGCGCGAATACGGCCTGTTCAGAGTTTCTCGACAAGGAGGGCATCAAGACGCTGTTCTTCACTGGCGTCAATACAGATCAATGTGTGGGGGGAAGTATACAGGATGTAAGTCATTTCCTCCCTGTCGAAGCAAGAAGAAGGAAGCCCGAGTTGCATTTCCTTGTTCAGTTTTTCCTCTTTGATTATTTCATTTACTACCAGCTCTCGGACATCGTTTTAGCACAACGCGCCAAAGAAGACTTCTAACACTGCTTCCTCAACAGGCTTATTCGAAAGGATACGACATCATTCTCCTTTCCGACGGTGCCGCCACTACCAGCCCGTCCAGTAGCCAGGAGTCCATCGAGTTCAACTGCGCAAAGACTTGGGGCTTCTGCACGTCTTGCAAAACTTTTGCGGATGGTGTTAGCTTGTAGGCCCAAGCTTGATTACGATGCTTATGCGGTATGTATCAGCGGGAGTTATGTGAAATCGATGGTCGTAGAAGCTTGTTCAAGACTGGCTCTTTCGTCCGCCTGTTTATTGGTATAGGTGTATATGTATCAATCGTCCACCACAGACGCCATCCTCCACTGTCCATCGGACAGATGCGCTCATAGATCTATTGTTCATCTCCGCCACTCCTTATATATTCCTTTCCTCCCTTCAGTTCCTATTTCTTCCGCTTGCGATACCGTTTCCTCCAATATGATCCCCCATTCCCTCCACATGATATCCCTATTTTCCACCACATTCGATCCTTAGTCCAAGATTCACCATGATCCTCCTCCTCCTCCTCCTCCAATCTCTCATTTCTTATTTCACATTCGCAATTTTCAATCACCGGATTCAATCTGGCCTATATATTGGGCGCATCACTGATCAGTCTGCAGGTGATAAAGATGCATCGAGCCCATTCGCTACTTCGTCGCCTCAGCGGCCCGCCCAGCCGGTGTCTTTGGCCGATTCGGCGTCGTCGCAGGCAAGCCCCTCGCAGCCGCTTGCGAATCAATGATTCGTTCGATTTTGGTCTTGGGCCGCGTCGGTGCTCCCGGGACACCGGGAGAGTGGTGGGAAATATTGCCATGGTGGCGAGATCCAGAATCGGAACCGGAACCGGAACGAGCGCTAACGGACCCAGACTGGCGAGGACCGGTCGGCGGAGTGCGTGAACCGGTAGGAGTATTTGGTCCAGCAGGAATTGTTAGCGCCGATGCCGGGGTTGCTGGTGCCGATGCCGGGCCAGGTGTCGCCGTGGCGAATCTGCTCGCCAGTAGATCACCGGCTCCATGGCCTCCACTCTTCACCTTGGGCTCAGAGAAGATGTGGTCTCCCTGAGCGCGGGGTCCGGTTGGGGGAGCGGGAGCAGGAGGAGGAGCAGAAGCAAAAGCAGACGGAGATGGCGATGCAGCAGCGGCAGTTGTCGCAGGTGTAGCATATCTGCTGGCCAGTAAGTCACCTGCTCCGTAGCCTTGATTGCTCACCTTGGGTTCGGCGAAGATATGGTCTTTGTCGTCCTTCTTGGACATCGATCCATATGGAGCCGTAGCAGAGGCAGAAGCCGCAGGTGAGGCAGCACTCGAGACGGATACCGAAGCAGGACGACCACCAGCGGCAGTAGTAGCAGCAGTAGGTGTCGCTGGTGGAGTAGCGAATCGACTCTTCAACAGGTCCCCTGGTCCATGGCCCATATTCTTGACTTTGGCCACGCTGAAGATGTGGTCTTTGGCCACTGGCGAAGACGCAGTAGCGGCAGCGGAGCCAGAAGCAGAAGCAGACGAACAGACGGAAGGAGTTGAAGACGAGGCATCTTGAACCGGTGCAGGCGTAGACACAGACGCAGGAGCTTGTGCCGGTGTTGATACTAGAGAGGTTACCGTACTCGTCGTCGGTGTTGCATATTTGCTTTGCAAGAGATCACCCGGGCCGTATCCTTGGTTCTTGACTTTGGCTACGCCGAAGATATGCTCGACGGCGGATCTGGAAGCAGAAGCAGGTACAAGGTCAGAAGCAGCACCGGACACAGGGGTTGCAGCTGGTGTTGGTGCTGGAGCCGGAGAAGAGACAGTGCTGGTCACTGGTGTGGCATATCTGCTCTTCATCAAGTCACCAGGACCATATCCTTGGTTCTTGACTTTCGCCACACCATAGATCTGGTCGACAGCAGAAACGGAACCAGAACGAGAAGCCGGAGTAGAGGTAGCAGCAGGAGCAGCCACAGGAGCAGAGGGAGAGGCAAAGGCAGAGGCAGCAGCGGGCCCAGACACTGGGATCGAGTCAGACTCAGGAACCGAACCAGACTGAACAGGCAATCCTTCAAAGTTGATGTTGACACGTGGGGTCGTCGGCGAAACACCCAGCTCAAAGGAAGTATTGCAAAACGAGGACTCCAGTTCCTGCTCGAATGTGCTGACAACAGGAGCGGGAGCCAGAGGGAAGATCGGGCCAGACATCACCCTGGCGGACTCGATGCGTGTCTGAGCAAAGCTAGTGCGGTATTCATCGCTGCTGGCCTCACTTATCGCATTGACATCTTGTCCCGAGAAGTCCGTCACAATCTGAAGTTGAGGCCGAGGAGGCTGTTGTTGTCGCTGTTGAAGGCTGGCGATGGATTCAGCCTTGGCCTTGACATCCTGTTTTAGTTGGTCCAACTCGTCTTGCAAGACTTTCTGGTTACTATTCTGAGCCTTTTCACGCTTGGTGGCCTCCTCGCCGCGAGCTTCTTCGGCTTGCTTGACCTGTTGCTCAAGCTTCTCGAGTGTGGAACGTTGTTGGCCGATGGTGGCCTCCTTGTCCTCAACGGAAGATTCGAGGCCGCAGATAGTGAGTCTGTACTCTTCGAACGATTTGACCTTCTGTTCCAGCTGGGTGATTTGCGCCTGGTTCGCGCGGACGTCCTCCGCCTTTGCAGCGGCCAGAGCGGCCAGAGCATCCTTCTGCTCTCGGATCTTGTTTTCTCTGGCTTTGACGGACGATGCGGCAGTGGCGAGTGCCCCCTGGGCCTGTTTTACCTCTTCGTCCTTGCCCTTAAGTGACGATTCGACGGCAGTGAGAGCTTTCTTGGCCTGTTCGAGTTCTTCATCCTTGGACTTCACTGACAGCATGAGCTCGCCTATAGTCTTCTCATATTGCTTGATTGCAGTGTCTTTAGCCTTACCCAGCGCTTGCAACGCGGTTAGAGAATTCTTCGCTTTCTGGGTCACCTTGTCCTTTGATTCCAAGGTTAAATTCAAAGCCGTGAGGGTGCTGACATGTTCTTGGATCGTCGCATCTTTGGTCTTGACCGACGCCTGGAGAGTCGTCAGAGCAGTCTTTTGCTCCTTGATCGTGGAGTCTTTGTCCTTGCTCGAAGTTTCCAGGGCGATCAGAGCATCTTGGAGCTCTTTGACCTTGTTGTCCTTGGATTTGATGCCGGTGTTCAAAGTGGATAGAGACTTGGTCTGTTCCTTGATCTTGACTTCCTTGGAATTCGTTGACTCTTTGAGGGCCGATACAGCTTTCTCCAGTTCTTCAATCTTGGTATTACGGGCCTGGACAGACTCTTCAAGATTCTTGATGCTGGCCTCTTGGTCCTGGACGATCCAGTCATTGTTGTTGGTTTGTTGCATGGAATTTGCTTGCTCAAGAGCGGCCTTCAGGTCAGTGGTCGCCGCTTCCTTCTCGGCCACTTCCTTGGTGCGAGCATCGAGATCATTCTGCAATTCCTTGATCGTCTCTTTGAGCTCATCGATCTTCGAAGCATAGAGTCCCAGAGATGTCTGCTGCTCGTCGAGTTTTTTGACGGCGTTGTCTAGCAAAGACTGGCTTCGGTCGACCAGCCCGGATTGTTCCTTGATGGTTTTCTGGCATTTGCTGATCTCATTATCATGTGTCTCGATGAGCTTCTTCAAGACCATGTCCTGTTTGGTGATGATTTCCACGAGCGCTCGCTTCGACTTGCCGATCCAAGAAGGGGAGGGACATGACAGGTAGCAGACAGTGAAGACCAGAGGGAGCATCAAGACCATGCAACATGCAAACGGAGCGGTGGACAAAAGACTGGTAACTTGAGGAGCATCGTTGGGCTCATACACTGGAGATCCTTGATCTTGCCAAATGGCGATGTCGGTTGTGGTCTGCTCAACAGTGACCAGAGGTTCTGCTTTCTGAATTTGGACATGTGGCTGAGTCTGGATGACGGGGCAGATGGGATTGAAGATGGCTTGCTCGGTCGGTAGCAGCAGACAAAAATGGATGAGGCTGAAGTCGTTGGAGGCGGCTTGATTGCTACCACTATTTATATATTCAGGGCGGAGGAGGACGACGACCTTTTCAGTCCATATATTTGCGTCGAAGAGTGCCGCTGCCGAAAAATCCGTCGAGTGGGGTGGGAAGTCTGGACGCTTGGGGGCGTCGATGGTGGACGATATCTCGCGTCCGTACCACCAGTTCTTCAACAAGCAGTAGAAATGCTTCCAGAAGATGTTGTCTTGCGCCATGGTTGTTGGAGTACATAAAGGTTGGATGTCATGTGGCTAGAGCGAATGGTAGGGGTGTGGATAGGAATGTGTTTGCGTTGCTTTGAGCGATTTCAATGATCCAAGCAAACAGCTGATGAGACGAAGCCTTCGAGCCGCTATTGATAGGGTGTTGTTGTAACAGAATCGAAGGCTGGTAGAGCGCACAAGATGGAATAGATTTTGTTGTTCATGGTCAAGAAAGAGACGTTGCGCACGAAAGAAATAGGGAAGAAAGGCCAGAGGTAGGCAGTCATTGTGCACAGGCTGCAGGTGATGTCTATAGAGCAGTGAATGCCTTGTGTGTGATAATGAGCGCAGGCAGAAAGTGTGTTGAAAGAGACGAGGATGCCTGCAGAAAGCTCAGTTGACAGAAACAAAGGAACCAGGAAAGAAGAGCAACGCGGACAAAGAGCCCGACAAGAGACAGTCGACACCAACCTGCACAGTGGCATCCGTAGAACTGTTTTGTGTCAAAGAACAATGACAGGGCAGTCCCAGTGCAGGACAATGAGCTCGACGCAGTGCTGATCGACGGCCGACAAGGCTTAGCTGTCAAGAAATCGCGCTGGGGCCAATTTGATTCGTAGTCTGGCGTCCTCATGCACCTACCGCAGGTGCTGTACGATATTCCAAGATACACTCAGGGCCGGCAGATGCAGGATGGAACTCCTGGGAGACAATAAGAGATCATAATAGAAATTTCAAGATAAGGATAGCCAGCTGTATCTCGAAATCTGACCGGCGGCCGCGGACAGTCAGCAAGGCTGGGCAGCGAGGAGACGGGGAATCCCAACATGGGAAAGAGACAACGTACCACTTCGACTCGCTCTTTGAGAGTCGTAACAGAGATGTGTTAATTGGGGTATCATATAAGTAATGTACAGCTGAGGCCGAACAGTATGCCCATACTCCGCTGCAATATCTGTGCCGTGACCGCTATCAAGACCGTAAATTCATCCAGCAACATGTACAAGCTGTGCGTTGGCAGCCTCGCCATCATTGATGAGGCATTGTTCCATCGTTCAGACCATCACTCAGAATAAAATCGTTAGCGGACGACTGTCCAAAGTCGACCCAGTCCCATTCGAAGGTCATGGGCATCTGCCACAGGTCTTGCGGGACAAATGGTTGTTGAAAAGCACCGGCATTGAGGGGAGACATGGTCGAGCTCGGTGGGTGTTGGTGACCCATATCGGGACTCATTCCAGGTTGGTTGAGCATGTCGGCGTACTCGCTGTCAAGATTGTGCATGTTGAAAAATGTTGTATTCGTGTTTAAAGGACTGGCTTGATTCGCTGATGTGGTTGGGATGCCGGTCGTGGACGGCACTGTCGCAGCGCCTCGAGGAGAGCTTCCTGCGCCGCTTGATCTTCGTGAACCTGATGGCCGGCCATTGATCTGAGCTTGAGCCTGGGCCATGGCCGACTGATTGACCCGTATGACTTCCTCGGGTACAAGCCTGCGCTTCCGCTTGGACCCCTCCTTCTCAGCCTTGTCGATGACGACCCTTGCGATACGGGCAAACTCGGAGCAGACGGTGAGCATACGAGTGAGGGAGCCTGAGCCTTCGTCACGCGAGATGTTGGATAGGAAATTGACAACGAGATCCATCAGCTTGATGTCGGCTCTGGCGCGGGTGTCTTGAGGATTCTGTAGGATGTTCGCGAAAAGCGTGACCAGGGCGGAGACAGGGAAATACAGAATCAGCCAGACGCAGGCAAAGTCGCCCTGTGGAATATATTTGATCAGGTGGATAGAGGCTCGAGCGGCTGAAACACACAGAGCTGCGGAAGAAAATACTCGAGGGTTGAGAGGTCGAGCGTTGAGCCCTTGGATGGCATATTCGGACAATCGGCTAGTCCAATAGCCATGGTGGACTGACATGCGATGGATGGTGGTTAAGCAGTTATAGTAGGAGAAATGGAGGACGACGATATGCAGGACAAGGGGAGTGTGCGCCGTCTTGATTTCGTGTTCTGGCCTGAAATCAATTGGAATGCTGTCTTTCCAAGCCTCCAGTTCTTTGTCAAGTTCTCCGATGGTATTGAGCAGTTCGCCGTCACTCTGCTTCGAGGCCCGGACAGAGTAAAGCTGACGATACACTTTGCTGGAAATAATGGCGAATTCGCACATCAGTCGGAACAGGTTGATCTTGCTCTTTCCATCTGCCAACGGCACATTGCCGATATTGTCCGGAGGATCTTCTGAAGGAAGCTCGACGTTCATGTCGTCGTCGTCTTGCGCAGGTGGTCTGCCGGCCCGAAGACACGCGTCCTTGTCGAGAAGATATGCGATCCAAAACACACGTTTTCGTTGCTCCACCTCGATGGGGTTCAGGTTGAAAGCCGAGCCTCGTTTGTGCAGACCGATTGTGTGGGAACATCGGATTGCGGCCGCGATGAGGAAAAATGAAGGCTGAGGGTTTGGCGTGCCTTGCAGGAACAAAGCCATGCCCAACAACGCCTGGACACTTAGAAGATCTGTATTTCGCATCGTAAGTTCGGTGATGACCCCCATCGCGTTCTTCAGATACAACCACGCCTTGTGGTCATCTTCTTGCGGTACCACATTGCTCATCACTCTGATGCGATAAGCAATGGCCAATGCGACATTGATACTGGCCCACCACCCACTACCCTCGTAAGGATCCCTGGAATATTGCTTTTCCACCAGATGCATAAAGGTGGGTTCGTGAAATAGAGGGAACATGCAGTTGAAATTCTCGAAAAAGTCTTTGAACAATGACAGAGCTTCTTCTTTGGGCGGTAGGGGCTTAAAGACTCGGCGGACAAAGATGTCGCCAAATATCTCGGGCTTCCAATACTGCCATTTGTTTTCATCTTCATTAACGGCGTTCTGGATGGTTTCCTGAAACGACGTATCCCCGGTTTTCTCGTTGACCCATTCAATGCCCTTACTTGAAAAAATGGAGAATGCGGACGACGACCCTGGCCGAGGTTAGAAGGCAGTGTGACAAGGATGCACAGAATGGACCACACTTACCGATGTATCTAGTCTCGCCTACGTTGTTGGTTACAAGTGAGCACATGGCCTCGGAGAGATTCTCGACTTCTTCTCGACCTGTTTTGTCACCATCGGCGCTCGGAGTGGTAAACGACTCGCCGGGAGTATCATGAGAGTCTCTTTGGGACCCTGGCCGTGGAGAGCTTTCCGGTGCCGAAGAAGCTGGGCCACTCTTGGGCGGAGCCGGCGAATCTGATCTTTGTGCTGTGCTTTCTTTGGAAGAAGCCTTCTCGGCCAGGCGCTTCTCGAGGGTGCCCAGATCGGTTTTGCCAGTCTCGTCTTCGGTCAAGAGACCGGACATGCGCAAAAGAGACTCCATGCGCCCGAGGCGGTTTTCCAGGCCCTCGATGTATTTGGCACTATCACAACTGTCAGTCCGACATCTCCAATCAATCCGAATGCGCAATCGTGTCACCCTACCCTTTGGGTGGATTTCTTTTCTTCTCCACCTGTGTGAAGATACATTCCGTCTTGTAGTTTATGCAGTGACCACATTTCGGCATCTTTCCGTCACATTTGATTTTCTTTTTCCTGCACATATCGCAAGCCTGCCAAACGTGTCAGAGCCCGGGGTATTCCTTTCAAAGTGCTTGGGAGCGCACCCTTGCAATGCGCCGGCGCTTGGGATCATTATCGTCACCAAGACCATCGTTGAAATCACTGAAGTAGTTCCCTGAAGGAATGCTTGGAGGTATAGGAGTGCCGTCCGGGTTGTAGGAGCCGAAGATCTGGGTTGGCTGGTGGGATACAAATTGGGACATGTCAAAGCCCAAACTGTCGACGCTGCCTCGAGGGTCCATGTCGACTTGGGACCGATTGCGGGATACTTCTCCCCAGTCCAGGAGAATCGAGAGGACTCCGGAGACGAGGTCGTCACACTGGTCAACGCAGGCACCCGATGACGAACGACTGGACGAGGGACAAGAATGTCAGCATTGGTAAGCCAATGGGCTCATTCTTGAGGGGTTGGGAGCACGATTGGGGACGAGAAAAAGCGCGTCCTAACGGGTTGCGGATATGAATACCACCGCCAAACAAGGACGAGTAGAGTAGGAGGAAGAAAAGAGTGTAAGTACAGGTAGACAGGAGGTGAGGCGAGGAGAGCGGTAGAGGGTGTTGGATTGTATTGTATCAGAATGAGGCAGAAACAGGCCCCCGAACATTGAATGGATGGGAGCCTGAAGTTAGAGATCCCTGCAAAAGCACTGCAGTGTAGACAGGATGTGACAGATCCCGGGTGGGTTGGTGAACGGGTGACGAGACCTGGACGCCTAACAAGCCTATAAGACTGCGGCGACTGTCTCGAGGACGCATTCTATTGAGGGCTAGCAAGCCTTAGCCTCGGGGCCCTTAGGCCCAGTGTCCAATGTACACAGAAGGTAGGAGTGGCTTAGGGCGTTTACTAGGCGAGGGCCCCCCGGGCATTGCACCGCCCACGTAATTAGCCATGTCGCTATCGGCGTACCTACCTAAGGTACCTTAGTAAGGTAGTTAGTAGGTACAGGTAGGTACTAGTGGGCAATTGGTTAACTGCAGTTGGCATCTGTCGCGAATACTACATACTTAGTACTAATGGACTGTGCTTTTTGTCTGGCCCAGGCCCAATGCGGGCATTTCTAACTGCATCTTCAGATCCTTATTTCCATGCTACTAACTCCGTTCCTTTCCGGCATGATAGGCATCCGATGATTCAGCTCCGACTTTGGATCACGGATCAAATGCAGTGTGTGAATTGGAGCAGCCTTAATTTGTGCTCCGTATCCGGATACGACCCATCACAGCCTGTACGAGCTTGTTGCCAATTGTCAACTGCCAATGTGGCTGCAGTCGATTTCCTCCTCGGACCATTCCCCCCCTTTTCCGTCTCAGAATCCTTGAAGCGGTCTCACTCTTTGGGAGCAAGCCGCGGCGGACTGTTTCACCCGTTCAGGTGGAATAATAAAAGACACTGAGGACGATAAGGGACAGCGAGAATTCGATTCCATGGACACTCCGACTCCGGCATGGCGTGCAGGATAGGAGGATGGAGTACGTATACCTCCCACATCGACCGCCGCCTCGTCGGTAGACCGCTCTCCGTTCCCGATGTTGGCTAACGGATACGGAGTACGAGGCCAGGAGAAAACCTAGCTCTGTTCATGTCCAGAGATCTTTCGTCTTCGAACATCATCAATCGTTACATTCTTGCCGATGCCTCCCCACTGCCACTCCAGGGTTCTGAAGCTTGGACGTACCAGAACCCGCCGTATGACTCGGACTCGTATTCGGTCGATACCATCTCCCGGCGGACCCGACCTTGTGGCTTTGTCGTCCGAGATGGAGCTCGAGTCAACGTCCAGGCGCCTATGAAAATGACACTAGGAGGAGAGTGCATGCACAACTTGAAGCTGGCGCAACGTCAGTTTGTCAGCCGCCAGCCTGATGTCCGACTCGGCCGAATTGGACAAGTCGCACGGCTGAACCACGACAAGCTCCGTACCGTTCTTCGACGTCTCCACGCTCGGTCTCTCGACCTCAAGTGTGTGTCCAAAAGGCGGAGTGAGACCGTTATCAAGTGGTCCAGGTTTTTCGACATTGCTGTTGTGCGAGACGATTCAAGAATGATTCTCCCCACGGTGTCTCCCTCCATGCAGACGCAATAGTGATTCACCGGCCGATAGAGAAGAGAAGCCTTGCAGATCGTCGCTAGAAAACACGAAGGGAGGATCAACATGGTCGGCTAAACTCTTCGTCCGGTCCCGCGTACGCACTGCGCATGAGCAATCGGCCATTTGATGACAAACAGCATACGCATTGTACAAAAAGTGATGGTGGGCGAATGAGCGAAAGCGAAAGCGACGTCCATCGATTGATTGATTCAGGATTTGATTGATTGATTCGTGTCGAATTCGTTTGGCTTTCTCCTGCCAATGCCAATCATCAGCATCCTCCTCCATCCTCCACCCTCCCCCACCCTTCATTCCACCCTGGCCTTCTTGGCCGTCCGATATCTGTCGCATCCAGATTTGGCGGCTTCACAGTTCAGGATGAGTTTCCAGCCGTATTCCACCCGGAAGCTCTCATTGCAGCGGAGGAAGTTCTGTCCGCGCTGGCTGAGAGTGAATCCGGGGTTGCGCGCGACCCAACTGGGGCTGATGCCAACGTGGCCATTTACGACCACCGTTTCGGCTTCCGAAGGCTCTACCAGGCATGACTCTGGTAGGCTCTTGATTGCCGCCATTAATTGTTTCCAACTGGGCGGTTGCTCTTGTTGAGGCTGAGGTTGAGAGTGGCCTCGGATTTCGCCTCGGCTCTCTTCCTTGACCTGATTTCCGCTGTTGCTTTCCTGCCTGCTGTGTTGCCCCTGGACGGCATCGCCGTTTCCTCCCCCAGTCCCGGCATCGCCATTGCCACCCCCAGCTCCTCCAATGTTGCCCCCTTGGCTGTCCTCCCTATCCTCCTCCTCATCCTCCCGATCCTCCTCGTCCTCCTCCTCACCCTCCTCATCCTCATCAATCTGCTCAAGGGCTCGCAAACGCTCGGGCCAATATCTTCGCATGAGCTCCAAATCTTGAGCTGGGAGGTCTCTGAGAGGAGCAGACGAATCAGAGAAGTCGGAATCTTCATCGTCGTTGTCCTCGACGAAATCCGACTCCTCGCCCTCTGATTCGTCGACGGCATTGCCAATGGCATTGAAGCCAAGGACATCACCGCCGTCGTCGCTATAAGCGGCCTCGTCACCACCCTCCAAGCCGGAGTCGTCACCCTCCGGCTCGTCCTCCGTGCTGTCGCTCAGATAATGGCCGTCCTCGTCAATGCCCAAGTTGCCCATCACCCGCTCGAAATCCGCCGCCGAGCGCACGGAGCTGTCGGACTCAGAGTCGCCCTCGGAGTCATCTTGCTCTCTGTAGGCAATCACCGCCGGGTCTCTCTCCCCTAGGCCGGTGTATACGCCGAGCTCAATGACCCCGTCTGCTCCGACATGTGCTCCGGGAGGTAGCTGAACTGGTGCAGGGGTTTCCTGCTCCTCGCCATCGGCGATGTTCGCACTTGTTTCTGCAGCCTCCACGGCCACATCAACCTCCATTGCGTTTGTCTCGCGCGGTGGTTCCTCCTCCCCATCGAGATCCATGGCGGTACACTGGAGGTCAAGGCTGTCCTGGACAGCCGGCGTTCCGAATCCGCCTTCCTCCATGTGCACTTCTGGTGCCGAGCTGCCCTCAGCATCTGCAGAGCCCTGGTTCACGAGATCAGCGATAGGCCCAGCGGGCTACTGGCTCGGTTGCTGAACTGGCTCAGGCTCTGGCTGAGGGGCGGCAGGGGGGTGCAAAAGATGGGCAAACGGCGAGCCCACTCCAGTGGATCCCTGCCCTGGCTCCCTTCGAAGAGGCTGATGACGTACGGGCCGAATCAGCCGGGGTCTTCCAGTCGCCCTCGACTCCCGCATGCTAGTCCGCACCACCTCGTCCAACGCGGTTGGGCGGACTATGGCTTCTTGCCAGGAGGTTGAGGCCTGGTCGACTTGCGCCTGCTCGCGTTCACCCTCCACAACCTCGGGCATTTGATGCACCTGAGGAGCCTGGGGTTCCGGCAGCGATGGCGTCGGCGTCGGCGTGCTTGCGATGACTTCCACGGAGGCTTCCACCTCCATGGGGCACGAATCTCCCCGGAAATGGTATGTATTCGTTTCTTCGGCGAAACGAACACGTGCCGAGGATTGGCGGGTACCATTTTCCGTTCGCAGAATCCCACGTGGGGATTGTCCTGCAGCTCTGGGAACCTCCTGACCCGCGCCAAGGAGGTTCACGTTGGTAGGCAGAGCTGCATTTGACGGGGGCTCTGCATTGGGGGCGGGAGAAACTGCCGCATTCGACAACGAGCCCTTTGAATCAGGCTTCGCGTCATCATCATCATCGTCGTCGCTGTCGTCGTCCTCCTCGTTGACCTTTTCCTTGCCCTGGTTGTCTTCCTCGTTGTCATCTCTGTCCTTTTCCTCCTGATCGACGCGGTTGTTTTGCGATCCAGGTGGAGAGCTTGGTTGGGGACAGAGATCCACTGTCCTGGCCGGGCTCTCAGACACAGCAGGCTCCAGCTTTTCAACCAAAGACACCACTGGTCCCGCTTCAGAAAAGACCTTTTCAGGAACCTCCTCGTCTGCTTCCCAGGCGCCAGGAATGGTTGGCAGAGGACCAATTGACTGCGCACCCTCTTGAAGCATCGCCTCTGGTGCGGCAGTCTCATCGATGACAACGGCATCTCCAGCCGTTGGAGGAGTCTCTGGGGTAGCAGACTCGGTCTCTTGCATGGTCTGATGAGTTTGCTCATCCGAAGCGACCTTCTCGTCGTCGCTTGCAAGGACATCGACCTCACCCGCAAACATGCCCTCCAACTGGGCGATGAAATGACGGCCGGCCCTGGATTCTTGCGGTCTCTCCTCGGCCTCCATTTGCTGCTGCAACCGCCGTTCACGTCGAAGCCCCTGCTCTTCAGCGGACGACAGAGGAGCAGCACGTGGAGAAAACCCAGTTTTCTCCCGAAACCTCGCGAGTTCCTCATCGTCGGAGGACTCGTAATCCACTTTAACAAGGGACTGTCTTGTCGATCGAGGTCTCGGTCGATGACGGAGGGAAGAATGGGTAGGGCAGGAAACAGGGGCAGAGAAAAGGCTAGAAGGGGCTGCGGCAGGCGCAGGGACTGGCACAGGTGCAGGAATTGGCAGGTCAGCTGTCTTGGTGCCTTGTTCCACTGAGGCCGGGGGCTGTGGAAGTTTGGCGGTCGGCACCCATCCAGCGTTCCGTCTGAGCTCGGGGAGTTTCCTCTTCCACTCCTCATGACCTTCGGTTTCCAGGTCCATGATGCTCATTTCCATGCGGCGTCGAACGGCCTCCAGCTCTTTGCGGGCAATCTGCTCGTCGAGCGTCTGAGCCCGCAGCTCCGCCTCACGCAGCGCGTTGTCCAGCTCGAGTTTGCGCAACTGAGACCGCCGACTCACCTCTCCCCATGCTACGGTCAGATCGTGAACTGACTCAGCGCATCGCGCTAGCATGCCGCTAACCAGTGTCTGCAAATAATGTGCCAACACTGCTGCGTATTGACGGAAGCGAGACGGCAGCTCCTTGAACAAGAACCACGAGTACCGACCGACGAGGACGACAACCAGGCCGGCAAACAGGCCCATCACATCCGTCAGTACCAGGATGCAACGGACCACGAACGCAATGGACTTGACCACTTGAGTTCGGGCTTGGTTGACTAGCAATTTGCCCAAGTGGAACCCGGTGGCGCCGCCCTCGTGACGGGATGCGACCAAGTCTTGCCATCTCGTTGCCATAAATGAGAGAACTTCAGCAGACATGTCGCTAATGGACTGAAGGAAGACGCCAAAGGTCGTGGCGTTGATGGCAACGGTGAGATTGGCAGAGCACGAGGAAGCATTGTTGGACGCGTGAGCCCCTTCAGTAATGGTGGGCGAGCCGTTGTTGGCATCGCCACTGCTGCTGGCTTCGGCAATGTCGACATTTGCATCGGCGTTGGCATCGCCAACTACCGCGGTGCTGTAAGAGTTACTGGGCAGGTCGCCCTTGAGATTGCCAACTCTCCAGCCGACGACTTCTCGATAGTCGACAACGCGGTAGTTTTCGTCGCGGGTGGCCCAGTAGAATGTTGTCAAGGGCGTCGCGGACGGGGGCGAACCAATCAGGCCCTGCCAATTGTCGAAAGCAACCTAGTGGACAATACACTTGGTGCATCCGAAAGACCAGAAAATCCAGAAGAAGAAACAGAAGAAGACAGGCCATCAGAACTGCCGGTGTCGACTCTTGCCAATAGGGTCGCACTCTCTTTATCTATATCAACGTGCTGGCCGATATGGCCTAGTCGCATGATTGCCAGCCGAGGACGCCGAAAACGCCAACGCCGGCCGCGGCGGCTTGCACTTGTCCGGTGGTGAAGCGTTGCGCCAACACCAGGTCGAGAGACCCGAACAGAAGGCAGAAGAAGAAGAGAAAAGAGAGGATTGACTGATCCATAGAGAAAAAGGTTTGTGTTTGTCGGATGTGCAGGATCTGTCTTCCTGATGTCTGTTGGTGTTGTTCGTGGTCGTATTGCTCTTGCGCTTGCAGGTTGTGTCTTCCCGTCTGAAACTGCGCTTGCGAATGAAGTTTATCCGGATTCTCTTTCCCGTGGAAGAGGTGAAAAATGATGGTTTGCGGATTTGAAAGTGAGGTTTGTATGAGCTTGCCGGATCTCTTGCTTTGTGAAGAGGAGAGGAGTTTGTTTTATTTTGTTTTCAGTGTAGAAGTTTTCAGGATTGTCGGATCTCTTGCTCGTGGAAACAGGTAAAAGGGAAGGTTTTTTTGTTCTCAAGGTAAGGTCTGCTCTCTTGGTCCTGTCGATTCTCTTGCTGGACGAGAAAAGTGAAGATTCAGATTTTGCGGTTCTTGCTTGTCAAAGTGAGAGGAGATTGAGAGGAGAGGCAAGAGGAGATGGTCTCTGCTGGTTGTGACGATCTTTCGCAGTCAAGCTTGTTGTCTAGCTTTTACTGTGAAAAGTGACCACACGAAGCCGGTGAAGAGAAGATGAGATCGACTGATTGAGATTGAGAGAGAGAAGTTTGACAAACAAAGATGAGGTTTTTGCTCTGATCTTTGATCGAGAGAGGAGGAGAAGAGAGACACTCTTTGCTGGTGTTGACGATTTCTGCAGAAGCTTGTTGTCTAGCTAACTGAGAAGAATAACCAAACAAAGGCGGAGAACAGATACGATTTTTGGAGAGCAAGAAGAAGATCGGGTGAGCGAAAGAGAGGAGAAGAGGCTTTGATCTTCGACAAAGAGATTGAGGTTTGAGAGATGAAGGGTATGCACACTTTCCAATGGAAGAGAAGACTTGGTTCGCAGTCTGCTTGGGGAATGTGTGTATGAGAAGAGGAAGAGAATATGAAGAGAGGAGAGAGTTGGCCAGTGGAAGAAAATACTTGTAGGTGAGTGAAGCCGCAAACACACGCGGGCTGGTGAAGCCAAGCGTATACTGCCGGCACCGTGAGGCAGAGACGCAGACTCAGCTTGGCGAACAATAGGAACAGTGAATGGCGAGGGAGGGCTCCCAGTGTATTGAGGCAGGGTGCGGCAAGATCGGCGTGCGGGATCAATAGAAGCAGTGAATTGAGGCTGCGTGCGGCAGAGCAGCGAAGCAGTATGACTGACTGGGCAGCAGCTGTATATATCCGGGCTATTGTGAGTACGAATCCATTTGCAGGTGGGAGACGAGGTCTGCGATTGTCGAAGCGTGTCTACTGCCGGGTCCTACAAGGCAGTAAGTGAACGTGTGAATATTGCAGCTACAATTCACTTCCGCAGCTCTGGCAGCAGGCAGTCGAGAAAGGTCAAAGTGCGGCAGAAGAGCTGTATCGACTTCCTGCAAAGGCCTACGCACCGATTGAGCTGGCGATGTCTGTGTTTGAGATTGATGTCCTGTACGAATCTCGTCTACCTGAATTGATGGTCGTAGGCGAGGCCGAGACATCCAGGAGATAACATGTCTTAGCGCAGCCTTGTGTATAGAGGTAGGTCATCGATGACTTGGGCAACACATTTGCCCCGGCCCATAGGGAGCCAGGAGGCTCAGTAAAGCCACACCGTCGACCTTGGATTGAAGAGTAGATCGATACTTCCCCATTGTTCTTCAATTTCGTGAACAATGAACGGATTCATTGATTCTGTAGTAGTACATCAAGAACAAAGAGGTTGTCGGTTGATCAAGCCAATCACAGCCAATAACGAGTCTGTACGTAATATTACAGACTTCTCGCACAATATTCCGCGTAAGCTTTCAAATGACGGAACCAATATGTATACAGCTACTAGTACTACCCGGAATGCCATTTGCAGATCGGACACGCGTTGTCCAAGTATGACATCAATGGCATGGGAAATGTTTGGATCAAAGGCAACCTTGAAATCGAGCGGAGGATGAAACTAGTAACATAGTACCAAGTACTCCAGCTGAAGCACCCTTGCTGAAGCACCCTTTGCCCCAACGGGCTAGGCTAACAACGAGGATACCACCGTGGCTAAGGAGTGTTTACGATAGGCCTGACTTGAGGCATGGTTTTACGAAACCGGTTTTCCGATGTCTGAGCACGGCAACTGGATAGAGGTCATAATAGGCAGACTTGGACCCTACTTGTTTGCTGCCTGGATTTGAATTTCAGTCTTGCTCTCTCTTCAACTTGCGTATCTTTAGTGTATCGTCGAGGAAGACATCTGGTGTATTGAATTGATTCAACACAATACCCATTGCTGCTTGCTATCGGCTGGATTGACTGGTCTGTTTTGATCCTGTATACACCACATACTCAACGAAGAGTCTTCTGTCTCGTGTCAATAGCCCTCCATCTACTATCCAAGCGAAGGAAGGGGCAGAGTGTTTGGATCTGACTTGCCTACGAACACCAACTTCACCTTGTCTACGACCACTACCAATATCATCATCATTGTGAGAATGTCCAACGACGCCGGGTTCTTCAAGAAAACGTCTCAAGCGGTCGCCTCAGCGAGTGCCTCAGTGGCTGGAGCCGCGTCGGGCAGTTTGTCCATGGGAGCGAATGCCAGCCACAAGAAAATAACGACGACCAAGACCAGGGTTCCGATCGAGAATGGCTCCCAGCAACAGCAGCCGATCATGCATGGCGCAGGTCAGCCAGCTCAAGGACGGATAGCGACTGCAGGCCTTGGGGAGCAGAAGAGAGTGATGGATGTGCAGTATGAGGGGATGGAGGATGAGTATGCGAAGAGAGAGGGCGGTGCGTAAATGTTAGGGGATGATACGATGCCACTGCTTGCAGAGTAGTTCAGATTTGATTGTTTACTGCTCGGAGGAGCATGATAATCTATCCGTATGAAACACAGTGGTTGAACGAAGAGACGAAGGGCTCTCACAGATCAAACAAGACGTTGAACAGAGTAAATGTCCCAGGACGAGGCTGCCAAGACTAACTCCTCGTTATATAACGTATACTACGCACCTTATAATATTAGCATATAAGTACTCATATCGCTATTAGATATCTCTTCGTCTAGTAATTTATTAATATAACGCTTCAACTCTTCGATCCTGTCACGAATCGTTCCTCGGGGTCACGATATCGATCAGGGTTTCCTGATGTGTGGGAAGGCAGGAGGATAGTATTCCAGGGCACAAGGGTAAGTCAGAACGAAAGCTATCAACGCGATGGTAACGTCTAGCTTGTGAACGAAGTTGACTACCAGAGACTATGAACTGCTATGGAAAGATGGGAGACTATATAGACATATGAGACTCGTAGTGCTCTGCTGTGCTCTGTTGCTCTGCTCAGCAGAGCAACACAGAGCACAGAGCAAAGTTGTCACGTGACCCAGCCTTACCTTGCAAGGCTTTCACGTGCCCACTCGGCAATCCTGCCCTTTCTGGCTACTGCTCCTGGTTGGATGTCATGCCCGGCCTGCTCCTGCATGAATCCTAACAGTCCAATCAAAATCGCGGCTTTCTTGACGAGATTTGCACAGACCTCTTCGCTTCGCTCCGTAGGATAATAAGATACCTACTAGTAGAGTAGTACTACGGCGTACTTCTAGGAGAGGAAATAGAGGAAAATAGAACGTTAGAGATCTAAGGAGAGGGGGAGGATTGATCGATTAATTGATTCCTAGACCTTTTCGGTGTCCGCGAAGGGACCGCGTAGGCGGTTACTCTTGGCGTGCCTATTTATCACGAACAGGTTCACAGTCGCCCAGGGGGCCGCCTGGCTTTCAAAAAGGACTTGAATCCTAGGCATTGTGCCTAGAGATCTTGAACTTATAATTGATATCTTGACATAACCGGGGGGCCACCCGGTTCATGACACTATTGCCAAGTCTATTTACCCCCGTAGGACCCAGTCCTGCCGACTAGTGGACCCCTATTGCTGCTTTAGTCGATTATCTTGCCTTTCTCCAATCGTAGCCAGTTGCCTTTACCTTGCTCCAACTAGTAGCCCCTTCCTGCTTACCCTATTGACTCGACCAGTTGACCCTCCGAGTCCTTAATCGGCCTGTAGCCCTAGTCTCCTCGACCGCGGCGGGTGTCCCGCCTCGGCTAGCCTATAGTGTTGAAATATCATAAAATGACAGCCTTCCTGATTAGGCTTGGCGTATTACAATGTGGGGCGACGGTATTTGAGGTGGCAACCCTGTGTAATTAGAACTTAGCAGCCTAAGTAACAATCATACTTGCAACATATAGCCCTCCTCGACCAGTTGGCCTTGGTCTCCTCTGCTAGGCGTCCGTCTCGACCAGTTGACCTCGGTCTCCTCGACCAGTTAAAGCTTAACCCTCTTGCCCTGTTTTTCCTATAGGGTAGGGCCCCGTGGCGAACGCTTTTTAAGCCCTCTAAGGGGCGGGCCCGCGACCGACGTTTTTTGCTCGGATCCCCATACAAAATTGTGCATTTTTCAACCTTTTTTGGGACACTGACATTGACTGACGAGATGTGCATCCAAAAGAGGTCGGTGGATACATGAGAGGAGTGCCATGAGCTGGGCTGAGGGCTGAGGTTGAGGTTCCAGTTAAGTTCCGGGGGTCGTGAGTTGGTTCCGGGGGCGTATAGAATAGGGTTTGGTTAAGGCGTTAGGTGCCTAGGACTTGGTCGGTTTCAGGGGTTGAGTGCCGAGATCTTGGTTGGTTCCGGGGGCGTGATGGCTGAGGGTTAGTTAAGTTCTAGGCGTTGAGGGCCTAGAACTTAGTTGATTTCGAAGGCTGAGGGCCGAGGGTTTGTTAGTTCCGGGCGTGGGGCGCCGGTAGCGTTTGGCGCTGTCGGACCTCTTACGTTTTGCTCGCCCCGTTGATTAAGCCGAGTCTCACCCCTAGTCTTCAGGCTGTAGGCGTGTGGTTGAGGCCGGCTTTTTAGCCGGGGTAGTAGCCTCAGGCCTGGTAATGATTAATTAATTATGGGTTTCAGGGGAGAGGTATTACCGGGGAACTCCTAGTATAGAGCCGATAAACAATCGCTTCTATACTTTTGTGCCGAACCGTGACTGCAAAGTGTCACGGGGAGGAGGCTGCAGAGGTGCCTACCTAGCTAAGGGTAGTAGTCTTACCACTACTATCTATAGATGGGTCTATAGGTTACTGGCAATACCGACAAGGCATTGCCGCGACGCTACCATCTGCCGGATTATGGCTGAACGCCTCTAAGTCAGAATCCGTGCCGGAACGCGACATTGTGACCCCGCACGTCGTAGTCGGATACGAATAGGCCTCTGGCCACGCACCTCAACAGGTCGACGGGGCCCCTTCGCCGGAAGCGGCGGGGGGGTTGTCGACGGA